AAAAATCTTACTGAAGTATGTCGGTTTTAACTAACCTTAATCAATATAAAACAATATAATTAATTCGCATATTAATTATTACATTAATTACTACAATTATCTGGTCATTTTTTAAAAAACATTTTCTTACGCGTCAACAGCATAGAGATTGTAATTTTTTAACAACTCAGCAAAAAAAAAAAAAAAATAAAAATAACTGGCCTAGAAGGAATATAGAGGTTATTGGCATATTTAAAAAGGTATATTGCATTTTGTAGAATATCGGTCAAAAGTTCACCTACTACCCCGAAAAACATCTGTTAAATACATAATGTAATATTAATATTATTAACCTGGTTTTTAAAGAACTAACCACTTTTATTTTTCTTAAATATATTTCAAATGCTAAAATAAAAACATTTAAGTAAGTTAGGGTTAGACTAACCTGAATTAATATAAAACAATTAATATACTAATTAACATATTAATTAATACGATAATGACTACAATTATCATTTTAAAACATTTCTCATACCTTAACGATGTACAGCTTGTATTTATTTAAACAAGTACACGAGTTTAATTAACCGCAATTAATATAAACAATTAATATACTAATTAACATATTACTTAATACTACTTTTACTTTTAAAACATTTTCTCATCTGTTAACGACATACAGCTTGTAATCTTTTAACAAGTACGTGAGTTTAATTAACCTCGATTAATATAAAACAATTAATATACTAATTCACACATTAATTAATACGTTAATTACTACAATTATCTGGTCATTTTTGTTTTTTTTAAGGCCATTTTCTTACGCGTTAATAGCATACAGCTTGTAGTTTTTTTTAACAACTCGGCAAAAAAAACCAACAAAAAAACTGGCATAGAAGGAATATAGGTTATTGGTTTATTTAAAAAGGTTCATGGCATTTTTTAGAATATCGGTCAAGAGTTCACCTACTACCCCGAAAAACATCTGTTAAATACATAATGTAATATTAATATTATTAACCTGGTTTTTAAAGAACTAACCACTTTTATTTTTCTTAAATATATTTCAAATGCTAAAATAAAAACATTTAAGTACGTTAGGGTTAGACTAACCTAAATTAATATAAAACAATTAATATACTAATTAACATATTAATTAATGCGATAATGACTACAATTATCATTTTAAAACATTTCTCATACCTTAACGATGTACAATTTGTATTTTTTAAAACAAGTACACGAGTTTGATTAACCTCAATTAATATAAACAATTAATATACTAATTAATATATTACTTAATACTACAAATGACAACAATTATTTGATTGGTGACATCTGAGAATATTCAAGTTCCAAAATATTAATCTAGTCCCTATTAGTCAGTATGGACGTTAAAACTCGTTTCATTTCTCTTATTTAAAACCAAATTTTGGTCGTGAAATTCAAAAGATCAAATTGAGAACTACCGCCAGACCAGTAAATAATTTCACCAAATTTAAATAAATAAAAATAAATTTAAAAAAAAAAAAAATAATGAAAAAAAAAGAATTAATAAAAAAAAAAAGAATTAATGAACAAAAAAGAATAAATGAAAAAAAAAGAATTAATGAAAAAAAAATTAATGAAAAGAAATTAATTAATAAAACAAAATAATGAAAAAAATAATTGAATTATGAATAATAATCATTTCCAATATCCTTTCGATACAAGTCGATACTCATGATGTTAACCTCTTGTTTTCAACTTCATAAAACAATTCTACATTTGAACGTGTAATCACCCCCCTTTTATACCTAGATTTTCGAAACTTAAAACCAAAATTTAACTACACCCTGTCACAAATATGTAGATTAAAACTATTGGCTTAGAACAAAATCGACAAAATCACCTGTCAAGCTTAATGGCGGAGGTCATTGTCCCTTAATGCAGGTATAGCTACACTTGGCGTGAACTCAATGTAACCTCTGCACACCTGCCTATAAAGCGAAATATCTTCCCCCCTACCCTCCAATAAACAATTCGTGGACCCCATACCCTCGTTACAAAAGTCAAACACGATCAAAGAATACAACACCTGCATACCTTTTTTATTATTCATAACCTCATTGTTCAGTCAACAATAACCATATTCAAACTATAAATAGAACACCTGTGGAATGCTCTGACGTCAGACCTTAGGATTGTGTGACGTCAGACCTTTGGAATGTCTGGAATTCCAAAATTGCTCCGAACTGCCCTCTCTACTACTGCGTCGCTACAGCCTACTCTTATATATCGAATTCCAATTGCCAAGGAATCTTTTACGCGCACGCCAATGTGTACACGGGACCTCGGTTTTTCGTCCCATCCGAACGACTAGACAGCTGTCCTTGTCAGGTCCTCCGTCCTGTATCACTGACAAGGGGAAAACACGCAAACTGTAAGTAACATATATATTTGTATTTTTAATCAGGAAGTACTTCTAGTTATTCTTCTTGGGGCAATGCCTAGGACTCTGCTGTTTCAAGTACTTGGCATGCTTGATTTTTGCCAATCACATCCATTGATTTCCTTCAAGTTGCGATAGGCCCTACATAGCAGTAAAATAATGATGGACAGTATTTTACTTTCAAATAGATTTCAATAGATTTTAAAGGGTAATATCCAATTTGTTGTCAATGGAAATAAAATAAGAATGGGTCCAAAAATAATTAGACATTGCCAAGTAAATAGGTGCTGCCAAATCTGGATTTGCAGACAATACATGTATGAAAGGGTGAATAGTTGACCTATTATGAGACTTCAGTCCCAAATCTCAAGACTTTTTTCTGACTTCTAACTCATTTGATTTGAGCATAATAATCTGCCTGGGTCTGTAACTGGACAAGACACAATAAGCGTTACGCAAAGTTGAAACCAAATAGAGACTCGGTCTCGATGTGGCAAAATAAATTGTTTATTTAAACGTTGTGAACCATAGAAAGTATTCTTATTGCCTACTTTTTATTTTTTAGGCTGGAACACCATTGAAAGAGTATTTGCTGTATGATAACAACAAGAAAACCCAAGCATCAATTTATTTTATACTTCTGGGAAAGAATGCATTTGACCCAATTTTTAAATATTTATTTTTTGTTATTAATGTTAAATTTTCTTCCAAAACACAATTAGATTTTAATTCTCTTCAGAAATGTATGTATAATGTAGCAAGTAAAGTGACATATAAATCACTTAGAATTTGGTCAGAAATCATAAAGTATTTAATAGGCATTACTAGAAACCAAATGTAGATCAAATACACCCAGAATTACAAAAAACCTTGACCTACATAAAGGTGACTTTCCCTTGCTTATGAAATGAAATACGGTTTAGTATCCTACTTTTCTGTGTTCTTAGAGTGATTCTGCCCTACACCCTACTCTTATATCAAATATTTCAACTGTCAAGGGTTCTTTAACGGGAACCCGGGGGGGGGGGGCAATGATTAACACGCACACATTTGATCAGGAAGTCTGTCATTGAGTCAAATAATTCAATTGTCAAGGGTTCTTCTAAGTGAACGCAGTGGGGATGGTTTCGATTCCGGGAATGGGGGAGGGGGTGGTGGATGGCCGAATGGTAAGCATGTGCGTGCGGTATCATACGGCCTGTCATTGAGTCAACTGGCGTGGTTTCGAATCCCCGGTTGTACGTGACAAGGAGTAGGGTCGCCTGTCCAATCTTGTGGGTTTTCTCCGGGACCTGCGGTTTCCTCCCACTGCTAAAGACCCCTATGCGCAACGAATTATTGAAATAAAATTAAACCATATGTTAATCCCGAAATGACCTAGTTTGTGTCAAGTGGACGTTAAACCCCATTTCTCTCTCTCTCTCTTTCGATTCCGGGCTTGTACCCAATTATCCCTTGCCATATCCAACACTACTGACAAGTGGGAACTATGCCCGAAAATCCAGTTGAAATTTCTCGGCCAACACCTTATACTCACTGAACCACTGTGGCTTATGACTTGTGATTGTATATAAATTTTTTGTATATATGATATTTTTTTATTTCAATCTTGTAATCTTGATGCTTTGCTTCTTTTATTTCAAAATATTCATTTTGTTTGGGGTTTTTTTAATGAGGAAAAGGTTTTACATCATTTTATTACTCCTGCAAAATAGTGCATTTTTCTTTTGTTAGTTTTCTGTGTATATTAGTTATTTCTATATGTCTCACAAATCACTTGTAGTGTGATTTTGTAGCACTTTTCAGTTTTTGAAATCGTTTCAATTTAGTGCATAATTAATCTTAGTGCTTGGTTTGGATGTTATTAAATTTAGATATTATTTGAATTATATATTTTGGAGTATGGGGTAGGGATACTGTGTACATATCTTTATATTCTCAGTTCTTGTTTTGGGGTAAAGAACAATTTATATAGCTATTTTATATTTTGTGATAGGTAAAGTGTGTGGGGTTAAGAACAATTTAAATAGCTATGTTATATTTTGTGATGGAAATGAAATGAAATGAAATGAAATAGGGTTTAACGTCCTACTGTTCTGCTCCTAACCTGGGCTAATGAAGACGGGCATACGCCATACAGTGTGCTATGAGGGAAATTTTGCCCGGACAGCGGCACTACGGCCTACTCTTATATCGAATTCCAACTGCCAAGGGATCTTTTACGTGCACGCCAATGTGTACACGGGACCTCGGTTTTTCGTCCCATCCGAACGACTAGACAGCTTTCCTTGTCAGCCCCTCCGTCCTGCATCACCGACAAGGGAGAACCACGCCGGAAAATCTGGATGAACTTTCTCGGCCAATGCAGGGATCGAACACCCGACCTCCAGGCTAGCGAGCTAGCGTCTTACCCACTTAGCCACGTGATCCCCTATTTTGTGATGGGTAAAGTGGGGTGTGTGTGTGTGTGTTGGTGTGTGTGTGTGTGTGGGGGGGGGGGGTCATTATATATAACACAATATAATTAGTATTAGAATTCTGTTTTTCTGTTAACATTTCAAATATCTATTTAGTTTTGATGTATTAATTTACTTTTTCCTATGATTTTATGAATAAATAATAATCTTACAAAAACAAAAAAAAATTTTGTTTCCTTCTTTTATCAAACTTTACAGGTCTAACAGAGCAAAGAGATGGGTCCTGCATAAAAAGGTTGCTATACTGTATATAAATTGGGGAAAAACACAACACAAGTTTTTGTGGATGGTTATACACAAGTTTGTATGAAACCACACAAGTTTCAGAAATTTCAACACAAGTTTCAGAAATTTTAACACAAGTTTCAGAAATTTCAACACAAGTTTCAAAAATTTCAACACAAGTTTCAAAAATTTCAACACAAGTATTGTGTAGATTTTCACACAAGTTTCAACACAAGTTTGTGTTGTTTGATAAATTTTAACACAAGTTTTGTGTTGTTTCAACATTTAACACAAGTTTTGTGTTGTTTCAACACAAGTTTGTGTTGTTAAATAGAGACACCTTACTTGTGTTGAAAACAACACAAGTTTGTGTTGTTTCAACACAAGTTTTTTTACAGTGTAGCATCTAAAGCTTTTCCATAATAATTCATAGTCCATGTGATAATCTCATTCGTCTATTTACTTTGGACCAACCCCTTCAGCAATATTCAGCGTTCTCGAAACAAACAGATGATACAAACAAACCAGCACCAGTTATAAGTATTGTATAAAATCCATAAATAAGATGAATGCAAGGCGGGGGATTATCAGCTGTCGTTGATATTTTAGTTTGTGTACAGATTAGCAAGGATTACTTGGCGGAAAATGTGAATCAGGCTGATCAATTAGCAGATTTATATAAACCAATACATAGTTGATATTTTTGTTGGCATGACGTTGATTACATATATTTAAATAATCACTAACTTGTGAATTGATATTAGACCTTAAAATATGAAATATTCATCACAATAAAAAAAAACATCACCCGTAAGAAATGTAACACGTATAGTAGTGGAATTAGTAGAAGTAGTAGCCCTAATCCTAATAATCTTATTCGTCGTCCTCATAGTCACGTCTACGGCTGCTACGAGGTGGGCGTGGCGGCCTTGGGGGAAAGGGGTTTTTTCCTGCTCTATCAATAGCTTGCTTTAATCGCGTAGCGGCTTGTCGAACGTTCGCCGGGATGTTAGAGTCTTTGGTTTGATAACCTAAAAAGGTATAGAAACCTTCAGTAACGGTTACCTTAGAGGGGTTGTTTGCGAGTCTTTGCTCAAACTCTTTGAAATCTTCTTCATTTAATTTATAATGAAAATGGACCAACAGCGAATGGTACTTTGATTTGTCCTTGGCGCTCTTGATACGAATATCCTTTATAACGGCCCTTTCTTGGTCTCTTAGAAAATATAGGGGTGTTTCTCTGTTGTATTTGTTAACGATGTCATTAGATATGATTTGACGAAATCTATTATAGAGATCCGTTGCTAATTCCTTAATGTTTGGTCTCGAGTATGTTTTGGCTCTACAAAGTGTATAGTAGTAATGAGCGACAAGATTGAAATCGTCGCCATCTTGATCCATTTCCTTTTCCAGTTCTCTGAGAACTTTGAGAAAGGCTTCGTAGTACATATTTTGTATGACATGGGTCATACATAGGTCAATCTCTTCTTGGGACCAGTTTCTATCAATGGCAGCTTTTTCATCTTCGTCGGTTAAAATCTCATACGAAGCAGGCGTCGTATATTTTATACCCATTTCACGCAAGACTGCTTTTCCGGCATTTCCCATTCTCTCCCTACGCCTCTTTTTCAGTTCTAGGTCCAGTTTATAATTAATCGTTTCTTCAATCCTTTCTCTGAATAAGTCCATTGCGTCCACCAACTTTAATTTTCTAAAACAAAATATGAAAGCACGTTTAGGCTAGAATCCCATTTTCAACGTAACGTATTTTAGTCGCAAAAGAATAATTTCTTTGCTTTAATAATATTGGTCATATGTTACGCCGACATCCCACAAAAAGAGACCTGACTTACTGAAACCGATATTACTTAACAAGTATAGTCGCCGTATTTTATTCATGGGTATTGCAGGAACTAAAAAAAACAATTCGGCACCTTGTTTTTTGAATATGCATCAAGCATATTTTTGGTTAAGGCACTTTTAAACAATATCGTCCATATCATAGATACGAAATAATAAATAATGCTAAATAATTATGTTACCTTAATTGTTTTTCATAGATTCCTGGTATCAAAATTGTAACGTCCTTACATGCGTAGTCAGTCATTTCCTGTGTAAGTGGCCTACGTTCCCAATAATCTGGCACAGTTTTATTCCATTTTTTCTGAAATAACGAAAATAAAATCGTTAACAAATAACAGTCAATAAAGCGAAAATGTTGACAGTATCAATGGTAACATAAAAAAAAGACCAATAACAAAATAGGCTACATAGAATAGTAACACAGTAGTGATAAAGCAACAATGATAAAAAGGTAACAATGTTATTCGTTGTAAACCCGAACAAATACTACATTAGCAGATAAGGAAAAAAGGGGTTTTACTGATGGCCAAACCAATAGAGCACAACATATAGGAAAAGTCTTATACAGATATCTTATAGACCTAATTAACTCAGGAGAATTATCGTCATGTTTGACTGAATATGGTGTTAATATAACTAGGGTAAGTAAATAATAAGATACCATGCATGGACAGACATGACCATGCTTTATGCATGTTTTAAAAATATGAATCATGTTTTATAAATTCCCGAAACACACACACAACTAACATATTATGATTGTATGTGATAATTCTCAGTAGTTTTGTTATCGAAAATACTATAAAACTACGAAATTAAAGAGATTTAGTTCATCGATATAGAAAAATTGATTTTGAAAATGGGTGTCTCTTTTCCTAAAAAAAATGTTAAGAGCAGTGGAACTGGAAAAATCAAGTACATCATCACTAAACGAGTTATTACAACCTCTACAAGGTAAAAGTTAATTTTGATACAATGTATTTAAAATCTTTATACATGTATTCCATAAATTGTTATATTTACACAGACTTCCGACTGCCATCCTAATATATTGTAGTTTAATTTTCTAAATAAGACATTGTTCCTGACCATGTTTAATGGTTTATTACTTTATGTACATTATATGAATTGTAAAAATTTTAGTACAAACAGTATTATTTTGGGAGATGTTTTATAATATATGTTTTAGACATAACTATAGAAACAGTTGATGCATGGATTGAACAAGAGAAAGCAGAATCCAACTTTATCATAGGGCAACATTTAACAAATTAAATATAGTAATTATCAAATTGTTAACATTAATTCTAACTCTCATCACTTTCACTTTATCATATATATATAACAGCATAATATACTGTTTAAATATAATGGTCGTACACAACTCTTTGGATTATTTTATTTGCAAAATAAAGTCTGATTTCTGAAATAGATATTATAGGTAAAATTAATTATATTTATGATGTGTTCGTTAAAAAAGTATTAACATTAGTGTTACTTTGCTCTTATTTTTTTTAACAAATTTTCACAAGTTGATTTCCTTTATTTTGTTAATGTAGAATGGTAATGAACTGCTCTTTTCATTTTCTTTGTTTTATTTGTTTCGTTTGAATTTGATTTATCAGTTTAGTTTTTGATTGTTTAATTTTTGTTAATGAAGTTGATTCTTTTAAACTTCGTTTTTATTTTTGAACTCTACTTGGTGTAGGTGTTCATCAGGTAATACCTCGACTGAGTTCAATATAGAGATTAGCCGGTTGATTTGTTGGATATAAACATTTGAATAATAGCGCCTAACAGGCAGCTGTGTTTAATTATGTTCTCCTGATTTTGATTGTTTTTGTGTGTTTGAAGTATATGTTTGTGATATGCGCTTTGAAACACTTCACGTGTAATGAAGCACTATATAAATCGAACAATGATAATAATAATAAAACAATTATAATCGCAACGAAAATCACGTAAGATAACACGTTGCAATATAAATGATAATGTAATGATGACAAAATCATATACAAATAACCATAATTATAAACAAACATAAAAATACCAATGAAAACATTCACTTACCTGCATATCAGTCTTTGCTTCCATTTTGTTCATGCCGTAGATTTCACAGATCTCTGCTAATTTTAACATTGGTGGAATTAAACGACCTTGTTGTTCAAGAATAACCATGTGAGCCACCTGTAATTAATAAGAATATAGAATAAATCATTCCTCAAAGGTAGATAAGAACACAACAGATATATAGTACTATTTCTTTTTCTATATCTATGCATATAATATAATGTCCGTACCTGAGTATCAAACACGTTTCTCAAAGAAACACCAAACTGATGTTTTAATGCTTCGCTGTCCCCAGAACATGCATGGAAAACCTGAAATAGATTGGATAAAATGTTTTGATACATTGGTGAGATTTCCATCTACTTATCAATTATTTCCCCGACCTCCATTTTCCGATACAATGGTATTGTCAGAGTACAGGAAATAATTAAGCTACACATGGCGCACTCTTGTAAGGTTTTAGCCGAGTTTTGAATTCGGAATATTCGTATATCCCCGAGAAGGAGACCTGGTTACCTATCAGTAACACTCATTACCTATCAATAAAGGAGGTTTTGTGCTAGAAAATAAATTGTGTTATCTTACCAAAATTCGTTTTAGAGAGAGAGAAATGGGGTTTAATTTTTAACGCCCAATTTAAATCAACATTGATGTTGTGATCTTACCGGGAAAAGATGGGCTTCCGGTATCCAATATTTAAGACAAAATAAACATTTTACCATTGGTACACGAATCGTGTACCATAGTGCATTTCAGCGTCATTTGTAACAAGGGACTCGAAGAACGAGGCTAGGCATATTCCACAAGTCATGTCAAACGGCGACGTCATATTCTTGTCTGGAGAGCATGCGCAATAAATACTCTCGGTGTAGACTGGAATAACAAGACGCTAGAGATTCCTATTCTCTCGAAATTTATGGCGTATGTCGCCGAATATAACTGATTAGAAATTACAGTCAAACAGAAACGATTGAATGTAAATCAGTTTATATACATTCATATTACATTATTATATGTGTCGAGACCCATTTGTCTCAATTTCTAGATCCCAAATATTAGCGACTTAGCTCCTTTAACCCTTACCTTGCGAACATGATTACTCTCTAAAAGTTGTTTTAGTCCACCATCTTGGAACATACGTTTTTCTTTATGGATATCAAATAAAAAAACATGGCCGTCAGTTGTAGCTATTTGTAGAAGTGTTAATGGGCCATCTTTACCTAAATTGATACCTTCTGCGTCACAAGATATTATTTCTTCTTTCATCAAAGTCTCTACAACTCTCCGACATTTTCTTATATCCTCTATTATTTCATAATCCATTGTGTCTTATTGTTTGCTGATAAAAACAAAATAGACCATCGTAAGATTGTATAAGATAACACTATAATAATAACATTAAGACGTCACGGTGCATCAGTAAGGCGAAGGTTCACTTAGCAGGACGACCCGGATTTTAGGCTGGTTGTCTCTTGTCAGTGGTGCAAAATAGAGGGATTGGCAATCAACAGAGTCTAGTCATTCGGATGGTATGAAAAACCAAGGCCTTGTATACACGTTGGTTTGCATGTAAAAGAAGCCTTGGCTGTTGGAATTCGAAACAGTGGGCCGTACGTACATGAAATCAATTAGGGCTGGGTAGATATCAATAATGATTCGACACACAGCCAGCATTGGAGTAAAACGGTGTAACCAACGCCCACACCTCCATTACATTAAAAAAAATAACTCAAGTGCTGTGTGAGAGAGAGAGAGAGAGAGAGAGAGAGAGAGAGATGGGGTTTAACGTCCATTCGACATAAACTAGGTTATTTCGGGACTCACATATGGTTCAATTTTATTTCGATAATTCGCTTGCGCATAGGGGTCTTTAGTAGTAGGAGGAAACCGGAGGATCGGTAGAAAACCCACGAGGTTGGACGGGCGACCCTACTCACGTACAACCGGGGAATCGAAACTACGCCAGTTGACTCAATGACAGACCTTATGATACAGCGCGCACGTGCTAACCATTCAGCCCCCCCCCCCTCCTTCCCTCAGGTGCGGAAGAGTAGACATAAATATACGTTTATACGATTTTATCACCCAATAATACATTTTACAGTAGATACATGTATCGCTTGTGTGATGCATTTCATAATCTACTGCGATATCTCCTTAGGAGATATCTACGAAAGCCCAGAAGGCTCATTCCAAATTCCAAATGCGAAATTCCAAATTCCAAATTCCAAATGCGAAATTCCAAATTCCAAATTCCAAATGCGAAATTCCAAATTCCAAATTCCAAATTCATGTCTTACCGATAAAATAGCAAATTGGCAGCCCCCCTCAATTAAAAAAATTAGAATTTATATAAATTGTAATTTTACACAACTAATTACTTCTAGTTTACCTATCTGGGCCGGATAAATACCCGTTCCAAATTACTAGATTCCAAATTCCAAATTCCAGATTCCAGATTCCAAATTCCAGATTCCAAATTCCAGATTCCAAATTCCAGATTCCAAATTCCAAATTCCAGATTCCAAATTCCAGATTCCAAATTCCAAATTCCAAATCTGATCTGACCAATCGGATCAGGTTTTTGCTTTTGACTAATCAGTTAGAGAGAGAATGAGAAACGGGGTTTAACGTCCACTCGACACAAACTAGGTCATTTCGGGACTAACATATGGTTTTAATTTTATTTCAATAATTCGCTTGCGCGTAGGGGACTTTAGCAGTGGGAGGAAACCGGAGGACCAGGAGAAAACCCACGAGGTTGGACAGGCCACCCTACTCCTTGTCACGTACAACCGGGGATTCGAAACAACGACAGTTGACTCAATGACAGGCCGTATGATACAGCACGCACGTGCTAACGATTCGGCCATCCGCCCCCCCCCCCCCCTAATCAGTTAGAGTATAATAACAATATTCCAGTTCGGGTTTGCTTCGGCAGATGTGAACAGTTTGGGGCAAAGTTCCTCTGCAGTGAGCTACTTTGCTACTCGGTATCCTAGGACTGGCATTTTTTTTATTTATTTTTTTGCTACAGCAGCAAATTTGGAATTTGGAATTTGGAATCTGGAATTTGGAATTTGGAATTTGGAATGAGCCTTCTGGGCTTTCGTAGGATATCGCTTTACATGCATTTGATTGTTTAGTTGAAAAGGATCTACTTTTTTTTATTTTCAATTTCTTATTAAAAGTAACTTTTTTTATTAAAAATGAACTATTGTTATTCAATTGACCTTGGTGGAAACACTGGGTCAATATAAAGGACTTTGCAATGGTTAATGATTGCTGTCAAAAATTGATGTATCACTACGCCGTAATGTTCAGTAAAAGTGAACTCTACAACAACGAATTATATTTATCTATTTGTGCATGTAAGAAGGGGATAAATAAAATCTCCTACTCGTCTTTTTTGATATCAAAAAATATCAACACTCGTTGATAAAGTAAAAAAAAACTCGGCAGAGCCTCGTTTTTTGTTACTTTATCAACTTGTGTTGATTTTTTTTTAGATTTTCTATATAACAAGCCATTTTGAAAATTGTGTAAGACGCCATTGAACTGTAAGTTATTTAAATGTTGTTAGTTCAAATTAAAAAACCCCCATTAAATTGTGGTTAGTTTTTCTTAAAGGCATGCTGCCTTAAAGACATAATGATTACTTACCTCGACTCTACAACTTCAAGTCACAACAACGACGAATATATCGATTTGAATATGTAATACCTTGAATTACCTACTTTAACGCGTGTATACGCCGTGTGTGTCCTAGATATTATTTTATTGATTGATTATATGCATAATAAATCCCAGAAATTCCTTGTCAGTCGTTTGTGTCCTATATAGATATCATTCTTTTTAAAGTATTGATCATTTGGGCGGTCAATTCTAATTTTATTCAAATGTCAATCGCTTGTTGATAAAATTAAAATGATATGAATATTTTCATTTTGGAATATTACCTCAATACAGCTCAAAATAATATGTTTAAGCTATTGTTTCTCACTCGTTCGATTAGGTATCTATTCTTTTTAGTAATAAAATATATGACCTTAAATATGACATTTTGTAAGTAAAATGTTGGGCTTTTTTTCAGATCCAATAAAAATAAGAATATATATAAAGAAAGAAAGAAAAGAATAAGAGAGAAAAAGAAGGAACGAAAAATATAAGATAAATAAATACATAAATTCTCAGCTGTGATAAAATATGTATCATCATATTAGGGATACAAAAATATACGTAGTAAAAACTCAAATCCAATGCGCAAGGAACAGTGTCAAATCGGGTACTTTGTCAAAACCGAGACTTTTGGGTGTTCTCGTGCTATTAGTGTCTTACCTGGTTGTTCACTTCAAGTCCAATACAGTAATATTAGAGAATGAGTAAAAAGAATTGTCAGGATTCTAGCCAAATTAGAAACCCATTGCGGAATGCCTGTGCAATTCCAAATAACAGAGTGCGTAGCGGTACTTAATTAGACTGCGTCGTATTTTTTGGATGTCATTACAGTATCATTGTGCAATTCAAAATATTGCCATAAATAGCCTAGCTGGCCAATTGCCAATACTTTAAGGCGGTGTAGTAAACTGTACCCCATCTTCTTCAGCAAAATATGTATTTAATTAATCAGTATTTAAATTACTTCCCAATGTAGTATTTGTGTGTTCTGACCCTAAGTTCACAAAGCATTCTCAGACATAAGTTAAGAATTTACTCAACTTTCAATCACTGTGTATGAGAAATATCTTTGATCCAGAAACAAAGAAACGTATTGATGTATTTGTTACATTAAAACGACAAAGTTTTGTAAAGGGCTATATTTTAGTTAAAATAAGGAGAACAATTTTGAGTAAATTCTTAACTTAAGCCTGAGAATGCTTTGTGAGGACTCGGGGCCTGGTCTATTTTTATTGCATCATTGTTTTTAATATCCACTGTCAATTATTGATAATAAATGGGCTATTCAGTTTCATATCGCCCTTAAGTAAATAAAAGATTATAGACTGTAGGCCTATCATTATTTATTTCATGTAGATTATGGTAAATGTAGTAAACTAAATATCAAGGTTTTTTTTGTCGAGTTTCACTTTTGGTGTAAACCACATTTCTGTGAAGCGAACTATAGTTTTAATCCTATTGTATTTGATGGTCTCTGTGCTTGACTCTGCTCCTACCACCAGAACAATAGCGGGGGGTGGGGGGCATAACGGGATGACACCTTTTTAACCGAGCAGATAGAGAATATCGCTATTTATTTTATGATCAGTAGTGGAATACCGCGTTTTATCAGTGAAATAAAAGTGTTATTCCACTGGCTAGCAGTAGTCCATGTTGTTTTTACCTAAAATGATTGTAAAATCATAAAATAAATAGAACATTTGTCGTTTTGTCGTGAATGACATATTTTATTTCATCTCTAAGAAAGAAAACGTTTATATTTTCACTCATGCTACGCATTCGTGAAAATATAAGTTTTCTTGCTTCTCGATGAAATAAAATATGTTATTCACTCTAAAACGACAAATATCCTCTATTTATCATCCGTTTTATACAGTAAATTCTTGTAGAATGTTTGTTATTTTATTGAACATATAGACCCCGAATATTTTTTTAAATGTCATTTTTCGGGCAGATGGGTAAAGTACACAAAACTATTAATGGATTAAAAGTTAGAAAATACCGTTCCACCCCCACCTCTTTTCTAAGACTATTTTGGAATCCTTACCATCTATTTTTCACCGTTATTCTTTTTTTTTAGGGGGGGGGGGGGGTCACCGAAGGAATCATTTCTCGCCACATCTGACACCTATTTATAATAATTCAACACTATTTTCAAGTAGGAAGTAGGATTTTGGACAAAAACATGCTTTAAAACTTTAATAAGAATGTAGAACAAGTTAAACATGCATTATGCAAGAGCTAAATCTGCCTATTGCAGGTCTTTCTTTAGGCCTGAAATGTTTTCTAAAGTATTAAATAAAAGTTAATTAACTGATCCAGGCCTTAATCAACTCTTGATGGCATCAGATTTCTCCGATATTAAATAGATTAGAATGGTTCAGCGATACTTTGATTTAATCAAATATGGAGGACCGAGACTTAGCTTCGATCAACCAGTACGGTGGTTGAAATTATTGCTCACGTCTGTCAAACCTTCAAAGGCTAATATCTTCGCTTGCAATAGAGTAATTTGAATGAAATTTTCAAATCATTCATTTTACATCATCTACTTTCGAACTATTATAGCAAGAATGGCTAGTTCTTTATCTAAATCTTACATAATGTATCTTGAATATATAATTGTACAGCGCTAAATTTCAGAACTTATTCGAATTGGTGCATCCTAATGACGTCCACTATATATATATCTTGTTGACTAAACTGATCATTTCCGTCCTTTTTACAAGTCCCAATTTTACATTGGTAACAGAGAACAACGTAACAGCAGTATTGTTTGGTTTTTTACTTGTGGTAAATGGAACATATCCCCTAACTGTATTCAATATACCTCTATTTTGTTGAATACTAAAAATGTTTCTCACTTAACTTACAGCTTTTAGTTTTTAGACTACCTGGGTTTTTTCACCGATATGGTTACTTATATAGGTAATTTTTACTTCAATATGTTTACATTCATATTTCTCGTAACATATAACAGATCATGACTCATGCTGGCATTACACAATGGTTTCTCTGGGTTATGTTCCTGATTGTTTTTAAATTTGAGTTAGGTCTGTATCGCTACAGACAGGCCCGGGACTGTACAGCGCAGTGGACGCTTACGGCTGGCCCCCGGATCGATTCACTTAATTTGATATGTTCGTTTGTATGTGATTTCTGTCTATTGTGCAGTCCCCCTGCACTTACTATTTGACTTCACGTTCTGCATATGATCAAGTAACTCTGGAACACTGTGTGTTTTTATAACTATGTTTATTTATCAAATACAACTACAACATCTATTATAGATACTTTAGGAGTTTGAGTTTAATATCCTTTATAACTCTGACCCAACGGCTGAAACACTACATATTGTCTCTATTCCGGCCTCGAACCAGAGGCCGAGAGTACGTCCTAGGAACGCCGGATGATGTCGGTATCCCTGGCCTCAAAGCCGACGAGGCAATGATGTTCCCCTCTCGGACCGCTCTATGATGTCTGAAAGCAAATTTAACCTCGCTCTTTCTTATATAGAACATATAGATGTATCAGCTATTAGGGCGGAGCACTTACCATTTTTGGGTAAGTGTTTCGTATGGGCACTGTTTTACGTCAACATTATTCTATTTAATTGGACTAATCTGTGCACGAGATGACTGGACGATAGTACCCTACTTTCAGCAATTGATGATGGCAGGGACTGTCTGTGAGTTAGTCTAAGAAAGTTGAATCTTGCAAAATACCTACTTACATGTAGCTGATTTCGCGTTGTCACCCATTTGTTTAACCACTTAATCAATATATTAAACAGAGCACCATTCATAGAACAAAAACAGCCCCTATAGTATTACAAAATGAAATGAAATGGGGTTTAACGTCCTACAATTCTGCTCCTAATACTGGGCTAATGAAGACTGGCTATAGTATTACAGTAGTAGTAGTAATCTTTTAGAGGCATTTAGTAACTGGATAGAGCAATAAACTATAACACATACTTATGTAAGAACAATTACTGATTTATTTGGGCGACGTTTCGAAGAGTATTCTCTCAACGTTTTCAAGCAAGTACAGTAACAAGTGTGTAGAGCAATTATATATAGACAAGCAATAACAACAATTCAGAAACCAGTAGTAGTAGTAGTAGTAGTAGTAGTGGTTTGTTGTGTCTTATTACTAGATATAGTATACGGTCCATGGTCCTAGTCATAGCAATCGAATTAGTAACCGTCATAGTAATCATAATCGTCATAACTACGAGGTGGGCGTCGCGGCCTTGGGGGGAAGGGGTTTTTTCCTGCTCTATCAATAGCTTGCTTTAATCGCGTAGCGGCTTGTCGAACGTTCGCCGGGATGTAAGATTCCTTGGTTTGATAACCTAAAAAGGTATAAAAACCTTTAGTAACGGTTACCTTAGAGGGGTTTTTTGCGAGTCTTTCCTCAAACTCTTTGAAATCTTCTTCAATTAATTTATAATAAAAATGGACCAATAGCGAATGGTATTTTGATTTGTCCCTGGCGCTCTTGATACGAATATCCTTTATAACGGCCCTTTCTTGGTCTCTTAGAAAATATAGGGGTGTTTCTCTGTTGTATTTGTTAACGATGTCATTAGATATGATTTGACGAAATCTATTATCGAGATCCGTTGCTAATTCCTTAATGTTTGGTCTCGAGTATGTTTTGCCTTTACAAAGTGCATAGTAGTAATTATAGACAGGATTGAAGTCGTCGCCATCTTGATCCATTTCCTTTTTCAGTTCTCTGAGAACTTTGAGAAAGGCCTCGTAGTACATATTTTGTACGACATGAGTCATACATAACTCAATCTCTTCATTGGACCAGTTTCTATCAATGGCAGCTTTTTCATCTTCGTCGGTTAAAGTCTCATATGAAGCAGACGACCTATATTTTCTACCCATGTCTCGCAAGACTGTTTTAGCGGCATTGTCCATTCTCTCACTACGCCTCTTTTTCAGTTCTGGGTCCAGTTTATAATTAATCGTTTCTTCAACCCTTTTTCTGAATAGTTCCATGGCGTCCACCGACTTTAATTTTCTAAAACAAAATATGAAAGCGTGTTGAGTCTAGAAGCCTAGTTTCAACGTAATGTATTTTAGTCCCAAATTAATTGATTTAATAATATTGATCTAAATTACACCGGCATCCCATAAAATGAGACCTTGCCCACATATTACTAAAACACATGTTTTTTAACAATTAGTGTCGCCGGATCTTATTCATGTATATTGCACCAACTAATAAAACGAGTTCGGCACCTTGTTCTTTAAATATGTATCAAGCCTATTTTCTTGGTCAAGGCATTTTTTAACAATACTAAATATTTAATGTTACCTTAATTGGTTTTCATAGATTTCTGGTACCAATATTGTAACGTCCTCACATGCGTACTCAATCATTTCCGTTGTAAGTGGTCTACGTTCCCAATAATCGGGCTCAGTTTTATTCCATTTTTTCTGAAATAACGAAAATAAAATCGATAACGAATAAAAATAATAAAGCAACAATGATGACAGTGAAAATGGTAACATAAAAAGACAAATAAGAATAACAGGTGCATAGAATCGTAAACAAATGGTGATAAAGTAACAATGATAAAAGGTAACAATGCGATTCGTTGTAAACCCGAACAATTATAATGATCGCACCGAAAACCACGTAAGATAACACGTTGCAATATAAATGATAATGTAATGATGACAAAATCATGTACAAATAACCGTAATTATAAACAAACATAAAAATACCAATGAAAACATTCACTTACCAGCATATCAGTCTTTGCTTCCATTTTGTTCATACCGTAGATTTCACAGATCTCTGATAATTTTAACCTTGGTGCAATTAAACGACCTTGTCGTTCAAGAATAACCATGTGAGCCACCTGTAATTAATAAGAATATAAAATAAATCATTCCTCAAAGGTAGATAAGAACACTACAGATATACAGTACTGTTTCTTTTTCTATATCTATGCATATAATATAATGTCCGTACCTGAGTATCAAACACGTTTCTCAAAGAAACACCAAACTGATGTTTCAATGCTTCGCTGTCCCCAGAGCATGCATGGAAAACCTGAAACAGATTGGATAAATGTTTTGATACATTGGTGATATTTCCATGTATCCATCAATTATTTCCCCGGCGTCCATCTTCAGATACAATGCCGGAATATAGGTAATAATAATGTTACACGCGGTGAACTCTTTTAAGGCTGTATATTGGCTACCCAACTGAGTTTCGAATTCGAAATATTCCTATAACTTTCCCTGGAAGTACACCTAGCAACGTTATCAGTAACCCTTGTTCGCTTCAATACAGGTTTTGTGCTACTATATAAATTTGGTTATCTAACCAAAAATCGTAATAACTACAGGATTATCTAGGAAGGGTCTGGCGACTATTTCACTTGCTGTCTGGCGGTTGGGGCCTGGACTCTCGACTAGTATGTTCCGGATTATAATCCTTGGGATGAGAATGGACGTTTTATTGGGCGTTTAGTTCAAGAAAGTTTAAGCGGAAAAAACGTAAACGAAGTGGTCAAAGAATAAACTCCCCGCCTTTGTCCTTGTGTGCCACAGTGGCATCAGTTTCAATGCAACGTTTAACTCTGGCGGCCTACAAACAAATTTACCAGAAGTTGTTGGGATGAGGACAATTTAGGAATGGCAGATCTTAATTATGGGTCTTGAACAGAAATAGGCGCAAAGCATTTTAGTTTTGGTTTCATTATGTAGTTTCAAAATATTCCAGGAAATGACCAATTACGCATCTATTTGAGTTCACTGTTAAAAGTAAATTCATATAAATACTAGAAAATTTAAAGAGCGTATGGCTCTAGTTTTTAGAACGTTGAAATAGACCAAAATGGCCCTAAAAGCGAGCGAGAGAGAGAGAGAGAGAGAAATGGGGTTTAACGTCCACTCGACACAAATTAGGTCATTTCGGGACTAACATATGGTATAATTTTATTTCAATAATTCGCTTGCGCATAGGGGTCTTTAGCAGTGGGAGGAAACCGGAGGACCCGGAGAAAACTCACAAGGTTGGGCAGGCGACCCTACTCCTTGTCACGTACAGCCGGGGATTCAAAACCACGCCAGTGGACTCAATGACAGACTTTATGATCCAGCGCGCACGCTAACCATTCAGCCATCCAATCCCCCGGCCCTAAAAGCACATATTAATGTAGTAATATGAATGTATGTAAAGTGATTTATATTCAATTTTTGAAAAAAAAATTATTTTAATTTCTAATCAATTATGTTCGGTGAAATACGTGAATGCTTAGTGCATACTACACGTTATTTAAATTATTATTTTGTCGTTTTTGAATCAACCATTACTAATTACTTATGTTGTAGGATATGTTTTTATGTGTTCATTACAAAATAGCACCCGAAGCCATAGGATACACGACTCGTGTACCGATTATAAAATGTTAATTGCGTCTTAAGATATATTGGATATTAGGATCCCATATGGCATAGTTTAACTGCAAGATAACAACATCAATATTTATTGAAATTTATCAATATTGAATTCTAATTCGTGTGTTTAATTTCGAATATTATGGAAAATATTGAGTTAGAGACTTAGCTCTTTTAATCTCTATATGCGCGAAGAAATTCAAGGAAATACGGGATAAACACAAACCGAGGACCTCGCGAACAATGTAACGGAGGATGAAGAATACAAAGATCAATAATTTACACTGACACTATAAAATTACAACGAATAATTGTTCTAGAAAGAATAATAATGGGCTGTCTTTTTCGCGACACTCGCCACTACTTATAGCTAACTCGTGTGCTGTTTTGGACTGCAGAGTCCGAAGGGTCAAAGGCCAGAAGTACAATCCCCAGCCAAGCCCTAATAACTTCTCATCTGAGAATATGGGTATATAATAACTAAACCCTACACTGGGTACATCTAATTTGCTAGAAGTTGTTTACTATATTTACTTGCTATAGTACCCCTTGTTAGAAGTTGTTTAAACACTGTATTTACTTGCTACAAGTTGTTTAGACACTACAGTTAGTTGCTAGAAGGCCCGTAGCTACGAGGGTGGGGTGGGGGCTTCGTAATGGAAAGGGCGCCTTGCGCCAATTTTTTCCCAAGTGGTGCAGCTGCCCCCCCCCCCTAAACTACGGGCCTGGTTAGAAGTCGTATAGGCCCTTGTTAGAAGTAGTTTAAACTTGCCAGAAGTTGTTTAAGCCCTACACTGGGTGGACAATCATTTTCTATAATTTGTGAGTTTTCTCAACTAGTTGTTCTATACCCAACATTGAATTTACAATAACTTAAATCTTACACCGGGGAAATGATTAAACTCTTTAATCATACAGTGAGTACACGATTCGTGATGATTTTACCTTTACGGTTAATCCTTACCTTGAGAACATGATTACTCTCTAAAAGTTGTTTTAGTCCACCATCTTGGAACATGCGTTTGTCTTTATGAATATCAAATAAATATACATGGCCGTCAGTTGTAGCTATTTGTAGAAGTGTTAATGGTCCATCTTTACCTAAATTGATACCTTCTGCGTCACAAGATATTATTTCTTCTTTCATCAAAGTCTCTACAACTCTCCGACATTTTCTTACCTCCTCGATTATTTCATAATTCATTGTGTCTTATTGTTTGATGATGTGTATAAGCCTATATCTATAAAAACAAAACTGACTTTATATTGTAGACAATCCTCGGCAGTGGCTCCCTGGCTCCCACTCCGGTCGAGGTAGGTCCCTAATTGGCTCCCCTTCCAGTGAGGTGGGCCCCCGGACGACAAACAGGAAATGCTGTGCTAAACCACAGGCATGACTCTGTGGTGGAGCTTAGGCCCAACGCGAGGGCCCACGTGTGAATGTAATTGTTATTTGTGCATAAAACCCGCTCGCCGTTAAGTAGTAAGTCACGTGACCCCAATCAGCTGTTTTGTTTACATCCTTAATAGAATGAACTGTTAAACTAATACGATACTTATATGCATAGTATTTTAACCTAGGATTTGTAGTAGTCATATGTCAAGGTATTTTCTGTTTATCTGTCAGACTTGTCATATTTCTTTTGTTATACTGACATGATAGATGGAATTTATCTATGGTACTCTGTTATAATAGTATGGTTAGCTTCAGAAAGTATATTGTATATTATATGTCTTTTCAGCCAATCTGTATATTTTGTATCACTACGATGCTGCTACACTACCCGTAGGTATCCTTAATCAGGGTCAGAAGGGTCCCACTGTAATGTATTTGGGCTCACCCGTCTGCCGTAGGGGTCGATGTACGAGAAAAATCGCGCTTTTAGCTTGTGGTCCCTCTAGAGGTCACAATTTTTATCCGATTGAAAAAAAAAACGTTTGAATATATCACGTTACACCTTAACTGCTGGACCAAAACTGCTGGACAAAATGACCGCCCCTCGTACGCAAATAGTGTAAATATATGGTATATCAAAGTCGTGGACCCTCTAGAAGTCACGATTATAACAAGCCATAATGAAAATTGTGTAAAACGTAACCCATGCCCTCACCTCATTGCATTACACTGTAATTACAGAATTAACTTAAGTGCTGAATAGTAGATATAATACGTTTACACGATTATAGAAAGCCATGCTCAAGTAAGATGCCGTTGACATATAAGTTATTTAAATGTTGTTAGTTTAATGGTTACCTTACCTCGACTCTACATCTTTAAGTCACAACTACAACGAATATACTGATTTGTATGTAATTTTCAATCCTTGAAATTCCTGGAATTACCTACTTTTACGCATGTGTAAGCCGTTTGTGTCCTATAAAGATATTATTCCTTTCAGATTACTGATTATATGCATAATATATCTATCGTCTGCTTTATTTTAAAATGATATGTGAGTCATTTTGCCAATAATAGAACATAACTAGAACTGCGATGCAGTAATGACGGGTTTCACCGGTGCCACGTTACCCTAAACATATGTCACTTCCGGTACCAATGAAACCATTAAACAGGTTTCCACCTCATCATTGCACACATCAAATAAAATGGACGCCGAATCAACCAAATCCAGCAATATCAATTCATTTTATATATTTGTTACATGTAAGTGTACAGTACTTCCGGTGATAATGAAAATATACAATTAGTTTTATGAAATCAGAAATGGCATAAGGCATCACATGGTGAAAATTTTATGTAAATCGAATAATAATTGCCACTTTTATAGACCAAAAACCTTAAAAAGTGACTTGTAGAAAACCGTCAATTCCTCTGCAACCATACAAGTTAGAAACCATTTTCTGGAATCTGTATGATCGTATGGGTTTATTGATTGGAATCAAATATCATAATTTTAAAAACATAACAACTCAGACTCATTTGAATAAAATATCTGTTTTGAAAGCTAAAAATACAGTTTTTGCCAAAATGACGTTACTTCCGGTGATAATGAAAATCTTAAATTACTTGTATGAAATCGTAAATGGCATTAGGTATCACATAGTGAAAATTTCATGAAAATCGAATAATAATTGACACTTTTATGGACAAAAAACCTTGAAAAGTGACCTGTTGAAAATTACCTATTTCTCTACAACTGAACAAGTTAGAAACCATTTTGTGATACCTATATGATCGTATGGGTTCATTCTATTAGTTGATTAGAATCAAATATCAAAATATTAAACAAACAACAAATACGACTCATTTCAATAAATTTTTTGTTTCTAAGGCTATAAATACAGTTTTTACCCAAATTTCGTCATTTCCGGTGACATGGAAAATGTTAAATTGAGTTGAACTAGTCACAATTGACATTATGCATCAAATGGTGTCACTTTTATGAAAATCCAATAATAATTGACTCTTTTACAGACACAATAGCGTTAAGAGTGACTCATGCAAAATTGACCATTTCTCGGCAACTGCTCATATTACAAACTAATTTTGAGATAGATTCTCTTCGTATGAATTAATGCTACAAGTTTATGAAAGTTGCGAAGAAATATTTTAAAATATGAAAAGCCTGAATGGGTTGTAAATGGCTCATTTTTTCACATTTTTTCACCTTTAAATCAAAATGACCCGAAAACGAAATCGAAATTAAAAAAACTGAGTCATACCAGATTTGAAAAAAAATAATATTTGCTTTCAAAAAGTGGTACCGAACTGTCAAAATTGTAGTTTTTGCTAAATTTACGTCACTTCCGTTGCCGAAAGGTAACTTTACCGGTAACAAAAAAAATGACATTTTGGATTACCGAGCATATGAACTTTGTTTTATACAAATCGAGCAATAAATAATTAATCCAGGACTGAAAAACTGAATTAGCCAATGGGGGTCAAGGAAATTTACGATGACAAAAAATGGTGCCATTTTTGGTCAAATCAGATGACTCTTTAACCCTGGGTAAAATACCACATTAAAATATTCATGAATAAAAAAGTTTTTTGTAAAAATTTAAATTTTCAAAATTTGGCGCCTAATATCTCCGACGATTCGTGGAAAATCAAAAATCTAAAGAACCGTGGCTATGTGCCTTGTCTCTGGCTATGTCATAATGTATCCAATGTTAAAATCCGACGATTATTGTTAATATTACGGCAATATTTCAAAAATCGACAAATTCGACGATTTCGGACATTTCGCATTGTCGCAGAACGTTCGAAATAGCTTTAATCTCTAAGTCACACCCACTTTTCTAGTAAAACCGAAGACATCGAATCAATCCGACAAGTAGTTTCTGAGATACAATCAAATTGGAAAAAAAAATAATAAGAATAATAATAAGAATAATTTTAACAAAAACAATAGTGTTTCACACAAGCTACGCAGTGTGAAACCCTAATAATAATAATTCTTGGAAAAAGCTCAAGCAAATTCTATGAAATGCTAAGTTGGGGCCTTTGACATCGAAAGTGTTGTCAACAGTTGAGAGCAAAGGTGTGCGGGTTCGATGAATGTAAGGGGGCAGAACCTGAATTGTCCCTAGCAATTTTATGTATAGATTTATCTGATATTTTTAGATTTATCTTGATAAAAGGACACTAGGCGAAATGTGAAACCCCCTTCATAAAAGGCTTCTGGTTATTAAACTATTTAAAATTCACGCCATGCTCTAAATGTATAAATATTGAATTACACCAACCATATATTTATCGTTGATGTTATACACATTCACTCATCGTCAACAAGGACGTTACTCAATATCTATTTTATTTTTAAACATAGGGGCATAAAAGATCTGACTATTCATTTTAATCGTACAAACCAGTGAGGTGTTACAATAGAAATAGAAGATGTTAATACAACTGTCTTAATGCTAGATTCTCACTATCACGACTCGAGCCAGGAAAACGTGTCTCCGAACGTCAAATTTTCCATATTATCCTTAAATGGGGGGGGGGGGCCTACATTAGTAAGCTCTGCTCCTTCACCTCCGGCACCACCATCTGTAACGCGCAATTATATTTTGGGGGCAACTCAGGTTATGCCCCCCCCCCTTATTACATTCACCGAGCCCGTACGTATATACGCCTTTGCTCGCAACTGGGGGTCTCTCATCCCAGGGATCAGTATAAAGCATTTTTCTTCTAAAAGCCTACGTTCTAGAAGTCTCACTTCTATGTTAAAATCAGACCTCGTTGTCATTGTATCTAACGGCATAATTACTTGCGCGCAATAACCCGGAGAAAAGAGTACTTGCGGCCATTTATTGGGGGTGGGGGGGGGTAAAGCCATGAGTCCATACTCCCGTCTCCGCTCTCCTAACTACATGTAAGTCTCTTTAATTATAAAAAACCACAGGTCTGGTCTTATATACCTTCAAACAGAGGAGAAATGGATACTCGCAGCTTATAAGGAACTGGGTATACACACACAAGGTCATCATCATATATGAAGTTTACAAGTTATATAATGAATTTCGCTGACTGGTTTAAATGTACACAGGTCATACATGCACATTGTCAACAGTATCTGGGATTTATTAAGTCTGTAATAAAAACACGCGAATACGTACTTATGAAGTGGTTTGTAGATGTGAATAGCCAACATCACATTTTATCAAAACACAGATGGGGTTTAATAAGTTCAGTGCATCTAAAGCCCGGCCCATACCGCTACGACTATACACAAGCCGACGGGACTCGGCGTCTTGGGTAGTTGTAAAAAAAAAATCGGGTCGCGCCTTTACTTCACTTGCCTACGACGGTACCAGTCCACACAGGCCTGACTCTCACAGATTATGCGTCGTGAGCTACGCCACTTCCCTCTAGCGAGTGATTCCAAAAGTTAATCGGAAGCAAAGAGCACATGACCTGCACAGTCACATGACTAAATGCTACTCTCTGATTGGCTAAACATCAGTAAGACAATTGATCGCGTCGTGTGAGTGTCCACACAAACACGATAAGTTACGACTGCAACCAACTGCATCCGACTACGATTGAACATGTTCAATCGGGCCGACGGGCCATGACGCGACGGAAATCGATTGAAACGTGGTCGTGGGACTGTCCACACTGCACTGATTATCTGAGACAAGACGTTGCGTTGGATAGAGTCTGGGCAAGTCGTGGCGGTATGGACCGGGCTTAAATAAACGTTTGTATTTTATACTATAGAAAATTTGATGAAAGTTATGGAGAACTTTATCACAATCCTCCGTAAATTCAAAATCTCACGCGCCCCACATAGCGTATTCGTAACTGAATTCGACATATTCGTAACTGAATTCGACATATTCGTAACCGATTCGTTACTGGATCGCTACAATTAGTAGATGATTCTTTCATTTCGTACCTTTATAAATCGTAACCGTATTTTGACATTCAGCATATTTTCTCCCAATTGCCCACGAATTATCATAAGCCATTCGTAAACTATTCGTAACTGCTTCGTCGCTACTGCCGATCCTCCACGATTCGTGGTTGAGCTACGAAATACTGCAAACAATACGAATAAGCAAGAATCAAAAGAATTATTCACGAACTTCAAGAACCGTCCACGATTTATCTACGAATCGGAAATGTTTGGATTTGTGACAATTCGTGACATTCGTAGCACACGTAAAAGCCCAGCATAAAGCCAGGCTGGCACTTGCACGACTTTTGGCCTCGATTTTGTCGTGGCAAGTCGTGCCATTTTGGGGCACGAACTGGAAGGCTCCCGCACTGTTCACGGCTAGTTCACGCATAGTTCACGACGAGTTCACGAATGCGTGCCCATCAGTGTCCACATTGACACGGACTGGCACGACGAGTTCACTCATAGTTATCGCATAGTTTACGCACTTCCCGCATTGGCAGGACGAGTTTGCGCAATTCGGACGGTGTCGTGCCGACTTGGGCACGCCATATAAAAAGGGGGCCTCCCCAACCCCTGGTCATTTTTGGATTGGCTGTGGAAGAGAAAACATGCTGAATGTCCTGGCAGCTGCTCTAGCCATTGTTCAAGAGCAGCAGAAAAGGCTGGAAGAGGAAGAAGAGCAAGAAAAGGCAACCTCACCTCGAAGAAAGACATAAAGGAAAGTGTGGGTCAGGGAATGGTTGACCAGAAGGCAAGAGTTTGGACAGTATGACAGTTTACTGACTGAACTCCACATGGAAGATCAAAGGGGCTACAAAAATTACCTCAGTATCACACCTGACCTGTTCCAAGAGATGGTTGAGAAGTTAACCCCTCGCCTCCAGAAGCAGTCCACCTTCATGAGGGAACTGCTTCAAGTTGGGCTCAAGCTAGCTGTCGCCCTCTGCTTCCTAGCCACTGAAAATTCCTATCCAAGTCTGCAGTACAGCTTCAGGGTTGAAGCAAGTACCATCTGCAAGTTCATACCCGAGGTGTGTAAAGCCATCATCGCGGTCTACAAGGACGAAGTGCTGCGCTGCCCCAAAACTGAAGAGGAGTGGAAGGAAGTTACTGCCAGGTTCAGCTCCAGATGGAACTACCACAACTGTCTGGGGCTGTGGACAGCAAGCACATCCCCATGAAGAAGCCACCCAATGCTGGCTCTTACTACTACAACTACAAGGGCTTCCACAGCATTGTTCTGATGGCAGTGGCAGATGCTACCTACAAGTTCCTCTATGTGGATGTTGGGGCAGAGGGTGTTGCGTCGGATGGAGGAACATGGAGTAACTGTTCCCTGCTTGATGCTGTAGGAGAGCAGAGCTTTGTTTTATGCATGTTGTCTCTGTGATAAATTGTCTCTTCGCTGGCGATCTCTGGAATGGCGAGCAGTGTCCAGGAAGCCCTATATATACACCTGCACCGACGCACCCGATTAGATTTCATTACATACTTCGAGAAGGTATTTGTTGAGTAATAAAACCTTCTAATAGTTTATCGAGGGCTGGCCGTTCCCAAACGGTACAAATAAAACCTTCTAGTAGTTTATCGAGGTTCGGGTGCTTCCGGAGTCCAAAATGGCCGCTTTATATAAATGAGAATTTTGGGGATAACTAACCCGAACCCTAACCCTGTTTAAATGACTGAAATTGGGTCTAATTTAGTTTTTACTTCTCTTAAAAGGGTTAGGGTTCGGGTTAGTATTCCCCTAAATACTCATTTGTATAAAGCGGCCATTTTGGTATGAGTTCTGGCTTGTTCTGGAATTTGTTGCTTCTAGTGGTGATAATATTTGTACCGTGCGGTAAGGACGGCCAGCCCTTGATAAACTACTAGAAGGTTTTATTACTCAACAAATACCTTCTCGAAGTATGTAATAAAATCTAATCGGGTTGCGAACGCCACTGTCGCGCAGTGAACTAGTCGTGAACTATTCGTGGCAGTTCGTGACAGTCGTGGCATAACGCGCACTGCCACGCATCCTCCTGCATCGTCCCGACGAATTCACGACGAGTTCACGAACAGTTTGCGCATAGCTCACGACCCGGTCGCTAAATTTTGTCGTGACCAAAATTTTGAACATTTCAAAATTCTCGTCCCGACATGACACGCAGTCACGGCGGGTTTACGCACACTTCACGCCAGTTTACGACTAGTTTGCGCATGGAATCGTGCAAGTGTCAGCCTTGCTTTACACTCGACCTGGAGTTCAACTATGTCAGTTTTGACGCGCTCAATTAAAATTTTATTCAAAAACCAATCGCTTGTTGCTAAAGGTCGGTATTTAAAATCAAAATGATGTGAATGTTTTCAAGCTATTGTCAGTAATAAAATATATGACCTTAAAAATGATGGGCCTTTATCAGAAGGAAGGAAGGACGGATATAGAGAATGTCAGAAGACTTAGTGATAAGAAAGGTACATGTATCATCATATTTGGGGGAACTAAATAGATACTAAACAACTCGAGTCCAATGCGCTTGGTATCGACTCAAATCGGATACTGAGCCACCCCCCCGCACACACGGGCACACAAGCACTTGGTTTTTCTCGCTCTGATGTTTTACCTGGTCGTTCACTTCAAGCCCATTATGAGAGGACAATTTGTCAAGTTTCTAGCAAAATTGGCTGCTGTTAGCTATATTTGGTGTGTATATGGAAACCACTGTTGAATATCTGTGCAATTCGAAATAATCGAGTGCGTAGCGGTAATTAAAATTAGATTGTGTCCTATTTGTGTTTGGACAGTCATTACAGTATTGTTATGCAATTCAAAATATTGCCATAAATAGCCTAGCTGGCCAATTGCCAATATTTTAAAACGATTGTCAACGATTATTAGAATTTAATTATTTTTACTTTATTGTGCGGTGTTCTGGGAAGTCTTTACATGCATATTTATAGTCTATTTTATTACAGCACTTTGGACTGTGGTGGTTAAATAACGGCAGCTACATATATATTTAACCCACAATCATAAGACATGACACACACCAACCACTAGAGGTAAACCATATGTACTGAAATATCCAATTAATTCATGGTTACCAAGACATTAATTTGACATTTTTGGTAACTATAGGCGTACAGGCTCGATGACTGGTAGGGGGGGGGGGCAGAGCTCGAAATGCCCGAAAAAAATCGGGTTAGCCCCCCCCCCTCCCGCCCACTGAGAACAGGCCCTAAGCTAATTACCTGACATTTTAATTCTTACATCGACGATTTTAGTTAAGTCGAAAACACTGAGTATGCTTTTAAAATTTTTTAGAAGTATTTATTTCTCTTCTATTTTTATTTTGAATGAAATTAAATATGATTATTTAGCCGTTGTGTGTATGAAATATGTCAAACTGATCAAAGCGGAATCACGAAAAAGTCCACTAATTATTCAATATGGCGGCGCCCATGAAAGATAATTTCACAGAAGCGGTTTTATTTGCGAAGACAAATTTAGGAGTATCTAACCTTGTTTTGAAAGATAAACATATTGAAACTGTAAAGACAGTTACAATGGTAAATACTGTATTGCATTATTACTCACTAGCACATTATATATCGTTTTACCGGTGGGGGGGGGCAAAAGTCGACATTTTCGCTAACTTGACATTGTTTACATAAACCATGTGCTTCGGGTGTACAGCCAGTCGATAAGTCCCGCCCCCAAATGATCATGTGAGCGTTTTAAATGGCCGGCATTTAGGGCAGTGATGTTATTCTCAAAGTTTGACGTAGATGGATCGCTGCGTGCAATATGTTCCCCTCCTGGAGAAAATTTTGAAAATGTAACCGTCGCAAATGCGTTATTCTGCTATTCTAGCCCGTGAGTTAAGCAACTCCAAAGTTGTCGAATGGTTTTTTAATCGAAATCCCACTCAATGCCGACCTGAATTCCAACCATCCAATCAGATTGTTGCAGCTGCATTCAAAAATAATAATCGATGCCCGAAAATGTCGCACAAAGTAGAGTGACTCCAGACAAATTGTTTTAATCCATAGTCAATTCAGTACAAATTCGTGGTATTCAATTACAAGAAAAGTTTCTTGAATCCCACTTAATTGGAACTAAAGTTATCGTGTCCCAAAGCATCAACCAATTAAATTGCTTATCTCTGCTTACCCTAAGCTGAAACTGCTCATCCTCGAACTCCATCAGGGCATTGACCTAATAAACACCTGCATCAAGTTTGAACATTCTAGCTCAATTAGGAGAGTTATTGTGTCCCAAAAAGTGTGACGGACTGACAGTGTGTGTAAGAAAGGCACATGAGCTTCAGAGAAAGAGATTATAACTGCGTCTACTCTACACAAACTAGGTCATTTTGGGACTATCATATGGTTCAATTTTATTTCAATAATTTGCTTGCACATAGGGGTTTCTAGCAGTGGATGGAAACTCACAAGGTCGGACAGGCGACCCTACACCATGTCACATACAACCGGGAAATCGAAACCACGCTAGTTGACTTAATGACAGACCTTATGACACAACGCGCGCACACACTAACCATTCGGCTGCCCCCGCCCCCCTGGCTTCAGCCTGTCAAGCCTATTAGTAAATCCCACACTGAATACACCTTCCTAACTTTCTTTGGCACAGTACAATAATTATAAGTTTTCTGGCTTCACATTGATGATATTACGCTTGTATTTATATTTCTGGCCATTAAAAGTTATTCAGCTTTGAATAAATAAAAAACAAGATTTACTCTTGAATATCATATTTGATTTTATAATTTATTCATTTTTACTTCAACACATCACTCCACTATAATTATACACATCTTATAAATCATGTGTATCTTTGATCATTATACCATATAATTACTTGTACTCCTTTAAAGGCCTGTACACACCCAGAATGATTATTTGTAGCCAACGGACCTATTTGTTGGTGGCAAAGAGCTGTTAGTGTTAGGCAAAAGATGCATGACACACCCTATCAATTTTCCATTATGGATGATTATCAGCCAATGGCAAGAAATGTTTTCACCTTATAAAAACCACCTCTTGTTGTCAGCAAATGTTGGGGCACAATGATTATATGCTGGAGATCGAAAATAACCTTGGGTGTGTTCCGGGCTTTAATAAGTTCAATTTGTTCTACAGAGAGTATCTAAGAAGTGGAAGACTGAAATCTCCTAAATACATAATGTTCCATATGCCAACATGGTATAATAATTAGAATATATTTAGTAAAAGATTGTTGCTTATATGGAATTTAACCTCACAGCTTTCTCCACTACACAAATTTCCTTTTACGACCCTACAAATGATGTATCATGGAGACTTTTACTACAAAGATTATAATTAAATGATCCATAGCATTTTGTTTATCCCATATAAACTTGGATCTGCATTGACTTTAATTAAATGATCCATAGCAGTTAGTTAAAAGATCCATGACAGTTTGTTTTATATATACCTAAATTTCTACATGGTTTATAAGTAGTGTATCAATTAGCATCACATAATGGGTTGTTTTATATTTGCTGACTCTTGTAAGATGATGTTAATACACAACAAATGGTGGGGAGCCTCTTTTTGATATCTCCATGTGATGTCAATATTCTTTCTATACATCAGCAAAATTTTTAACTTTATATGTCCCCATATAATGATCATATATCTCAAAAATGTCATTTTCTTCCTAAAATTTGAAGAGTTACAGTTTATATAAAGCCAACATTAGTCTCAAAGTGAAAAACGTATCAAATCACATTTATTTCAAACCAACTGACGGTTACGCAAAAAGTGCCTGGATTCGATATCTGTGAATTGTTTATTGAAACAGACCTAGAATTTTATGCCAATTGAAACTACTGTCCAGCCACAAACTGGTTTGTTTAAACTGATTGAATTATTTGATTAAGATTATACTTCACTGATTAATTTGAATAGTTCTATCTAAACACAAAACAGTCTTTCACTATCAACGCCACAAATTAACAAACAAATACTCTCATTGGTTAATAACAACATACTCTCTAAAACCACTATAGATTGGTCCTTGATACACTAAAACAGTTAATATATATATTAAATGCCGTCACAGTCATTTTTACAAGATGATTCAATCATCCGTGAGATATATTACAATGACTTCCTTAAATGGGACGATGAATATTTACGTAACGAAGTAGAATAACCTATGACCTATGTCTTCCATCAAGATTTGGTTTTCGGTGAATCATGTCTAGAAAATGAAGCAGCGTCTTTAACTGAAATATATTCTGGTGCCCCAGGGTTACGTAGCTCCTGTTCCTTCTGCCAATTGACTTTCTTTGTGTGTTGAGCTACAGCATCAGCTACAATGGCGTCAATCATTTTCTGTGTTAGTACACCATCTTCTGAAGCGTATGCTTTGGCCTGAATAAAGATAAAGGTATTAAACATTTTACAAAGAAAATCAAAGTAAAGGAATGGGGTTTAACATCTTGTCAACACAATTCTTTGGTCATTTTGAGACTTAAAGGAGCTAAATCCCTATTCTTTGACACCTAGGGTTGCAACATATATAATAATATATGAATGTATATAAACTGATTTACATTAAATCATTTGTAATTTTACTGTAAATACGCGAAGAGTCCAAATTGAATAGCAGTCTTTGGTTTCTGGTTATTCCAGTCTACACCGGTGGTACTCTCCCGTGGGGTATGTTTAGCCTCGTTTATTGAGTCGCTTCATTACAAATGGCACTCGAAAGCACTCTGGCATGCGATTCGTGCGCCAATTTCTAAATTTTCATTTTGTCTTAAATATTGGATATCAGAAACCCATCTTGTCACGGTAGGATCACATCAATGTTGATTTAAATTGGCCAGTAAATCGTGTTTGCAATGTCGAAGATAGTGGATGATATTAGAGACTTACCTCCTTTAACATATTATCATTTTGATTTCAGTAGTTATATGGACAATGTAAGGGGGAGAATTGTGCCTGGAAAGCTGCATTTCAGGTTACTTTTCTGCCCTGGTTCTTTTACTGGCTTGGATCTTGGTTTTTCGTGCCATCTGAATGACTAGACAATTTCAATGACAGCCCTGTATAGTTGCTATCCGTGATGGGGGTGGGGGGACCAGGGTTCAAAAACCCTAAGGTTAATTTTGGCCTACGACACAATTCAAACCCAAGACATGGTTGAGAGCCTTGTGCCAAGTCGCTCAACTGCAGTACCATCAGATCTTTATCTTTCTTGTTGCTACATTCCAGTTTAAATAGATTCATCAATTCAATAAACCACTTTGTATTATATATATAATGGTAAACTTACCTGCCAGGCAACACCTAACTTAGCTATTTCTCTGCCAGATAGACCTGATGTTTTCTTAGCAATCTCTGCACATTTAACACCATAATCAAACTGTTCCACCTTTAATCTTCTGTAAACAAAAAAATCAATTTTTTAAATTAAAATTTCATTATTCAATAAAAGACAGGTTGCCAGGCAACGAAACATATGCCCACAGCAGCTAAATCGTTGCATGTTTTTACTTTTTTCGGTAATGAAACATTCATAATACACTTAAATCTGATTAAGAGTAACAACTCATTAACTAATTATCAGAAAATCATTAGAATTTGTTTGTTTTTTAAAAAGTTATACAAAACATTTAATATCATGGATTTAGCTTGATTGAAAATCAATATACTTGTTCATCTCAAGACCTTAGACTCTGTGTATCAATCTGAAGTCAATCGGATGATAACTTTAGCCTCCAGAGCGTCACAAGATTTTCAAAGTGATCAAGGGCCATAACTTTGGCAGTAATTATCAGAAATCAATAGGATTTATTGTCTCATGACCTTAAACACTGTGTATAAATTTAAAGTCAATCGGTTAATATTGGTCGTATTTTGTTGTCGCCCCCCCGTCCTGCTTGTGGACGCCGGACAAACAGACGGACGGGGGGCGACGACAAAATACGACCACGTGGGCGTATAAAAACAGTATTTTAAACCGGCAAACAAATTAACAATGAAGGCCATGTAATCACAACACTTGCACAAGACATACCTACACTATTGACCTTAAAGGTGCAATATGACAGAACAAACGGAAAATATAGTTTCTGACCGTGATCAATAAGAAGTAGTCTTACTAAAAAGTATATTGGTCAAATTACTATGAAAATGACAAGCTAATGTCCACATCTGAAGGATAACTCAATTCAATCAATGATAATTACAACATGTGACAACTACAATATTAAATAAAATTCCAAGGTAGTGACAAATAAACCTTTCACTTAATAAAGTGGTAGAAGGGTGGAAGAATCCCTCTAACAGCGCATGCGCACTAAAAAATCTTTTGTCTATAGATACCCCCTAAGAGGAATTATTTATTTTGTACAAGTTGATGAAGGGCTGTAGCCCAAAACACATCCTGGATTAAACCATCATACTTTACAGTCTTATCAAGTTTGTCGCTTGGATATTTTTAAATTGTTTAGGATTTTGTACAACATTAAATCATATAGAACAGTGTTATACTACCTTGTTCCTTCTGTAGCTGGTTTTAACACATATTCATGGAAATAGTGTCGACACATTCTCTCTCTTTCTTCTAGACTCGGCACATCAAATTCTACCATTTCATCTAACCTATCATTTATAGCCCAATCAAATTGTTCTGGCTGATTACTAGCTAATACTAACATAAATCTGAAATACAAAGTAATAGTTTTATATATAGTTTATTTTATATACCTCAAAATAACATTCTACTATCCTTCATATATATCAATTTTACAATCTATTATATTCTTCTTTATAAACCTTCAACTTGACATTCCACTATCATTCTCCTGAATATACCTAAACTTTTCACAATGTACGACAATTAGAAGTGAGAGGATACCAGAAAACAAACATGACCATTCTAGAATTTAACCCACATTCGCAAGACTTGACACACACCACCTTCCTTCTACTCTAGACGTCAACCATATGTACTTACTTTTTAGATTGTTCACCAGTTCTATATAAAAAGGCATTCAAAGTAGCTCTCATATCTTCACTTATAACTTCCTGAAAACAAATCCAATTTTCATGGTTCATTCAATGAAATGGTGTATTGTGAGATAAGGGAGAGGGTATTAGGGTTGAAAGGTCACTCAGGTTATCATGGGTGTAGCTATATATTTCTATTTCCATATTTCACTTCTGTGTGCAGAGATGGAAAAGAAGTGAGGGGGAGAACCCATAAGAACAACCTTGACACATAAAAGTCGAATTGAAGATTAGACAAGATGACTAGTCGTCACCAACCCGCGCCCTTGCACTTGTTTGGAAGGCATAAGGAAAAACAACCTCTTGGAATATCAATGGAACTAGTCACAAGATTTATACACTGATCACAGTAACTCGGCAAGGCTCAGTCGCTACTCCCTGTAAAGTTTGCACAACGACCTTTGCCTACCTCAATCAGTTGCTGTATGTTGAACATTAAGCTTATACATCAGAAAATAAAATACTATAATAGTTTGATGTTTGTGCAAAAATTTCAAAAAGATTTCTTGAACGGATAATGAAATATGCACTAGAAATGAAATCGGGACGGAAGAATGGTCATCAGAAAATAAAATAAAAGGTTGATGAATGTAAAAGTGTTATAAAGGTATCTTGAACAGTTTTTGAGATATGCTCTAGAATAATAATTATATACCAAAAACTAATTCAAATGTGTAGTAAAATTTCAAAAATCATTTAAAAGAGCATTTTGTTTCGATGGAAACAAAAAAATTATCAAATCAGACAAATTTCTAATTAGCAAAAGGCACAATTACTGTAATATGATGATGTGTGTGCAAATTTTCAAAAAGATATTTTGAACGGTTTATGAGAAATACTCCGGAAACAAAATTGGACAGCGAAAACTAAGTCAAATCATTAAATCCCAGAAATTCCATATTAGCAAAAGGCACAAATACTATACTCCGCCAAATTAAAAACTTGACACTGATGAATTTCAACAAATTTTTTTTTCTGGTAAGTCAAATAAATTTTAAAGTGTTTCTAACGATAGTAAGTAGTAAGAAGCCTTTCATTTCATAAAATTGTAAAGTCACATGGATCACGTGACTTTTGAGCATATAAAGATGAAAAACCTGAAAAACACGTGCAAACACAAACTCGTGAGGTCAATCGATGCAAGTTTGCTTAAACTGAACACGCACGCGTAACTTGAACTGGAAAAACAAATTAAAATTGTTATTTTCATCTTTGTTAGAAAATGCCGCGCCTTCCAAATGTAGAATGTCTACGTGCTATAGGTAGGCTCTATGCTGGTCAGTCTGTGGTCACTGTTGCAAGAGCCTTTAATTGTTCACGCCAGACAATAATTAATCTTAGAATGAGAGTGCTTCAAACTGGAACTATTGCCGACTGCCCAAAGGCCGGAGCACCACGTGTGACGTCACTCCAGGAAGATCAAGCAATACGATTACGTCATCTTAGAAACAAAATTGTCACTACAACCTCCACAAGTAGAGATGTTTGGTTGAAGGGTAACTGCACAAACTGTTCAAAATCGCTTGCAGGCTGCTGGTCTTCGAGCTCGGAGGCCCTATAATGGACCAATATTGACACCTCTTCATCGCCGTAACCGACTTGTGTGGGCCACAAGACACATAAGATTTACTCAAAGACAGTGGAATTTGGTTGTCTTTAGTGACGAATCTCGATTCACTTTGAGATTTGCCGATGGCAGGGTCCGAGTGTACCGCAGACGAGGTGAACGTTACGCTCAAGTATGCGTCAGAGAAGTTGACCGATTTGGTGGCGGCAGCGTTATGGTTTGGGGTTCTTTTTGTGCACATGGACGTTCTCCTCCTGTTGTTGTCCAAGGGAACTTAAATGCTGTCCAGTACAGGGATCAGATTTTGCAACCTGTTCTTCTTTCGTTTATGCAGGGACATGGGCCTGGACTAACGTTTCAACAAGACAATGCTCGACCCCATACAGCAATTGCTACCCAGAATTTTTTAAGAAATGGCGGTGTCCAAGTCCTGGATTGGCCGTCGCTTAGCCCCGACCTTAATCCTATTGAACACATCTGGGACGAACTGGGTCGCCGTGTTCGTCAGCAAGTGAATCCACCACTGACGTTGCAGGACCTTCAACATGCTCTTGCTGAGCAGTGGCAACGTCTTCCTCGGGTAGTGTTTACTAATGTTCTGAGATCCATGAGAAGACGTGTGGCAGTACGAGACGCTAGAGGAGGCCACAACCGTTACTAAACACTTTATTCCGATTGTTCTCCAAGTCTGTGAATTTCATTTTGGGGGGTACTGTGACATCATGAACGTTATCAATGTCAAGGACTTTCTGCAAGACGTATTCTTGCTTTCTGTTGATGTCAAGGTCGTCTGTGCACAACATAACACTAAAATAGTTGCCTTGAACCAAATATTAAAAATCTAGTCCCCAAAATCCTGAGTATCAAGTTTTTAAATTGGCTGAGTATATAATAGGTTAATTTTTTTTACAAAGTTTCATGAAGATATCTTGAATATTTATGAGATATGGTCCGGAAACAAATTGTACACCAATCTAAATACAAATTTGTTTCCATGGAAACACAAAAAATACTAATCCCAGAAATTCCTAAATAGCAATAGACACATCTGCTATAATACATGTAGGTTAATGTTTGTACAAAGTTTCATGAAGATATCTTGAATGGTTTTTTTTAGAAATACTCAGGAAACAAAATTGTACACCAAAAACTATGTCAACTTTGTTTCCATGGAAACACAAAACAAAATAAATCCCAGAAATTCCTAAATAGCAAAAGGCACAACTATAGTAACAGGTTGGTGTGTGTACTAAGTTTCAGAAAGATATCTTGAACGGTTTATGAGAAATGCTCCAGAAACCAAATCGGGACTGACGGATGGACCCCATTTCAATATCCCTCCCTAACTTCGTTCAGCGCTGGATAATAACAGATCTGTTGATCCACTCAACACACCCATCTCCCCAATTCAGAAACAAAAGACAATTGGTACAAGTCCATTTTTTTTAATCACCCAAATCAACTGGTTTTAGCACCCAAATTAAAACTGCATTACTTACTGTACTTCTTTTTCTAAGAAATGCATCTGCTTCATCAACAAACAGTAAAACGCTGAAACAAGAAGTGAAAAGTATCAGACCAAAGAATAGTTATGAGATTTTCCTAATCAAGATATATTAGTAAGTGTCAGGAAATTCTAATAAAGAAATAAATTTATGATAATTTTTATACTGATCCTATTTAGTTCATTAAAGGACAATATTGGTGCTAGTCATTATCACATGTGATAGAACACATTCCAAATATAAATGAAATGAAATGAAATGAAATGGGGTTTAACGTCCTACTGTTTTGCTCCGAACTGGGCTAATAAAGACGGGCATACGCCATACAGTGTGCTATGAGGGAAATTTTGCCCGGACAGCGGCACTACGGCCTACTCTTATATCGAATTCCAACTGTCAAGGGATCTTTTACGTGCACGCCAATGTGTACACGGGACCTCGGTTTTTCGTCTCATCCGAATGACTAGACAGCTGTCCTTGTCAGGCCCCCCGTCCTGCATCACTGACAAGGGGGAACCACGCCGGAAAATCGGGATGAACTTTCTCGGCCAATGCAGGGATCGAACACCCGACCTCCAGGCTAGCGAGCCAGCGCCTTACCCACTTAGCCACCAAGATCCCCATTCCAAATATAATTTTAACACAGAGATCGTTGCTACGATAGCTGAATAATACAGATTTCCTGAATCGGAAGTGACGAACGCCAAAGGAAAACACGAGTCATGCCTCTATATAACTGACTATTGTGACGAGTGATAACAGATACACGGCCGAATTTCTGCTCACTAATAATTCCTTCGAAGACCAAAAGTTATTATACGGGACTGTAAGAGGATACCTGACAATTTAATAAAGTAATTGAATGTCATTAGATAAGAGAACACAAGAAAAATAGAAATAGTCCGTACATTCCCTTGTTTATTCATTCTATACCTTATAAAAACATGGTAATGCACGGACTTTTTCTGTTTTTCTTTTGTGTTCTCTTATCTAGTGGCAGTCAATTCTTTTTATGAATTGTCAGATATCCTCTCACGGTCTCATCCAACAACTTTTGGTCTTGGAAGGAATTATTAGTGATCAGAAATTTCCCCATGTATCTGTTATCACTCGTCACTTCAGTCAGTTATATAGAGGGATGCCTCGTGTTTTCCTTTGGCGTTTGTCACTTCCAATTCAGGAAACCTGTATTACTCAGCTGTCGTAGCAATGATCTCTGTGTTAAAATTATATTTGGAACGTGTTTAATTAGCTCTATCACATATGTGATAATGACTGACACCAATATTTTCTTTTAAAAAGAACTAGACTGCTTTAATTTGGGACAAAATTAAAACTGTTGATTGCATTCTTCAAAATAACACATCAGATGAACCTCAAATTATATTTTGAACCAATTCAAAAAGATCAGACCCCTCTAAATTAAGAGCTCAAAATTCACAGGGAAATGTTTTATTATATAATTTACTTACCCTCTCCTACTTGTCTGAGCCCAATCAAAAACTTTATGCATGGCTGTTACCCCTTCTTTTCCCATTGGAGCTACGTCACCACCAGTCATTATCGCATAATCCATTCCTGAGTGCCTGGCTAAACTCTGTTAAAAAGTCAAAATTTCTGCATATTAATTGCTTTATATGGTTGAAATAAAAGATAAATTATAGCCAATTAGATTCGACTAATCTGAATATGAGCAAGACTTCCATTTTGTCGTGTAAAGTCAGGTTCAGATTTCTATTCTTTTTTTTGATTTTTAAAAAGATAATAGGTAGAGATCTGTGCCAAAAAATGATGGAATGATCTTGCAAAAAAGTTACAAGTCCTAGAAATAGATAAAAAGATAGGGTTGAATACCCACTAAACTAAAGTTGGTCTGACCACGAAAGAGCAAAAATCTAATGTAAGTATAGCCCATGGTTACTATATCAACTTTACGACAAGTTCACACCAATCTGGTTAAAATTCAGTCGGCTGTTAACGTTTAAGTGTCCGACACGCCAAAACGCTTTTCGATTTTTCAATTACGACCTTAATCCGGTTGATTGGCTGGTGACGTCACAGGCACTACACATAGGATATACATTATCTATACAATATCTCACTGTCTGTACAATATAGCACTATCAATACACACAACAAGTTGACAAGCGTCTATTGACGGTCCAATTACCACATGACTGGCCTAATCATAATCACCGAATTATCGTCTTTCATTGGTATAGATTAGACATTTGTGTTCGGAATATTTTAGAGTGAATTTAAAATGCTGTATCATGCCTTAGATCAATTTAAGCTGCCTTTGTTTAAATAGGCCACGTGTCAAATGAAGACAACTCAAGAAATTAGCGCATTTACCGGTAATTTGGATAACCCAGTAATACTCGATATCCCAAACTTAAGTACAGAAATAAAAATGGTGCCAGTCATTTGTCGATATATTCATTATTAGCTATATATAATAATAATAACCATTTCTATACATAAAGAACAACTTTTATCATAATTCCATTTGAAATTTACAGTGAATATGGAATTTTCCAATGACTATGCATAACATGTACAATAGATCGCACTCATTTCTCTGCCAATCAACGCTGGGAACCTTATTACCATGTACCGTTCCATGTACTATGGGTGTAGTAAATGATGTAAAACTTCGGCGCGAAAATTGCACGGGATCATACGTGGAGTTCCTGGTGCCGTTTGGTGAGTGATTAAACTGTCAATGCAATTGTAAAATACTTTTATTATAAAGAAGATAAACGATTTTAGACATTATAACCTTATCGTATCAAAAACGTTGATCCATCCATCAATTAAATGTTGTTTAAACGCCAATCAACAAATAATACAAGGCTACTTGATTACAAAAACACCGGTGAGCAATAATTATTGGGTAAATAGTAATTATAAACAACTGATGAGTAAAACTTAATTATTTTATACAATTAATGTGAGTGTGTGTACGATTCTACCATTAGTTCGTTCGTGAGGTATTACGCACACGTTCCGCTTAGAATGATGTCTTTGATCTGGCCGGCGTAAAAAAAGATAATTACCTAATCAACATTCTTAATCCCACTAACACTCACTGCTAACACCAACGTGTAAATTAATTTATGACCCATGCCTGTATAACTTTTATAGTGGGATTGATTAATTAATGACAGATATTAACGACACTACACTTTATGTTGAAAAGCGAAGTGCTCGCAGTAAAAACCACATTGCTGGACCCGTATATTATTTACATATTAAAAGTGTTCGTCCAATAAGTTCCATATTTTAAAAAAAATAATTAAAGATACATTATGGAAGATTTTTATAGAGAGTTGGCCATTCTTGCTATAACAGTTCAAAAGTAGATGATGAAAGAAGAATATATTGAAATATTCAGTCAAATTACTTTATTCTGAACATAGTTATCATCGTTGTAATATTTGCCTAGAAATGGTAGCGAATTGTGTCTTCACCTTCGCTGACCGTTTGATTGACAGGCGTTAACTCCACCTACATATCTCGATTATCAAGTAAAGTTTTCAATGGCATACCGAAACGCTTTACAGTGGCCTCGCTAAGTACCAGGGGGCAACTGTAAAAAAAAATGCAAACAGCAACTGGGGGGGGTGGGGGGGTGTCTGCCAGCCAAAAAAAGTGCATTTCCGGGTAAGAAAATTGGGTGGTCTAACTGAGTTCTGCAAGAAAAAAAGCATTTCCGGGTAAGAAAATTGGGTGGTCTAACAGAGTTCTGAAAGAAAAAAAAAGCATTTCCGGGTAAGAAAATTGGGTGGTCTAACAGAGTTCTGAAAGAAAAAAAAAGCATTTCCGGGTAAGAAAATTGGGTGGTCTAACAGAGTTCTGAAAGAAAATTGCATGAAACAGGATACAAAGTGTTTCAGTTCATATCAATAACAACTCCATCAAAATAAAATCGTATTTTAGACCGTATTCAAAATTAAAATGCTTGAGTCTTGGGTCGCTGGTAAATAAATTATGAAAGAAAATGCTATTCGAATATTTCAAATAAAATATTTTTAACGTTTGAAGATTTTAAAAAAGATTAGTAAATTAGCCATAGTGTGGCCTTTTTGACCGGTAGTGCCAGTCGTGAATGAATTATTTACGGCCTGTTAACCGAGACTACACAGGGATAACTCTTGGCAACAACCGGCAACAATGATGGCTACACTTTCGAAGTTTTGATAACTTTAACATGGGTGAGTTTTTAGCCTTTATTATTTTATTTGCAGACCGTCAACACCATTTTAATGCTAGTTCTTGCTCAGAGAAGAGCAGTTCTTGCATACACCCCTCAGAATACCCTATAAAACTATGTGATGCCTAGGATTCAAGTGGTTGCATGTATATCGTTCTGACGTGTTGTCAATCATTGTCATTGTCAATTTTAGCATAATTTCCTGTTATCCTAGGCCCAAATCAGCTGCTATTTCACCTCCCCTAGTGACTATATTTTCAAACAATTTCTTGAGACTAATGACTCATTATCAGGCTGATCATGTTATTCAGAATTTGGGCAAACTTTGATTTAAATTGTCCACTTTAAAGTAAACACTGCAGAGTGCAAAAAAAAAAAAAAAAAATTGTCCACACTGCTTAGTTACGAATAATTTATGATGCCTGTATATGACTGATTTTCTTCTGTTTTATATATTTCAGAGATGTGTTTGGATGAAGTTTGAAAAAAGTGTGATGGTCAATTGAGCAGAATTTCTTGAAGATATTAGTCAATATAGATTTGAGTTGAGGAAGATGACTGAGCACAAAATGAAAAAAAAGTACACTGTAATATGTATATACGCAGTTATTCGCCTTGCTAAAACAGGGGGTGTTATATATTGTCCAATCGACAGAGTCTAATCCACCAATCAAAACGCAAGATTCACCCGTAAGCATGTTACAATTTACAATGCCGTGTCGATACTGTTTTTTTCCCTGTCTCGGAGGTGGTGTTGGGTAACTATGTTTTTAGGACAAGTGTGATACTTAAGTGAATGGTGAACTTTGTATCATAAGGTGAGGACTGTGATTAACTTTATAATTCCTCCGGGAAAGTGAACTTTAATTTCATGAAAACCCATGCTTTCTAACATGGCGGATCTCCATAGACATCGTGAACTCTGAACCGTGAACTCTGTGAACCGTGAACTCTGTGAACCATGAACTCTGTGAACTGTGAATTCCGTGACTCGTGACCTCTAATTATTGAATTAGAACTGTCAACAAAGAAAACTGTCAACTTATTTATGTTAGTACTGTAACTCCTGTTTCTTGTATATGTTTATTTACATAAATATTCATTAATATTTCAAAGCCTTATCATTTCATTCAAGTGTTATCCCGTGATTTGATCAACTGTTGTCCTGTCAATTTGGTTTGCCAGCCCACTCAGAATAAACACATCGCGTGGAGAGGGTCAACATCTTTTTTACCCACAACACCGCAGCGTGCCGAGATGAGATTTTGGTAATCTTTTACTTCTTCACACTCTGGTCAAAATTGGTCAACCTGTGATCAGTAGATTTGAGTGGATATGGGAAAGCACAATAAATGAATAGGTACAAGCCTAAGTTCATATATTTTAGCCTGTCTCTGCATATGGGCAGTCTTAGACTATCTTTGCTAATAATTCAGACTCATAATTTTGTCGAACATCAACTCAATAGAAATACTGTATTTATAACATATCGTCTTGTCATTTGTTCTATTGCTCAGCCTTTTAGTAGTTAGGTATTGCACATACTTTTGGTCTAAAATGAGATATTTCAAGAAACACATTTTCTTGCACAAGATTTTAGGGTGGTCTAATAAGCAACTGTGAGGAACATATTTTCTTGCGCATGATTTTTGGGTGGTCAATTAAGCAACTGTGAAGAACACATTTTATTGCGCAAGATTTTAGGGTGGTCTTTCTTAAAAATGATGGTGCATATTTTTTTACGCAAGATTTTAATGGGTAGGTGGTCTACCCAGGTCCAGTGCATATTTTTCGACTTGAGGTATGATGTTTTTTTTACTACTGCCCCCCGTAAGTACACTCTATCATTTAGCCTCGATCTAACTGATGTATTTTCATCAGGTTATCCCTTATTTGATTTAATCAATTAGTAAAATCCTATTTAAATCCGAGCTCTAGCCGAGCCATCCGTGGGTCTACAGAGTTGATTTTGGTCTTGTTGTTTAAATAAAGATCTAATTTATAATTTCTATAAAATCTGAAGCCTAAATTAAGACTTGCAATAATCAGATTTAACTCTTGCATAATGCATGTTTAAGAGTTCAAGACTTCAAAGTTTAAAAGTTGTAGGCACTCTAAATTGGATCTTAAATTAAAATGAATTACAAAACAAATTATTCCGTAGTCAGGCGTTAAAGAATACACACGCCGGCTGTATATAGGTAATTAAGGAATAAACATTCCGAATGCATTCGGTCACTGTGACGTCACTGGCGTCTGAGGGGATTAAGAGTGTTTTCGATAATTGCCAAGGTCTATTTCTACGACTTTGAGTGAAGATAGCTGAATTAATTTCAACCAGATTGGTGTGAACTTGCCGTAAAGTGGATATAGTAACCATTGGCTACACGCATTAAAAAGTTTCTTCCCCCATCTTATCTGCACTTTAAGTAGTCCAACTTGGCATATGAATGCATCTTCCACAGAACTGTAACAGTTGTACTGACCCTAGCTTTTTAATAAAAGCCACATTTTATACCCCATGTCTGCACCATAAAATCACAAATTTCAACATTAATATTCTGTTGATTTCATTTTGTTTGTGTTTGAGAGAATTGATCTGTGGTGCATTTACGTGACTGTGATTACGTCAGTCTCACATATTATTGTCTTGATCTGATGTAGTTACATTCAGAATTGCAAGATTAAAGTGTATCTCTCAAACAAGACTTACAATCATTCAATTATAAAAAGCTGTTGTGTAGTTTTCCAGCAATGTCTAAGCTCTGGACTAAGATACCAATGTTTGTTATATATTACAAGTACAGAACCATTCATATAAAATTCTTACCTTAGCAAACATAGTCTTTCCTGTACCAGGTGGACCATACATTAAAATATTCCTGTAATAACCTTTGTTCTTTCTCGTATGTCTGGTAGCTATAGCAACGTCTCGTAATCTCTCTTCTAATTGTGGCTGAAAATAGAAATCATAGTTAAGAAAGATGAAGATAAACACAATGCAATTCTTCAAATCAAATTGTTATTTTCTATGGTCATCATGTAAAATACTAGGAAGGACTATTTAGCTTGGACGTCAACATTTCTCATTATTCTTATTCGATTGGCAATGTAACGGATTGGGCTTGAATATCTCGTTCACACAATATTTCTATGGTTACATATGCAATGCAGGTTAAGAGAATTTTGCACGGACAGCAGCATTTCTCCAACTTTTTTTGATTTCCAAATAACAAGGATTTGAGTATATCTGAATGTTCCTTCTGTAACATGACAGGATTCGAACCTGGGACATCTTTAAATTCGCAACATCTATGGTTCTTTTATGTACATTCTAGTCGAGCGTGATTTTGAAATATTAAAACCGACTTGGATTAGTTTCTTTATCAGGCACTATCATTAACAAGCAGGAATTGGTTTTGAAAACTCATTGAGGTCCTTTTTGTGGAGATATAGAAATAAATAATAAATAAACTCACTTTTAATATGATACCTTGTAAAGCATCTTCAGGTTTTGTAGACAATTGTTTAACAGTCTACAAATGAAAATCAACAAATAAATTATGAACCAAGGTAATGCTGTAAATGGAAAGTAGAGACAATTGTCAATAACCTGTTTCAACATACTATATATAGGGCAGTGGTAGTTCAATCTGTTTTGGGGGGTTGGATGGCCGAATGGTAAGTAGGTGCGCGCTGTATCATAAGGTCTGTCACTGAGTCAACTGGCTTTGTTTCGATTCCACGGTTGTACATGACAAGGCATAGGGTCGCCTGTCCAACCTTGTGGGTTTTCTCCGGGTCCTCCAGTTTCCTCCCACTGCTAAAGATCCCTACGCACAAGCAAATTATTGTAAAAAAACTGAACCATGTGTTAGTCCCGAAATGACATAGTTGGTGTTGAGTGGATGTTAAACCCCATTTCTCTCTCTCAATCTGTTTTGCTACTGTATGCATGGTGAATTGTATTGTTAAACACAGCAGTAACAACTGACAATATCCCTTAAAGGCATATATTTTTAATCGCTCTGTGACTAATATCTTGTTACCCATAATTTAGGACACAAAACCGAAATGTTACCTCCCCTGAGAGGCCATTTATCTGCAACAGCCATATTTTTAAACCACTTTTCATGATGCACTAACCCTACTTGCATTAAGAAACATAATATGTTTACCTTTATTGGATGCTTGATAGCTTCTAGAACTGTTAATCTGGATGTATCACGTACAAGTGAAGGTTTACCTAATCGTGATTCAACATATCTAGCAGCCACACCTGTTCCATATTTAGCAGCATATACGCCAATAGCTACTAATGTTAAACCAGCAGCCTGCAAAAGTTGACAAGATGAAAACGAAATAATCACATTGTCAAAAAAACTGGTAGTAAACATATTCGGTTACCTTGCTGCAATTAATGTACAAGGAAGTGTAGACACCTTTTGCTAAAAACAGGCTACACTCAATTTCTAATGAGATTTAAAATAGACTTTGAGCTAAATGGTTTAGCAGACTACTAATCAAAAATACGAAGCAATTATCGAGATTATTTGAAACCATGGCGCATTTCACCTAGTGTTAAAACAACACCTCACAGCCTTTGAATTCATGAGTATTAGCAGACATCTTCTAAAAGTGCAACACTTTCAAGGTCTCCCATCTTTACTTGTTCAATTTTATTCATTTACCAGTCATAAAATTATATTTCTCAATCATTGCAATGTCCGAACTAGGACATATCGATGAAGATATATGCAATATATATTTTATCAATTTCACTAAATGATAAGAGAAATACCAACATACCGATGCTGAAACTTTATCCCAATCATTTATAAAAGCTTGAAATCCAGTTCCTAAAACAGATCCAGCTGTCCTGAAAAGTACCAGTCATAAATGATGCATTAACAGAAATATGAACTCTTGTCTCTAAGAAGATGTCACGGTATATTATTCTTGTACCATGTTAGAATCGGTATATCTGGTAGTACAGTTATACCACAGTTTTGAGTAAAGAATAGGTCATTCATCTTTGACCGGCTAGGATGGATCTTAACCACACTCATTAAACCTAACCATGATTTGGAGAGAGAGAGAGAAATGGGGTTTAACTTCCACTCGACACAAACTGGGTCATTTTGGGACTAACACATGGTTCAATTTTATTTCAATAATTCACTTGCTTGTAAGGTCTTTTGCAGTGGGAGGAAACCGCATGAGGTTGGACAGGCGACCCTACTCCTTGTCACGTACAACCGGGGAATCGAAACCACGCCAGTTGACTCAATGACAGGCCTTATGATCCAGCACACACTTGCCAACCATTCGACCATCCAACCCCCTCCATGATTTGGAAGCTTTGCTTACATAAATTACAACTGAATAAGAAATCCACTTTTAAACTGAATGATTACATAAAGTTTACCATACTTAATTGATTCTAAAACTGTTTGTCGATTTTCAGCTGCTTTTAGACGAATTTGTTCTTTAATCAAATCTTGATTTTCACGATCTACTTTGGCTTTTCCAGACATCTCGGCCTCAATTCTTCTCATTTCATTTTTATGTCGAAGTTCAGCTTCATGTTCAATTGTGCCTGGGAAAATATAAAAAAAACTTTAGAGCTGTAAAAATTTGACAAAAAACACTTAAAGAGAGTGTATAAAAAAAGTTTGAACATCAAAAATGACCCAGCAACCATAAAAAATAAATTATGTATATATATACCTCTTCTCATAGATTCTTGTTTTTGTACCGATTCTTCTTGCCTTCGTAAATTTTCTTCATTCGTCCTTGCCTATAAATCAATATAATCTAATCAAGCATGGATCCAGGACTTTATGGGGATGGAGTGGGGACTGAGACTCATAAAGAGCACATTTTGTGTACCCGAGGCAAAGCGCTGCAAATTAGTTTGCCCTTGATGATGATAAAATACTACAAACTCACCAGAAAACAACCATTTGCCTTTGCAATTGACAGATTTTTAGTATATAGGTCATTATTTTGGGGTTCTGTTATTTTTCATTTGTAGCACTCATATTTTTCTAGTTTTTTTCTTGGGTGTACCTGGATCTGCCCTTGTTGATAAAAGTATATATATATACTCGTCTGACACATTATATATGAACTTGAATAGTTCTCTTCCTAAATGCAACCACAACTATCCCTTTTATCAATCGTATTTTCATATTCCGTTTTCTACCTATCCCACACAAGGAAATGTTATACATTTCATAAAATACTTCCATCTTTTATTAAGATTTTTTTGAATTTGAAACAGAATTTAAGAAAAGAGCACTTTGTTGTTTTCTCAACATTAGTATGTGTAGTTTCACCCCAACCCCTGTGTGTTTAATATGTATAATTTAACTCTAAACTAGCTTACCAGAATTATCTGGCAAAACAGCTCTATACATTAATTTGTTTTATAATAGTCAATGCTGTCTTAATGCAAGAGTATTCTTTGTATAATTTAATTCTTACCTGTTGAATTAGCTGATCATCATATCGTTTCCGAGCCAACTGATCTTGATACTGAGCTCTCTGTTGATGCTGTTTTGTTTCTTCACTGAGTGTTTTCCGCCTTTCCTCTTGTGATACTTTAGCCTGCTCAATTTTCAACTGTTCCATTTGAGCTTCCAGTTCCTTAGAAAAACATTAGAAGGATTAGAAATGAAATGACATGAGCTGATCAAGACGGGCTTATGGCATACAGTATTCTATGAGGGACATTGTGTCTGGACAGTGGCAGCCGCACTACGGTCAACTCTTATGCGCACCCCAATCTGTACAAGGGACCTCGGTTTTTCGTCAGATCCGACCAACTAGACACTGTCCTGCACCACTGGCATGGGGAAATGGCACTTGAAGGATTTTCTCAGAAAGCATCAGGATCAAACCTGAGACCTCCTGGTTAGCAAGCCATCAACCTTTAATCACTGAGCCACAGCGGCTTCAAGAGAGAGATTAGAAGTATTAGCAATAGTTTGCAGAAATCTATTAGGATTCTCCTGGTAGAAATCGGCAAGAATATATTGAATCCAAAGATCTGTTTACATAATTTATTGTCTAACAAGTGGCGGTTACAGGAGGTGGGTCGTAATATTCTCAAGTAAAGCTTGTCCATTCAAAAGATTTGTAATCTAATGCTAGCCAATATAGGAGCTATATTTTAACAATTATAATGCGATATAATGCCATCTGACTACATATTGGGATATTTTAGTAAAAATGTCTTAACAATTAATGGGCAAAGGATAGATCCACAAGACAATGGCAAAATATATGTCTTTAGATTTATGAGCTATTTATTCCCAACATCTGGTTTTGCAACATGTAGATACATTATCATTATGTAGTCCACAAAAGATATCTCAAATTCATATGAAACATTATTATAGTGAAATCGACATACTTTGATTTGCTTCTGCCGATCCATCTGAGCAGTTTGCTCTTGCATCTTTGTAAGATCCAATGCATCTTTGGCATGTTCTGGTTATGAAAAAGAAAAGACAAAATTACCAAAATATCAACGTGTTTGTTTTTTCAAATTGCAAAAAAGATTATGAATTTCATATCAATTAAAAAGTCACGATCTATATATATATGAACTAAATTAAAAGATCATGTTTCTAGTTTTCATTAAAGGAGGCAAGTCTCTATAACTCTATATCATCCAGTCTTTGACATTGCAAACACGACTTATTGGTCAATTTAAATCAACAACGAAGTTGTTATCTTAACGGGAAAAGATGGGCTTCTGATATCCAATATTTAAGACAAAAACAATTTTTTTTCAAATTGGCACCCGAATCGCGTGCCAGAATGAAGCTAAACACATCCTACAGGAGAATACTTCTAGAGTAGACTGGGCCAGATGTCAAAGACTGCCATTTGCGTATTTTGCCAAACATAACTGATTAGAAATAACAGTAAAAACATAAATGATTGAATGTAAATCAGTTTATATACATTCATATTACATTATTATATGCGTTGCGACCCATTTGTGTCCATTTCTAGGTGCCAAAGAATAGAGATTTAGCTTCCGGTTCTTTAAAAGATCATTATTTCTGTACCGGCAGACTACTAGTACAGATACATCCTACTAGTACAGATACATCGTTCTCATAACAGCTGGGGCAATAACTTTGAAATCGATTAATTACAACTCTGATTTTTTTTTTTTTTTTTTTTTCATCTTTGGGCTAGCCAAACTGAAAAATCCAAAAGTATAAAATCTGATATCGGCATCTTGGACTTGGGCCCTTAGAATTAAAGGGAGCTAACTCCATTTATGAACAAAACTACCAGTTGCATAAATTCACTATTCATTTATTTACATAATATCATTATCCCATGGTATTCGAAAAATAAATTTTAGAGATGAGTATACACGGACTATTTACAACCTTGATCTAGCCTAGTTAATGATTAGCCTTTACTTACTTGATGATTCCAATTCCTTTGCGGCGCGTGCAGCCCTTTCAAGGGCGGCCGAGTCAAAGCGGTATGCATCCATTTTGGAACCTTGTCCCTTTCCAGACCCCTTGTCATCTCCATCTGGTGGGGGAGGGGGTAGAAAGGGCGACTGTGGTAGTTGTGGGTTTTGCCCACTGTTGACTCCAAATAACCACGACATTATTCTTCTTTCTTATGAAATATATCGGACGATTTCACGTGTAGAGATACTCATATACGTGATTAACCAGTCTTTTCAACTAAACATACTTTCTTTCAATGATAATCGAGTACCAAGCACATGTTGCAAAATTTGAGATTTACATAAATCTTGATTGACAGGGAACGAAGTAATATAAATATTTGCCTTTAGAAAACAAAATACGGTGCTTTTTATACACATCTCTGAAATACTATACTTTTTGATAATAAAAACTTTAAACAAACAATAGCATTTCTGTACGAACTACGTTTTGGTTGACCGTATACTTTTTTAGTTCCAAAATTTGTAAGATTCGTGGCTGTACTTGCTTAGCTAATGCTAGGTACTCTGTAAATTGCTAATAGTCTATCGTCAATGCTAAACGTGATCGACATGTTAAGTCGAGAACTCGCCCGACCGACCGACTGACCGCCTGAATTTTGTTAAGGGGTCACGGTGGCTAAGTGGGTAAGACTCTGGCTCGCTAGCCTGGATGTCGGGTGTTCGATCCCTATACCGTTTTTTTAGGACTTCGAATTTTGTCTAATGGTTTGGATTGTTCGTACTTGTTTTATTTTATTTTTATTATCCCTGAATTGGTCGAGAAAGTTCATCAAGATATTTTACAACATTTTAAAATAATGATATGTAAAATGATTTTACGTGTAGTTTGAAACGCAGGCTATCCGTGACATAAATATATTAAATATATATACTAAAGTACAGATCTTTATGACATGCATCGTTAAAATATTTCTGATTTAATTACAGGCATATTTTCATAGCTGACAATTAGGTAGTTCGACAAGAGCATGGTAGGGTTATCATTTCTATTCTAATAATTGATATAAAGAAGTTTTCATTTTATCAGGATGTATGATATATTAGAGTTTTATTTTATTAATCCGCTTGTGCGTAGGGGTCTACAGCAGTGGGAGAAAAGTTGAGAACCCACAAAAAAACCTCACCAGGTTGGAAGGGCGACTGTAATGCCTTATCACTTACTATCCTCGGTATCTCCCCAGTGGTCATCATTCCGTTCTACTCCACTATACCCTGGGTTAATCCATAGAGTTTCCACGATTTCAAATTGTCTGCCCAGGCCTTGATTGTAGCTAAAGTCTACAAACCAACTAAATAACAGTTTACAAACCAGTCTTACTCAGGCCCGTATCTAGCCAAAATTGTTGGGGGAGGGGGGGGGGCAAAGGCTTCTGGGGGCGCCGATGTATCTACACTAACGTTCCACAGCGAACAGTACACCGTGGATACACCTGTTGGAAAATTGGGTTTGCGCTAAAAATGACGGAAAAATTCAATTTTGAGACTGTATTTGCGATATTGGCGTATTATGATATTTTGATATGTACATTGTAAAATTTGAAGGAAGGAATACGACTTTAACGTACCTATAATATTCTCGTCGTGGGCGCCCAACCATTGTCACTCGGCTTTATGTGGCGCCCATACTGATATTGGCACGTTGGTCGTTGGCTTCGTAATGCGTCCAATGGGGGAGCTGATTTTTCCCCAATGGGCAAAGGGCGCCAAATCTTTCCGGTGGGGGGGGGGCAGCTGCACCCTTGCCACACACACACCCACCACGCTAGCTACGGGCCTGCAGTCTTTCTTATGAAACGGCCTTCGTTTCTCGTTCGTTTTATAAGGGTCTAGATAACCATATGCCCATTTACTGAATGATTTACTAGTATGTAAATAATGTATATTTTTCTAATTCATTTATATTTAATTATATTATCAAAATCTGTAGTATGTTTCGCTGATTTCAAATATGTATAAATATGTATTACTATTCGTTCTTTTTCTGAAATGTTTCATTCTGTTATGTTTATTATTATTGAACTTATGTTTGGCAATTTGATTCCCAATAAAACTATTGAACCTACATGCTATTTCACACACATATAAACACCTGTCCGGTCTTCGTTAATAATTGTAATTTGTTGTCAATAAATACGCATTTAGTATAATTTGGACTTCTCTCATTTAGTCTACCTGCTGGCTAATTCCTAACCTTGTTACTTGAAGGAAAGCCTTTGTGTTTTGCTTACTTTACCCGATGAGATTTACTTCCCTTTGCCAATTTCCTTTGCAATTAACTATTTATGGGATTGGTCGATAAAAATAGCACAATCATCAATGGCAGATAATATGAAAACGTGCCCCCCCCCCCCCCCCCATAGATTAACTCAGGTGGGCTTACTGAGGATGATCACTTACAATTGTGACGCTAAATTTCACCCATTGCCGACATGACTTCACACATAGGTCCATAATTATTTATTATCCCACCTGTGAATGGGGTCGTCCAATTTATGTAAAATCAAGTACAGTGTGGTTAGACTAATCACCGGAATTCACTTATAAAAACACCGGAATTCACTTATAAAAACACCGGAATTCACTTTGAAGATATCAGAATTCGCCCGCAAGATCTCCTTTTTACTTATATTTTGCATTAATATCAATATTGAATTACTAAAAAACACCGAAAATCCCCGACATTTACTATGAAAACATACGAACACCGGATTTCACTTTCAAATACGGGAATTCGCACTTAAGACCTTAATAATAATAAACAACATAATAATAATAATAATTATCTATTTATAAAACGCTGAATATCAAACAAACGAGTTGCTCAAGAGCGCTATAATATTCACTAATATTTTGCATTAATACTAAAATAACTTTAAAACACCTAAAATCACCGGAATTCACATTGAATACATATAAACATAGAAATTCACTTTCATATATCGGAATTTGCACTTAAGGCCTTCCTATTTACTAATAGTTTGCATTAATAATAAATTACTTTAAAACACCGAAATTCACTTTGAGAAAATCGGAATTGGCCCTCAAGACAATTGTATTTACTTATACTTGGCATTAATATTAATACTAGAATACTAGAATGCACCAATTGTAAGCAATTAAAACAAATAAAATAAAATCTCATAAAAACAAATCAAGAACTCGATCATTAATATGTCTAGCGATACGGTTAAAACGATATTTCCCGATGGTCAACTCGGGAAAGAAAATATTATGATTAGATTGCATCAGTATTCCATGTAAAATGTCAAACCAACCATTTCTCGGATGTAGAGCAAAACGTTCTCAGTGTAGATGAGCTAATTAGTTTATTCGAGCTAAGTTTATTCGAAAATTAACTCGGTAATAATAAGCCAATCAAATAAAGTTTTTTATTTTATGATCAGTAGTGGAATACCGCGTTTTATCAGTGAAATAAAAGTGTTATTCCACTGGCTAGCAGTAGTGCATGTTGTTTTTACCTAAAATGATTGTAAAATCATAAAATAAATAGAACATTTGTCGTTTTGTCGTGAATAACATATTTTATTTCATCTCTAAGCAAGAAAACGTTTATATTTTCACTCATGCTACGCATTCGTGAAAATATAAGTTTTCTTGCTTAGAGATGAAATAAAATATGTTATTCACTCTAAAACGACAAATATCCTCTATATACTGATTATTCCTTAAATCAACACCTGATGCGTTGACGTGTTCAGTAGTTATTTTACTAATTAATCTGCAGTGGATATGAAGTTCAAAGTGAATATCGGTGATTTTTGGTGTTTTTAAGTAATTCATTATTAATATTAATGCAAAATATATGTAAAGCTTGTGGGCGAATCCTGATATTTTGATAGACGATAGTGAATTCCGGTGTTTATATGTTTTCAGAATGAATTCCGGTGTTTTTAAGTAATTAATTATTAATATTAATGCTAAATATATGTAAATAGACAGGCCTTGCGGGCAATTCTGATATTTGGTGAATTCCGGTGTTTATTATTGAATTTCGGTTACCCGCACATTTATCAATCGGCAAAACTAGCGAGTTTGGGAACATTGTAAGAAAAAAACGGATGATTACGAATGATGTCAAGGGAGATAACAACAAAAATAAATCTGGGAAGAAATGACGATGTGATTTGTTGATTTGTTCTTCGTGTAAAAAACTAAAAAGGATTTATGTTTGAGTTGACGGATTTCTTCAAATACGTGTAGGTATGCATATTGTGATAATCCTATAACTATAACACTGTGATAAACGATGCGACATAGCCATAGGACTAGGAGGTCAGCGTATGATCGTATCACTTGTTCTGGACGGGCTGGAGCGCCTAGAAACTCTAGGTAATTGATAATGATAATAATGGTCATCGTGAAAGGTCACAATCACGAAACATTAGATTCCGTGTAGCCTTTAACGTTACATGTAGCTACGAGGATAAAGGCGATGGGTTTTCATTAGGCTCAAGTTGATAGCTTTGTTCAAAATTGATTGTTGTAAGGTTGAAGACCGGTAGGCAGTATACATACTTATACTATTACTATAGCTATAGGGCCAATACTGGCAATAGAGGTCTAAACAGCAAAAAAAACAAAAAACGTCAGTACGATTTAAAAATCAGAGAGGCACTTTAATCAAATCATTCTAGAAAACGACTTACTAAATGGATCAAAGCAATTTTTTGTGAACAGTATATATGTTGACACATTATTTAGTGATTAATCATCACCATTACAAGAAGGTTTAGAGTCTGTACACAGTCTATACATCTGGTGTGTCAACCGCGAGTGTCAATAACAGCAGCACAGCATCTGTACATGGAGTGGACCAGACGATTGATGAACGCCATTGGCACCTAGAACCACACTCTCAGGAAAAGTCTGGCGCAACCCATCAGCTGTGTTTGGTCTCGGTATGACATTATTAAGTGTCCAAAGATGTTCAGTACTGATGGGTCTTTGGTGTGTTCCCACAGTCTCAGACTGTGAATCATTAATATGCCTGTCATTTTGGATATTGACGCAAAGATTTATACAATAAAAACATCTGGCATGTTTTATGCAATGCATCTATTCAGAGTAACATACCAACCTGACGTTTCTTTTGCTGCTTAGTATACCGGTAGTATGTTTTTATAAGAATCAAGATAGGCTCTATTCTTTGGAATCTTAAAATAGACGAAAATGGGTCTAAAAGCACAATTAATTTAACATTAATGTACAAACATGTAAAGCGATTAATATTAAATTAAATTGTAATTTCATGGTAAAGCGATTAATATTAAATTAAATTGTAATTTCTAATCAATTAGTTTCGGTGAAATATGTGAAGTCTAAATTGAATGACAGTCATTTATGCTTGCTTAGTCCATTCTTCACATTTTTTAATTATTATATTGCCGTTTGTGAATCAGTCATTACTTATAACTTCGGCATTGTCTTTTTAAGATATATGTTTTTTGTGTTCATTACAAATGGTGCCCAACACCATAGCACACACAACTCGTGTACTGGTTATAAAATGTTCATTGTGTCTTAAATATTAGATATTAGGATCCACGGCAAGATAGCAACAATATTAATTGAAATGGACCAATTTAAAATTCTAATTCATGTTTTTAGTAAATAATATTATGGAAAATATTATTGAGATAGGTTTAGTTCTTTTAACCCTATGATTGCTAAAATAGCTTACAGACTACACAACATACAGTTTCAATAACCTTGCTATATTCAAAACTATATGTTTCTTACAATCCCATGCAAAATTGAATGTTCCCTGTACCAGTAATAAAAAAACCTCTCTTGTATTGTAACAAGTATTTTGGCTACATGCCAAGCTGGGAATACTTGGTTTTAAATCAGACGTTTTTGTGAATATGGTAACGGTGTGAGTAGTTTTGGGCAACTAATTATTGAAGGAATATTTGGGGTTAATTAAAGATGCCTTCCCATCTACTTCCCATGTACAAACTGGGTGATTTGATGATATATTTGGACTAAAATCATATTCAAACTAATTAATCTATCAAAAATTTGCTTCTTATCCCTCTGAAAACATTGTACTCGCAAGGAAATACCCGAAGATATAAAAATCTATTTTTAGAAGCCATGTTTCTCCCGTAACTTGATTGAGGGAGGGCCCATTTTCAGAATGTATTTGTTGTTAGTTTGTTACTTACACTGTCCATTTACTATACATATTGAAGCCTAAGTAAATTCTTGGCTTATCTGTAGCCAACTTCTTTTTCCGCCAGTTCCCAAAACCGCTTAACCATTCAATCAAGAAATAACAACCGCTTCCTAAATCCGGCTGGCAGACAATAAGCCAACAGGCTGACAGTTAGTGATACCCTGACATTTTTGCCACATGGGTGTTTTTCAGGGAATCCAGTATTTTTCTAGGAAGATTGGGCGTCTATACAATGTCATGTACTTTCCATATACCAAATTTGCCATACTTTTATTGAAATGACTGCCATATAAAGACTGGCACGCAGACTGTCTCTTTAGATTAGTTTTATAAGTAAAGCGTGTTGATTTCTCTACGAAATATAGATATTTAAAGATATGAAAATTCAAGTAAAATTTTACACAAGAATGGATTCAATTATGTTTCAGACTTTTCAAAATTCTCACCCTATAATTAGACATGTTTTTCAAAAGTAATAATAAACATTAAATATTCTAAGAAATCTGAGTTTTTGTTTTTAGAATTATTTGTTCCAAATTTTCATTCATCACCTTTTTACTTGAAAAATTAATAGCAGTTTGAAATTTTAATATAAAAAAAATATTTAGAATAAAGGATTGTTCAATGGTTATAAACATCTAACAAATAGAATTTAAAATAATTGAGAATAATCACATGGTTTAATCCTAATTACCATATTTTACACAAAAAAATACCCACTGGGTTAAAAACAACATTGGTAGAAACCAATGAAGAAAACTAGGGTGTAAATGTAATTCAATTGTTAAAGAACACAGAATTGACCAATCTGGCATATCTTTGAAATAACAATTAGTAATTTGGCAGGGTAGTATTACATGTACCTATATACAATATCTTTCATAGATTAATAATAGCCTGCCGCAGTAGGATGGTATATTTTATGACATACATGTAATTTTATATTTTAGTTGAATATAAATTAATATAAATTAATATTTTGTTATTAATTTTTATATCATAATAGTCATAATCATGACAAATGAAAGTATTGATTTTACATTAATTTAACATCATGTCATTAACAGGTTTAATAGACATAGTATTAGTAACAGTTTATATACTTGCTGGGATTGTGTGCACAATGCACATCCATTTTACATGAAGCTTTTGCCTTGGTCACAGCTGTCTAGTGGTTCGAATGGGACGAAAAAATCGAGGTCCCCTGTACACATTGGTGTGCACATAAAAGATCCCTTGACAGTTGGAATTCGATATAACAGTAGGCCATAGTGCCGCTGTCGGAGCAAAATTTCCCTCATAGCACACTGTATGGCGTATGCCCATCTTCATTAGCCTAGTTTGGAGTAGGACGTTAAACCCCATTTCATTTTATTTCATTTTATTTCATTTTTATACCAACGACCGGAGAATACTAAATCAACACAACTTTACACTTTTGAGTGTATGTACATACATAGTACATGTATTTACATATTGGTCCCATGGTCAACAGAATGACTATCAATTATTTCACTCTCTACGAAAAGTTTCATTTCATTTCATTTCAAACATGCTGGGATTGTTGACTAGCTACATGGATAAATGCCACTCAAAGATTATGTTCAGCGTCAATATGGGGATAACCAGATATATTTATCTCTGCCACATACTTCAACAACAAGCGTCTTCCAGATTAGTAAGCTTAAAGACAAATTATGCAATAATTTAACCTTTCTCATATGATGCAGAGACAGATTATGGATTCTGTTAGTTACTATTATTTAATCTATGTAAATAGTTTCACTATGAATTTCATATACATTGAACTCAAGTTTACTATATGTCATTGTGCTTGATTAAACGATAAGACCTAAGAGGATACTTGTCGAAACGTTATACTTTTAGAATAAAACTAGTGATTGTATCCCATAAAAACTGTGTTTTATTAATGTATAAGGAAGATCGCTATCAAAATTCAAGGGTTGCTAATGGATTTTGCTTGGAAGTATGTATTGTCTTTGTCTCCAGAAAATTGTAGACACCTTATACATGTAGTTCTCAAGTTTTTTTGATAGTGTGTGCTTAAGATGAAATTTCAATTCTCCATATTAACAATTACAAATGAGTATTTGTTTACATGTATGTATCCGATAAACAGTCGTGATATATTGAGGTTCAAATTTTTAGTGCTTAAAAATATTTTTTTTAAAGGCTATGACACCTACAAAAGGAAAGTAAGAAAGGCCATACACATTTCTCTATTTCCATTAGCCCAGTTGGAGCAGAACAGTAGGATGTTAAACCCCATTTTATTTATTTTCAAGAGACACTTTTTATTACTGCTGCAATGGTTTTGTTTATAATTCTGGTCATTTTGATTAATTCAATAATTTACTGTTCAAATTTACATAGTCCCGAGCTGTAGTTTCAATATATTACACAATGGTTTTGTTTATAATTCTGGTCATTTTGATTAATTCAGTAATTTACTGTTCAAATTTACATAGTCCCGAGCTGTAGTTTCAATATATTACACAATGTCTTGCACGAGACCATTAAACAACGCAAAAAAATAAGACACTATCCCGCACGTGCTTTTCAATGAAATACGTCACGCGAGTCCAATATTTCAACTAGTATAAATGATGTATGGTTGGCACTATCCCGCACGTGCTTTTCAATGAAATACGTCACATGAGTCCAATATTTCAACTAGTATAAATAATGTATGGTTGGCACTTTGCCCGTACCATTATTTGAAATAATAATTTGAAGTTACATAAATATTTGAAATAATGGTACGCCAACATCAAAACTGACGTCACATCTGTGTTTTAATGGTAGTTAATAGTACTGACAATATATTGTGGATAAGATTTAACATGTAATGTAATTGTCAACCATAAAGATTATGAATATTGATATGTCACTTTTGTTTTATTAGAGTTTCCATAACGGATATGAATACTTAAGTTTCCAGTTCTAGAATCAGGCACTTTAAATAGATATCACGTGAAGTTAGTCATAGGATATGATTACACTACAAACAGCACTATTTGTTTGTTTTTTTATGAAACTTTAAAGACTTCACAATAGTAGGCTTATATTAAGTTTTGATAATTGATATTTATTTTGTTTAATTTATTTTGACAGGATGGGTAATTAATGAACAGATAAAAATTTGAAAGATGGCTGACAAGAAAGAGAAACAAAAGGACAGTTTGTCTATTGCGTCTGCTCCTGATTTTATTTTATCTCAGTATGACTGTGAGAGAAATGGAAATCTGGAGATGGTTTGTACATTTTGTGATTTTTATGGGACTTCTTTTTTATATAGGGGTCCACTGTGGTTGAGATTGTATGGACATGAGCCTCACAAGCAGTTTCAAAGTCAGACATGAGTCGAGAAGATCCTTAGTGATATTTCAAGCCTAGATCTCACTTGTCGTCGGGTGTTCGATCCAGATTTTCCGGCTTGGTTTCCCCTTGTCAGTGATGCAGGACGGAGGGCCTGACAAGGACAGCTGTCTAGTTGTTCGGATGGGACGAAAACCTGAGGTCCCGTGTACACATTGGCGTGCACGTAAAGATCTCTTGGCAGTTGGAATTCAATATAAGAGTAGGCCGTAGTGCCGCTGTCCCGGCAAAATTTCCCTCATAGCACACTGTATGGCGTATGCCCGTCTTCATTAGCCCAGGTTAGGAGCAGAACAGTAGGACGTTAAACTCCATTACATTTCATTTACAAATTACATAAATATCTTAAACTTAAAGATGCATTATGTAATATTTAGATAAAGAGCTTCACAGTTTTCGCTATAATAATTAAAAATAGACAATGAAAATAGAATATTTTGAAAATTTCAGTCAATTTACTTCATTATGAGCAGAGTTATTGCCATTGCCATTAGAAGAACAGTGGAGTCTTGAGTCTTGATCATCTTTGCTACCGCTAATAAACAGTCTCACTCTCAATTATCCATTTTTATACGCCCATATGGAAATGTGGTCATATATTGCCGTATTTCCTGTCAGTCCGTTGCACTTTGTGAACGCTCTGACAACAAGTTATCATCCATTCTGTATGACATTTATATGACTGATTTGAATATGTGAAACAAAAAAGAAGAAGCCTGTTGAATTTCAGCAGTTTCCGTAAATTACTTCACTTTCTTGAACCTTGTAAACGCTCTAAAAACAAAAGTTATAGCGCTTGTTTCGCTTTGTTAAATGACAAAAGTTCTCATCTGATCTGTCTGAAATTAGATTTGTGAAACAAAGAACCTTATTGAATTTCAGCAAATTCGGAATTTCTTCTAGAGTTATCACCCTTGTTTCATTTTGTTGAACTATGTGAATGTTCTAACAGACTTAGATTATCATCCGATCTGTCTGAAATTTATACACATTATTTAAATTAGTTAAATTAAGAATCTATTAAATTTCAGCATTTACATTAATTACTTTTAGAGTTGAGGTCCTTGTTTCACTTAGTAGAACCTTGTGAATGCTATTACAGTTGCAAATTGATTGGAAACTTTTTTAGTTCATGGGCTACAATAGCAAAAAAATGCATTTGCAGCGGTTAAATTTTCTAAATTTTCTCAGTGACTGCAACGCCCTCATACCAAGCAACGATTGATTGGTTGTTAGGGATTTGGGATTCAGGTAAGTCACCTAAGGTAGGCTATATTGGACCACATTGAACGGGCTAGAATAGCAGGAAAACGCGTTGCGGCAGTTAAATTTTCAAACAATTCTCCCGACGGGCTCATCTCTGTGGAATGTAAACAATTGATTGGTTGATTGGAATTCGAGTCAGACACCCAAGTTAGACTATATTAGACCTCTTTTTAAAGGGTCAGTCTCCATTATATTTTGGAGAATAAAACAGCTTAATTTTGTGTAAAAGCCCTTAAAATCCTCTACCTTTGGGCCGAGCAACTAACTCAATATACATGATATGTTTTCAAAAGGTGTCCCAAGCTGTATCACTATTAAACGGTGCCTGGATAAAACCAGACCATTATTTTATGAAAATAACGTGTAGATGAAATTTACCTTTCATTATCAAGTAAAGCACGTAAGTCATGCACTATATAGACCTGTAAATGAACGGCAATAGATTATCAGGTCACCCAACGAAAACACTGACCCGAAATCTTAAAAGGGTTACGTGTTTGAATGAGTGGTTTTGACATTCACGTGCAAACAACTAAATATTTTGAGCTGAAATTTTGAGACAAAGTCAATACACCATTCCTCTATATTTTGGTGCTAAAAATTTCATACATACACAGATTTTTATTTCCGAGACGGTCCCTTTAAAGTTGTTGTATTCACGATCTGAAAAAGCAGGAAAACGAGTTTGCAGTTGTCAAATTTTATTTTGAGGGCGGGGGTCCTACAAGGTACACTCTGCTCCTTCGCCTCACCCAGACAACCGCTGTCTGTAACCCAAAATCTTTTCTGACATTTCAGGTTTTGTGTTTTTATCAGATTGTATTATATATTATTATTGGTATAATTATTCAACAAAAGAAGTCACACAAATATCTATTTTATTTTTACACATGTGATGACGTTAAAGAGCATAAAAGGTCTGACTATTCATTTTAATCGTACAAACCAGTGAGGTGTTACAATAGAAATAGAAGATATTCATACAACTGTCTTAATGCTAGGTTCCCACTAAGATGATTTGCGCCAGAAAAATGCATTTGCAGCCATCAAATTTTCCAAGTAGTCTTTTGAAGGGGGAGGGGGGGGTACCTACACAGTAAGCTCCACATTTTCACCTCTCACAGACGCCTATAACCCAAAATTTTGCCTTGTATTTCAGGTTCTGTCCCCTTCTCAACAATCATCGAGTCTGTATACCAATGCAAAAGATCTACATTAGATAGATTTAGATATTACATAATGCATCTTTAATAAAATCTTAAGAACCAGTTTAATTTGATTTTATGTTTTTTCTTCAGATGACAAGTTCTCTTATAGTGGTACCTGATGAACGAGATATGGAACATTCATTATTGGGTTTGGCGCCACGATATTGGTCTCATCGATGTCTCTCACATCAGGCAAGTTTGGAATCAGTTACAGGAGGGATTCATATGACAGAGATTGCTCCAGTTAATAGTAATATATATGACCCTGGTATGTTCTTTCTACAATTTTGTCGATTTTACTTAAAACCAGATTTATTTTTACAGTTGGCATTTATGTCATTTGTTAAATGAAAAATAGGCTACTGTAATATCAACATAATACTGTTCTTTGCTTCTTTTTACGTCAACCCAACTCAAATACCGGTAGTACGTACTAATCTTTTTTCAGTAGATTTTACTCCTTTGATTTGATAAATGAGTCCATTACTGATTATTTCAGATATTGAAAGGTCATGGCAAATGTCTATTGATATATTTACTTCAAAGAAAGGTCCTAATTCACCGTCAGGAACTCAATTTTCGCGAAGAATACGGTAATATATAACAGTTCATTGTAATTATATCAGAACATTCTTATGCCTACATGTACTGTAATAATTGTGCTAAAAGATTGTATTATTTCTGTTACAGATGGTATTTTAAAGATTGGATTATTTCTGTTACACATCATATTATAAAGATTATACTACTCCTGTTCAATAGATCATATTCTAAAGATTGTATTATTTCTGTTACAGATCGTATTATAAAGCCCAGGATGAATTAATTACTGCATATGAAAATTTACAACATGGGCCAGATAATAACAGCCAAGAAATGCAGTCCGATATTGAACATATGGCACTAATACTCTCTAGGATATCATTTTTTGCAAATTTGGTAAGTTACAGGAGGCACTTTGACTTCAAACTAAACAATTAGGGTCTATATTCAGTTCATCAAGAAATTGTATATTACAACAAGACATGATGATGACAGCTACTTAGATTAACTTTTAAAAACTTCCTAGGTACTTCCTTTTAAATGCCACACTACAATATAAAGACAACATTTATAATGTTACTGGTGAATCCCGAACTAGCCATTGATAATTGGAAAGACTGGAACACATCCAAACATTCTAGAGTTTTTGAGATTACTTGGATTGTTGGTCAAGTCCTAAGGAGGATCTATTGAAATCAATAATCGCACAATGATTTATCACAGAATTACTGCTCTGTCGCCACAACCTTAGAACACAAATTAAGATTTGCTAGGATTCTTTGGAACCCAATCAGAATTCTGATGCATTGCCCATGTCGCCATGATCTTGAATGGCATGTATGGACTTTTTGAGGGAAAATCCTAACTTTAACAGAAACAGACAGATGAATGTAGGGATTGTTCATATAATCTTATCTTTTGTTCTTAAAGGAAGAGTCCAGAATAATCCCTTTTCTAGTATTGAAATACATGTAGTTTCAACCATTCTGAACCCTACAAGAGTTTTTGTTTATAAACCATGAGTGACAGTTATCCTCACAGCCATCGTTTTTATTTTTAATTAAAAGCAATATGGGTTACTTATAAGTAAACAACATCTTTGATTCATGTTAAAAAAAAAGTTTTTTATGATGATATTAATATAAATGATTTTATTTTCTAGTTATTGTTAGTGGGTAAATCTATAGCTGTATCAATGTCCAGTTCTATATCTATAATATCTAGTTTAGTCGATTCATCAGTAGATCTTCTCTCTGGTATTATTATATGGTGGACTAGTAGTGCCATGAAAAAACGAAATATTTATCTTTATCCTAGTGGTAAGTATGTATTGTTCAAGTAGAAATTTTGATATTAATTTATGAAATAAATCTTTTTCGGATTTTGCATACTGTCTAAAAATCAGTTTCTTAAAGTAGTCAGAAAGAGGCATTTGTTTACGGTAAAGCAACATTATGGGATAAACAAGGGATATTGTCCAAGAATTTATGGGGGCCAAATGAGCATGCATATTGAAATTGGCTCTGTCTATCCTTCCATCCCATTTTTGTTTCTGAATTCTGTAGCCATTTATGATATCTTTATGAAACTTTGTACACACATCTTCAACCTATTAGTTGTACTTTAATGTTATTATAAATTTCTGGGGTTTAAACATTTGGGTCATTCCATGTCAAGTGGACCTAGCATTAATATTGACTGAGTTATGACCTTTTATATCTTCTAGATAGACAATATTCTTGAAATTTGGGGATTTTGAAGCACTTTTTATATAGATTAATAATCCTCCATCCTCCAAATTTGACTTTATTTTTGGCACAGGATTAAAAACTTTTTCTATTTAAATACAGGTAGAACCCGTCTGGAACCGGTTGCTATAGTTATATTATCTGTAATAATGTCCTTGGCTTCCTTCCAGTTGTTAGTAGAATCAATACAGAAGATTGTAGGATTAGTAAATAATTCTGGTGATATTCCTACATTTAATTTAACCACTATTATTATAACTAGTACCACAGTAGGTAAGAACAATTAATAATTACAGCATTTTATAGTAGAAAAGATAGGGTGAAGTTGTGGCATAAAGGAAACAACCTATATGAATGCAGAGTCACCCTTGAAATCGTACTGCTGAATGAAAGCACATTTTTTTTCGTCTCACTAGCAGGCCTAGAAAAAGGAATCCAAGATAGCTGATTTCATTTGAAAGTACTGAAAATGAAATTAACCTGTGTCTGTTGCATTAAATATTTAATGTAATGTCAACAGAAATGTATAGTATATTGTCTGATTTACCTGTGTGTATGTCATGTGCAATGGCAGGAGAGTTCAACATTTTGAAAATATTTTATTTAGAAAATTTGAATAGTTCTTCTAATATTTTGATAATTGTGGTTATTTATGATTTCCAGATGAATACACATTATCACAATTTTGTAGCAATAAAGCATGTAATGCTTTAAAAATAAAACCTCTCAACCCTGTTGGACTGTATTTATTGATGGCCAGAAACCACTCAGAATATATTTACGTTGTGCCTTTTGCTAATTAGAATTGTTTCAGTTGAATAAATTTGGTATTTCAACCAAAACAACCACTACTAATATTTATTTGTTGATTATCAATAACACAGAGATTATCTATGCCACTACCTTCCAAAAAAGAGCAAGGGCATGGGGTGCATTGACTTAGTCTTTGTTTTTATTTGTTCAGGTTTTGATATCTATCAAAACAAATTAATGATGTTTTATCTAAAGTAATAAAGTCATCAAATTGTATTTTGTGTATTTGCAGTAATAAAGTTTGGTTTGTTTGTGTTATGTTATTGGAAAGGTAAAAATAATCCGTCTGTTAAAGTTTTGATGCAGGATCATAGAAACGACACTCTGTCTAATCTTATAGCTATTATATGTGGTTATCTAGGTAAGTAATCAACTCCTCAACCCTCAATTCTTCATTCTTAGTATTGTCTTCTACTGAGAGTTGTTGTCGATGGTTACTTATATGTTATGTAGTTCTGTAAATATTGTTCTCTCTATTTGCGAATCAAATCAGTTCATTGATCTGGGTTGTTATTGCTACCAGCAAGGTTAATTAAATTTTTCCAGAAACTAAACCACTGATTTTATCTCATTTTCAAGGTTTGATACCAACATTAATATCAAATATGATGGTCTTAATATCAAGGTGGCACTGGGCTGCCTGCAGAAATAATAAAGTTCACTTAAGTATATGCTAATAGTAGTAGCGTGCCCCACACAGCTACATGTAGAAATGAGCTTTAATAAAAGTTGACCTTTCAACTCAAATGACAGTTTTCAGAATCTATCAAATAATAAAGCTCTAGATAATGTACTTTTTAACATGTTTTAATCAGAGTAAAATTTAGATTGTATGTTGTGACAGACAACAACTGTAGAAAATTATTTGAGGTTTATCAATCACCTTTCCTCTACTCCTTTGCAGTGCACGAAAAGACATGGTTAACAAAATTTCTTCAGTCAAAATTATTAACTGTGGGTGTCTTCCTGTAAGTTGTCTCCCCTTAGACCACGAAAGATGTAACCAAAAATCAATGTTTACATTCGAGCCATCATTCAGGCAGTTACAAGTCAATGTCTAGCCAGCAGTTAAAATATCAGGTTTAGAAATACATCTAATAGTTGTCTTTGCTGTTAAAATAAAACAGGTTTATTTCTTAAGACTTGAATTGAATATGAAAGATGAATCTCTAATAGGAATATATACTATTCAAAAAAAGTAGGGGATATTTGATTTTTAAGTGTTATTAAAGTCACCTAATGAAACTGACGAAGAAACAAATGACAAAATGAAATGAAGTTCACATTCATCGATTTATTCCAAATGATCGTTAGACTAAGTAAGGCACAGACTGACCATTATAAGGGTAAAATGATACCCGGGGTCAAACAGCAAAGTTACCACAGCATCACAACCAAGTCAGTAACGGGTAAATCCTCCTCTGTTTGCCAAACGAGCATTGATCCGACGTGGCATACTCCTAATGAGACGTCTAAGGTCATTTTGGTCCAGATTGTCCCATTCCTGTTGCAACGCAGCAGCAAGTTCTTGGACATTGGCAGGACGTTGTTGACGTTGACGTAACCTCTGTCCAAGCATGTCCCAGACATGCTCGATGGGGGAGAGGTCGGGACTCAGTGCTGGCCAAGGTAATGTGGTGATGTTCTGTTGTTGGAGGTAACCTGTAACGATCCTGGCCCTGTGACATCTTGCGTTGTCATCCTGGAAGATGAAACGGCGGCCATGACGTCGTGCGAACGGCACAACATGGACTGCCAAGATGTTGTCCCGGTAGTACTGGCCTGTAACACGCCCTGCAACAACATGTAAAGCCGTTCTTCCAGCAACAGTGATGCCTCCCCACACCATAACAGAACCACCCCCAAATCGATCATGTCTGATGACGTTAACGTCTTGGAAGCGCTCGTTTCGACGCCGCCACACCCTCCTACGTCTGTCCAAAAAATCAACAGTGAACCTTGACTCATCTGAAAACATCACATTGCTCCAGCGTCGATTATCCCAGTGTTGACGATCCCTACACCAACGACGTCTTGCCTGAATGTGATGATCTCTCAAACCAGGGATCACGCGAGGACGTCGGGCGCGAAGGTGACCCCTATGCAGTCGATTCCGAATCGTCTGGCCACTCACTCTCACACCAGTGTCTGTTTGAAGACGAGCGCTGATCTGATTTGCTGTGATGACACGATTTCTCAAGGCCAAGGTACGGATAAATCGATCCTGGGCTTGAGTTATCGCCCTTGGTCGACCTGAGCGTGGTTTGTCCTGTACAGATTGTGTATCACGGTATCTGGACCATAGCCTGCTTATGACAGACTGAGAAACATTCATCGTCCGCGCCACAACCGCCTGTGTTGTGCCGATCTGTAGCATGCCAAGGGCACGTAACCTTTCATTTTGGGTAAGCCGACGCATATCAAAATTTGTTTTCTGGTCACTAAAACAATTAAACTGATGTTTCCACCCTGGAATTCAATGCCACAATGACTGTAACATTCAAAGTCAGAGTCGTGCAAATCTTGGGTTGGACCCCCATGATGATCCCAAGCATCACCTGCATTCCATGCGGTAGCTATTGGTGCGTTTGTGCGTCACATGTAACTGGAAATGTTTCTTCTGTTAGGTTCTATAGTGACTTTTTTCGTAGTCATTTGCATATTTTAGTATTATGCCCCCAAAATCAAATATCCCCTACTTTTTTTGAATAGTATATATCGAAAAATGGTTCCGTTGAGTAGTTACAGAGTTAGGTTGAATTGCATTTCATTGATCTAAGCCGCAAGAAATTCAATATTTTAGCGATAATGAAAATGACACATCAAATTGTTAAGTCCCTTTTCAAAGATCAAATCTTTAACATGTATTTTAGATTACACACTATTTACCATAGTTCATACCATATGTTATCTTATTTTTCTAGGATCAAGAGAATTTGTTATCAAATCTTCCACGGAAGATGTGAAGTACATCGATCCCTGTGGTGCTATTGTTATAAGTGGATATATTCTGTTTAGTTGGTGGAGAACAGGCTGGGGTATATATAATCTTATTTTATATATTTCATAGCTATTAATGCCTCTAATTTCACCTATAAAAAGTTATATGTTTTTGTGAAATAAAAGTTCTAACTGTAGATTGTTCATTTTCGTTCACCTTCAAAATGGTTTTGTGTAACTGATTAACTGTATAAATGTTATGATTTTAAATGAGAGAGTTAACCATATCAGAACTGAATTTTGGTTATAAGCTTTAAGCATACCATAAAGGATATCATAGCATAAATGTGGCTATAATAAATATGGTTATTAGTTTAAGCATATACCATAATTGTCAGTAGTAGCTTATGTGGTTATTACAGGTAGTTTAAGCATACCATAAATATTGTCATTAGTTTAACATACATGTTTAATACAATAAATATTGTTATTAGTTTAACATGCATGTATCATACCAGAAATATGTTATTAGTTTAACATGCTTCTATCATACCATAAATATGTTGTTAGTTTAACATGCATGTATCATACCATAAATGTGTTATTAGTTTAACATGTACATGTATGTATCATACCAGAAATGTGTTATTCGTTTAACATGCATGTATCATATGGTATATGTTATTAGGTCAACATGCTTGTATCATAATATGTTATTAGTTTAACATGCATGTATTATATCAGAAATATGTTATTAGTTTAACATGCATGTATCATACCAGAAATATGTTTAACATGCATGTATCATACCAGAAATATGTTATTTGTTTAACATACATGTACATGTATCATACCAGAAATATGGTTACTAGTTTTAGCATATCTTACCATAAATGAAGTATCTGTATATTTTTTGTGGGTCTGACATTGTAGGTGTTTCTTATGGTTTGTTTTTCTTTTTAGCATTTAATTTACTATTTTCTGGTCTTCTGTTTCAGAACAAATCAAAATGTTAACTGGTCATACAGCAAAACCAGGATTCCTCAGTAAGATCACCTGGATTTGTTTAAATCATCATAAATCTGTATTGCTAATAGACACTGTCCGAGCTTTCCATTTTGGTAATAATTTTTTGGTTGAGGTAGATATTGTGCTTCCAGAAGAAATGTCTTTAAAAGAAGCCCATAACATCGGAGAAACTCTGCAACAGAAACTTGAGAAATTAAGTGATGTGGAGCGTGCATTTGTTCACTTGGATTATGAAACAACTCACAGACCAGAAGAAGAGCACAAATTGTTGTAAATTCCCTGGAATAAGAATGTAGGGCTAGCGACTAGCCATGATGTGAAGTGATAGATGAAGTGTTCACAATGAAAAAATGTATACAAATTATATTACAATTTTCATTCCATAAATATACAAAGCAAAAAGAAGATGGAATAAAATCAATGAAATTATTATTTTTTTTAACCGTGTTGAAGTTCAAGTGTTTGAAATATAAATATTTCATTCAAAATATGGAGTATTATTGTTATTCATTGATATTGGATGTATTTCTGATGGAAGAAATGTGTGATTGCTGTGTTCATTTATTTCATACCATAAAAATATCCTTGGAGATGATTTGGAGTATCTGAATATTCCTTTAATTGAAGTTTTATTGCTGTGTTTATAGTGTTATTTTTGCAGTGAAATTTGTGTGAGCCAGAAGAAAGGCTATACTATAGACTGTGTTATCTGTTCATGTAATTGGGAAGAAAGTCCATGTTATAGAATAAACTCTGATCTATTATTGTTCCGTAAAGTGTAATCTGTACACAATGTAATACATACCATACCTACATACACATGTTATACAGATAATTAAAGTTACACATGTACATGCACACCCTAATTGTTATAAAAAGTTACTTATTGTTTATCGCATAGATTTTAGGATTTTATTTTTTACTTACAAAAATGTTTTTGATAATACTGTCCCTACCTAATCTAAAGTTTATATGCTTTTAAGAAACCTTCAAAGTTTATCTGACAATATGTTTTAAAACCAAAATCTGTAAACCTTTATTTATGTACATGTAAGGATCAGTATTTTTCTTTGGAATAAGATCCCACTTTGCCCCTAGGTTGAATGATTTAAAAAGAACCTTGAAATTCCTTTATTTTTAAAAGCATATGAAAGTTAACTATCATTATTATCTGATGTTTATTTTATTTTGATTTACTTTTATATACATTTATATTACAAATGAATTTTGAGCTTCGTGTTTCAAATCCTATATATGTAGATATTTACATATTTTATTGTATTGATGTGATATCCTTTTGTAACCTTTATACCACCTATGGACAATTGAGTGAAGGATGTGTACTTTATAAGTGTTGTATAATAATAATAATAATATCTATGGACAGTCTTCATTAGCCCTTTTGGTGCAGAAAAGTTGGAGTTTAAACCCCATTTCTTGATATACGGTCTTGAATGTTTTCATATTTAAGAAGGAGAGATATAACTAATGTTTTGCTGTAACTATTATTGAGATGAAAGTCTAGAATTTAAGTAGGGCCTAAAAATCAAAATATAATGTAACTACATGTATTTTAATAGCATTTCTATCATAAAATCTAGCATCTCAAGATGTGTAATATAGCAATATTTGGTTTACAAAATGTAAGTTACTACATCACTTGACAATATACATGTATACAGTGTAGTATTATTAATATCTACTTATCCAAATGTATAATCTCTCTCGCTCTCTCTCTATGTATTTAAACATAGGTACATATTGCATAATGCTTTTTTTAAACTAATTCTATTCTATGTTTTATTATAATCAAACTCAGGTAGAACTTTACGCTTTCAGTTAAGGATATGATTTATTGATATTAATAATCACATGTATTCAGGGATGTCATTTATTGCTTTTTTAGTTATTTCTAATTTGCACAAAATAAAACTTATAATTCAATAGAAGTAGAAATTAAACTGAAGGTCGAATTCATTATTGCAGTGTTTTGATTGACACATGCTTTACTTGCTTTAACATCAACACGAGATATTTGAATTTGTCCTCCAGATGTTTCATGTTAAGAGTGTTGGTACATGTAGTTGTCATCTTTATGTTCAGAGTAGCACATTCTTTATATGGTGCAATGTCCAGGTTTGGATATCAAATTTGATCAGATTTTCAACCCGTTTAGAAATTTACTGGAAATTTATTAATTAATTACTTAGTCAATAATAGTGAGTATTTTTGTTAATGGTGATGTCATTAGAAGTAGGATAAAGATTTCTGAAAGTCTTCCTGTGGAATGTATATAGATCTATATTTTATTATTATAATGGTAGAGATTATTAGTGTATTGTATTTGATTATTTGTTCAGTTCATAGTGTTTCAGTGTATAGAGTTTGTTTATTTGTTCTGTTTCTGTGTTCCAATATACACGTAGATGTATATAATCATTTATAATTAATTAACTATTTTTTATTTGCTATATTTTTAAGAATTGTATATAAGAATCTCAATACCACTGTTGATATTAAGGATATTATTTAGTGTATCTAAAGTTTAATTTCTACTTTATATATCAATTATCATGTGTTTCGGTACCTTCGGCTCAAAACACATATTTTTTATTTTTTTGCCGATCTTAGTCAGAAGTTGCAGCCAAAACTGCATGGTGCAAACATTCTGCCAATGTAGATATAGTTGGCCTACGTGGAACTAATTATTAAATATAAATTGGGTCACTTTTGACAAACTGGATGTGTTTTAACGGATGGGACAAAATATGATCTCAGATCGCCCATATCTCGGTTATTTCTCAATGGACCTTCGCCCTGTTTTCATTTTTTGATCCTTTGGATGAATCCCATAGGGGCTCTGACTGACAGTTTTTCGAAATTCGGAAATTGACTCAATTAGTTTTAGCATCAAAGAATTGCGAAAGTTTTATTCAGCTTTTTTTCGACATTTAAGATGGCATATCTTCGTTAGTATTTGAAACTTGGTAGAAATAAGGAAAACGTTGAGGCCTTCAAAATGGTATATTAAAAAAAATTTGTGACAGCTTCCGGAAATTACAGAGGTCTTCAGATTTTACCCAAACATCAATAGTTCTCTCCATTTTAAAAATAGATTAAAAATGACATATTATGGTGGTGTTAGCCTTAGCCCCAAATGTTATCTTTCATTTTCCAATACCTTGTTCAATAACATTTTCAACCTTTTGGCCTCCATATTGGATTTTACAAAAAACCTTCAAATCGATATTCAGTTGCCATTTTGATTCCGATTTATGAAAACTTTTTTTTGTTTGGAACTTGGTCCAAAATGGCAACAATTTTTAGGGAGCCGATTTTTGAAATTTGGTTTTTATTTACTTCCAGTTTCACTTTTGACCTACTATCTGGTGACCTAGCCACTCATTGACCTTTGACCTTTGCAAATATTATTACCCTGATGTCTAATATAGTTATGTTTTGGCAACAGTAGTGTTCATTTATATTATTAAAGTGTCCATAGTGTTGAAGTTTACACCCATCCAGCAGAATTGAATGTACTTTTCATTTGATGCAAGTCATATCCGAACTCCACAATAATAAATTTCCTGCCTTCTGATACATGTAGTTGCTAAGTTGAAATTATTACTGTTGATTTTTTTTCAGGCCTAGGAAATACAGGCATGAGTATCTCTGCTTAATAAAACATTTCTTTGAAATCTGAGGTATATTCCTACATCAACACTTGCCTGTGAATCTTTTTCCGATAAATTAACAATTCTGACACAACAGAAAAAGAAAGATAACAGAGAAAAACTATTTGATAATCTTCTGACTGAGTTTTTATCTGAACCATAGGGGCCCAGGTGTTGTTGCACTTGTGTGAGACCATAATGTATTCACATCCCCTATCTTATAAAAACTTATTTAAATCATCAAAATTTTCAGAAATAAATTGTGCCAATTCCCCAAATGTTCACTTTAACTGGGTAGGCCTACATAATTTGAGTGTACCTATTTATACCTTGTAGATTAAAATAGTTTTGGAAAAAAAGGATTTTATCAGTTTAGAGGCACACAGAGACAATACATGTAGTTGCTTTTAGTCAACAACAATATAAATTTCAATCATATGTAATCAACTTTTTGTTAGATATTAGAAATAAAGTTGTTTTAGGAAAGAAAACTAGGTTTTTGCAAGTACTTTCTGCTTTAATTAGCTTCTTCAGGCAAACTTTTTTGGAATTAGTAAAGTTTGCCTCAAGAAGCTCAATAAAGCAGAAAGTACTCGCAAAAACCTAGTTTTCTTCCTAAAACAACTTTGCAATCAGATTATTTTATTCTGAGTTTAAAGTTTTGACAAGAAATCATGTAAATAGTTGTGTTCATCTACACTATTGAGATAATTTAATCTCTAATAGGAATATCAGTCCAAAAATAGACCAGTTCCTTTCAGTATTTACTGAACTATGCTGCTTAAGCGTAACAAGACGGCCATTGGTAGCAGAGAAACCTGATAGACCTAGTTTAACTCGTGAGATTTGATATTGAATTGAAGATGCAAATAAACATGGAGCCTTTAGGTAAAAGTTTATGGACATGGGCTCGGAAAAATCACAGGATGTTAAACAATGTGAGCTCCCTTAGATTTTGTAACATTAATGCGGATGAAAAAAATCCATAGTATTTTATCTGGTAATTTTAAAATACCCTGTGTAATGTACTATAAAACTACGTGTATTTCAAGCTATGCTTATTGCATTTATCTATTTTAAAATCTGTTATGATGTATTTACTGTTAATTGTTAACAGTTGTTATTGTACTCTAATTCTTTTATTACCCACTATATATTGTGATATTTTAAAGTTATAATAAAAAAGCATGAAATATAAAATACCTACATGACATGTATCTTGTGTGTGATTAAATATAGTCCATCTGCTTGTTAACTGTGAGCAGGGTTGTTCACTTCAAATATTTTGTCAACCTGTCAATTGTTTTGAGCATTCTCCCCAAACATATCTACATATTTTTATTTTATGTGCTTTTAACTTTTACACATAAAAATGATAAAGTTAACTGTATTTATTGTGCTTTTAGGTTAAATTCTTATTTCATTGCATATAAATTGACTGACAGAAAGTTACTACAACCAGACTAGGAATATGACTCAAAATTCTTCAAAATCAATTTTTACTGCCCTGGCTGAAAATTTTCAGAAAACTTAAAACACTTTTGTACACTGTAAAAGAGTGTACATTGAAAAAGACATACGTTTCATACACCACTTAAACACACATTATGCAAGAGCTAAATCTATCCTATTGCAGGTCTTTCTTTAGGCCTGAAATGTTTACTAAATTATTAGCCATTAATTAACTTATCCAGGCCATAATCAACTCTTGATGGCATCAGATTTCTCCGATATTAAATAGATTAGAACAGTTAAGCCATATTTTGATTTAAGCTAAAAATGGAGGAGAGAGACTTAGCTTCGAACAACCAGCGCAGTGGTTGAAATTATTGCACACTTATTCATTTTGCATTATCTATTTTTGAACTATTATAGCAAGAATGGCTAGCTCTTTATCTAAATCTTACATAATGTATCTTTAAGTTTCTTGGGACTAAGTCATGGAGACTAAAGAAGTTAGCCTTGCAGTTGGAAGGTGATATACTGGTTTAGGTGCCTAAACAATTAGACAGTATTGTGGTTTGTGTACAAAAATTGGAAAACATATTTGTTACCCCAAAACACGTTTTGTCAATCTTATGTACAAATTTTAACTTTGCCATGCTCCATTATGTATTACACTGGCAAGAATTATCTAATTTATCTACAGTCTATAATTTAGTTCTTCCTGGTCGCCACAAATATAAAACTTTTGGATTAAAATAAATTATAGGGAAGAAGAGAAGACCATATTATGGTGAAGGAAATCGATATATATCTGTCTACATATAAATGTCAAAATGTGCAGCAATTCAATGATAAACCATTCTTACCAAGTTTAGTTTCTTCCCCCCGGCTATAATTCCACATTGCTCAATTAATTGTCTACATAATCACAGCATAAACAATTTACATTATATTCTTCATTCACCCCAAACCCAATGCTTTCTAGAACAAATCAAAACAAACTATATTTTATTTTGTTATTTTTGTTTACATTTATTCATTACGAATTGACATTGTCATCTGTCACAGCATTACCACAGTATATATATGTACAATCTTCATTTATTCTTGACACACACACGACTCACACTCAGAAAATATACCTCTTCCTTCTCACACATTCATTTCATAGATGCTGCCTGCCATCCAGCAACTTAAATTAATTCTCTAATATTAAGTTTTATTTAAGGAGAAAATGAGGTACTACATAAAAAAGATGGAATATTTGAAGCAAAGAGAAAATAATTAGCGAGCTCAATTGAATATCAATGTGCAGAAATACATGTAGTCTATATTAAATATAAGACAAAGAAATCAAGAAATAATAAATATAAGAGAAAGGGACTACTGTATGATAGAAAATAGGTTGCCAGACAATGAAACAGACGCCCACAGAAGTTAAGTCGTCTGAGCAGTTCATAAAGTTGGTTGTAACAAGTATTGTGAATTTTTCAGTAAATAAAAACTAAAAGCTGTATACTGTAAAATATGGAGCGTTGACAAGTTACTACAATGTAATCAAGGGTAATAAGTCTAGAAGTAATCATAAAAAAAAAACAGATTTAATTTGATAAACTTAAAGTAGATCAGAGCATAACTTTTACTGTTCAAGTGTGAAGAGAGTATAAAAAAGGGCAATAACCAACCGAAATTGTTGAAATTCATTTGGCTTTTTCTTTCTCAAGCAGTTTTAGATGGTAACTTCTGTTACAAGCGTGTTCACAAGATTCGACAAAGTGAGCAATGGTATGAACTTCGGAAGTGATCAATAGAAATTCACTACCGGTAAACCGAGCTGTGCAGATCGGAACATAATTGATTTTGCTAGATCGTTTACAAGATTTTACAAAATGAGCAAGGGTAACAACTATAGACATATTTAACAAAAATCATTGCCAAGCTTCTTTGTTTCACCAATTTAAATACAGTAATGCATATAAATTTGAAACTGTTTAAATGATAACGGATGTCATTGAGTCTTATTAGATTCTACAAGTGATCAAGGGTAATAACTTTGGAAATGATTATCAGAAATTGCTTCTTAATAGTTAATTTAAAATGATTAAATGACAACTGCAGTCTAGGATTAACAAGAATTTTGAATGACGGATGGACAGCACAGCATGGGTGACGGCTATATGTAACCATATTTCAATGCAGGCGTATAAAAAAAAAAAAAAGAAATTATGTCTTAAGAGAACAAATTGGCTACAAAGAGGACTACTACTATCCATTTTATAGTCTCATTTTTAGGGAGATTATTTCATAAATGGGAAATAACTTCTCATTTACTAATTGTTGGTATAATATAGTCACAAGCATGGTTGAAGGAATACCAAATTACATTTTGTAACTGTAATGCTTTGTAAAGATAAGATGTTATTTTTCTCTTTGCAATATGGTTCTTCTGATAAAAATCGATTTATTTACTTGGAAAAAAAAACTATAACTATTCAAGATTAATTCATAATAAATTATTTTTGTAAAAAAAAAAAAGCTTAATAAATTATGTTCTGTTCTCTATTTCAACAAAAACATGCAATTAGTTCAATCATAAATACAACAAAGAACAGATTTGCACATTTATAAATGCTTGACAAGTTTTGAATCTAATAAATAATTGAATTAATTTTCGCAATTAATTAATTTCCGCCATGATTAAATAAAAGTGATAAAAGAATATTGACAGAGAGCACCATGTTAAATACAGCAGCAGTTAATAGTTTAAAACATACAAGTACAAGTAGTAGCTTTAATTAGTTTAAAGGAAAGGAAAGAGAAAATATCTCCCATAATAAAACTACACTAGGTGGGGGCAAAATAAGAAAAGCCATCACAAATAACCGCTGTAACAATATACATACGAAATATTTTTTACAGAACTTAGAAAAATAGAACCATTTTCTCGTATTACTACATAAAAACAAATTAACTCTTATAGTTAACAATATTTATGATTAACTTATTAATGATATCTTACATGAAATTCATTAACACAATATTTTCTCTCTCACTTAGCTTATCAACAGCTATGCAACATGTACACACTACACGATTCAAATATACATCTTAAAAAATAAAAACTCGACCACAGAGGACCAATTTTCTCCTCAAATGTCGTACATTTTAGTAATAAATAGTTAAAATATATCACACTTTACAGAAACAAGATTGAATAGTAAATCTAAACTTTAAAAAAAAAACCATCCTCTAGATGAATTTCAAAAAATTCTTGGAATAACTCAGCTGGTCTCCTGGAAGCTAGTATTATTCTGACATGAACCCATTTCACTTTGTTCCTAGAAAAAAGTGTATGACGTACTGAAATTGAAAAGAAAAGGTAAAGAGTTTTGTCTAATTGAAATCGCCTTATTTAAGAGGGTGATGATGAGTTATGTACAGTGGTGTCAGTATTCCTTTACACCATTATTATATTCTACCAATGCTATTTACAGTCTATATACACTAGCCTATATACACAGTACCAAAGCCGATTTGAGCAATCTAAAACACATTAGATGATGGCGGCTCTGGTTGAACTTTTTAATGGCAAGGTCGGAACCATTGTTTTCTTAAGTTCCTGAGATCAAAGTTTTCTCAAGGACAACAGTTTCCATATGATCACCATGAGAACAGGTTTAAAATATGTAGCTACACACACATCTATAGATACACACCACACAATCACACTTACTCAATAAGCTTATATCGTCATATAGCTGCCTTTTAAATTAGCCATGTTTTTATATATAAATAAAAACAGTCTAATAATGTCTAAGAATCATTGTGCTTTTTTTTTTTTTTAGATAAGTTCCGTAGTCATTTCTATTATCCATTAATCCCTATACGGTAGGTTATAATCCAATCACTGATGTAAATCTACACATATACAGGATCTATTGTCTATAGATAATATAGAAGACCACAATAAAATACAAATATATATAATACACATTATTATCCAGAACAAATCTTTGGTACAATATTATTCCCCACAAGATTCAAGATATATTCACTTTGAAAAAGTCTACATAGTAAATCCAAACAGAATATCTCATATCCAAAGGGAATTCACTATAATTAAAACAACATATTAATATATAACCCTGTTTTATCCAAAAATTATTGTGTCCCTTCCAACAGGAATTTGCACACATTAAATAATATGATGATTTGAAGCATTTTAAATGATTCTATAGCACTTTTAAGCTAAATATATAATAAGGTAAAATCCAGTCTCATTCACAAATTATAATCCATAGTCTTATCCATATTAGGCATGGGAGGCATCACAATGGACAATTATGATGACAACATGTGGCATATCACGGATGTTTTCAAATAGAACTGGATTAGCACGAGCCACAGCATCATGGGAAAACTCACATGGTGGAAATATATGAACCACATAAGCAGGCTGAAATAGACAAGAAAAAATATAAATTCCAACAGAGGTAAACAATATTTTCTTAAAGAAATGGGAAGATCATTACAAACTTATCAACCATTGCTAAATCAGACAGAAATTATTTTTGATTAGTCTACAAAGTTTGAAATAATCCCAAATCTACAGATACAGCAAATTGTGTATTTATGAACAACTATGGTTAAATGAGTCATGTTGCAGGCAAGGTATGTACATATTTTTTTTCTATATTAGTGGTTTTGAGTTTCACGATATATGTTAAAAGTTAAGATATATGTGCATACCGGTATGTGCATTTTGATTTTTGATCCACATTTCATTTGGCCAGATCGGGTCACATCTCATCAAGAAAAAAGTGAAATAAAAATAAATACTAACCTGTTGCGATCCAGGCATGGGAATATTAACTATACCAGCTGCCTGTTTTAATTGTAAATATTGTATAAATCCTTCTGTTAATCCTTTAGTTTGTTGAGCCACATCTATATGATCACGACCACAAGGTACAGCTAATAACAAACAATAGTCAGAATCCATCTACAAAACAAATGTTCAAAATTATATTAAAGTAAAGAGAAATTACAGTATCCCACTAATTTGGTGAGACTTCGATACAAAGATAATGAATTTTGATGGGGTTCATCCCTTTAACCCATGAACAATGTAGGTGTAGACAATACAATTTCATGTCAAATTTCAGTCTATTAAACATTATAAAATGTTAACTTAATAAGAAAGAGCTTTACCTGCATTCTCTTAGATACACCTTCAAGCTGAGTTTGTTCCATTCTCATTCTTTGTGCAATTCTGAGTGGAACTTGGTCAACTGTTGATAACTGCGGTAAAGTTAGTTTTACTAGTTCTTGGTTACCAGCGACAAAGTGCATTTGCACAAATGAACTGTCATTTTTCAATGCCAGCGGTCCTTGCCACATCACTGGGTATCTCTGTAAAAAAGAGAGACATAATATCCATTAACATTAATGTCATTTAACTTCAATGTTTTACTATAAGCAATATTTCATTCATTCGAAAAGGACTGAACAACAGGCAAAGCCTATATCAGTACATAGTTAAGGCGAGATCAAGCCTTCTATTGAAGATGACACTAACCCTAATTACAATTAACATGCTATCACTTTTCAAATACTTACATGGAATACATTTCCTGAACCTTTAGGGGACTCTCTTGGTATACCTGGTCTCATCATTTCTGCACGCACAATGGGTGATTCTTGGCGATGACCATGAGGACTAGATTCTTCTGCTCTGCCCACAACAGCTGGTACAGCATGAGTATCTAGTGGATAACCGGGATGAGGTGAGAGAATTTGTTGTGGAAATGGTGAATGATGAAGTGGGACAATATCTCTAAATTGTTCCCTGTGAACTCCTCCTTGATAAACGCCATGTGGATCAACTGGTAACCGTACACTAAAAGGTCCATGTGGTGAAAAGCCAGGCATTTCAACTCCATACAATTGGGGAACACTCTGAGGTATTCCCCGCGGAGGAAAACCTGGTAGAAATGCTTTAGACTGTGGGAGACGACCATCAATCTGATTAGATACAGGTTGCAAGTGTTTGCCATTACCAGGATAGTTGAAGGAATGTGCAGCATTGCGAGATGGTGCCTTTTCACGAGATGACCTAGATTCGGTTTCTGCTAAATTGAGGGGAGACTGTTGCTGCTGAGCATGAGAGATAATTTGTTCTCTTGTCATCATTGGGTGAGGTGAAGGGGACGACGTCTGAATACGATGAGCTTGTTCAGGTATCTGACCACTCTTCAGTGCAGCAGCAGCTGCTGCTTCTTGCTGTTGAATTATTGCAGCTCTGTGTTGATGAGATTGAGACATAAACATCATTTCTCTTGACCCTCGAACATCACCATGTATGCTAACAGGACGGGGACTTTCTGGTTCTGCAATGTAAAAGAAAATTGAACTTGAGAAATAGGGTAATAAAATACAAACCTTAAAACAAAGGTGTACTGTAAGTGTTACAAACCTAGATTAACAATTAATTTAATCAAATCAGAAAAGCCTGGAAATGACTTACCTTTACCAGATCTAATTAAATGACCTTCTGGGAAGTTGCCTTGTTGATGTTTTACATGGTGAGGTATACCATGATGATCAACTGGTCGGCCTGGGTTTTGTATTCTCTCAATTGCCTATTTTTTTAAAAAAGAAAATAATCATAAAGCTATTCACCATGATAGAAAGAGATTTAAAAGTCAAAGTTAAGTACTGAATTGAAAATAAAGTTTTTGAGTGGAAACCAAATTTGAGTAGTTGGACATTTCAGACATTGGCAATTGAATACTTAATATGTCTTTTAACCTACAACTAAGAATAATAATCACCTGGCCTACCGGACTAGCAGATTTTGGTGACAGGGATATTGGTTGTCCAGCTACTACTCCAGCATACAGCGTGTTTGTATTTGATGTTGGTGGTATCATTTTCATTGAAGCACCATCAGGAGTAGAGGAAGTCTTTCTTTGCTGATGAGCACTAGTTGGCACCATGTTTGGTTGCATCATACCCCTGCTAATATCCATGGGACTAGATGTATGTGCAGGTCTCTGTTCTATTCTTCCCATTACAGCCTGGTGGCGTGAAGGCTCTGGAGGAATACTGTGATGTCTTGACTGCTCCATGTGTTTTAAATGATCTCCACTTGGGTGTCTGGTTCTCTCAGTAAGGGCTGGACGTTCAGAATGAGGGGGAAGTTGATGTACCAAATCAGAACGACTAGTTGGTACTGAAGGACGATGTCTTTCATCCCGGTGATGCCCTGGTACATTGTGAACAGCTGATTCACCAGGCAATCCATGTTTAGGTAGTTCACCAGTCACTCCCGGTCTAGGATGTTCAATTGGGATTCCATGTCTTGGTCCATCATTAGGAAATACTGGTCTCTGCATCATAAACCCAGGTGCAGTTGGTTGCCGATGACCAGAATGAGCCGGGAAAGGATATGGCGATAAATTGCTATTACTCTGACTAGGCAATCTTCCTTTTTCGGTTGATCTCTTAGGTTCCTTGTGGTCTCGATTTATTGGAGATTCCTGTTGCTGTGCCTTTTGTTGTTGTTGGTGTTGTTGTTGCTGTTGTTGTTGTTGTTGCTGCTGCTGCTGCAGTTGTTGTTGTTGTTGCTGAAGCTTTTGCTGTTGCTGCTGTTGTTGTTGATGTTGTTGTTGCTGCTGTTGTTGATGTTGTAGTTGTTTCTGATGTTGTACAAATTGTTGTAACTGTTGTTGTTGAATTTGCATATGCTGCTGTTGCATTTGCAACTGAATATGAGCAGGATAACTGTGGACACTTGGAGATCTTTGAACTATATTCTCTGGTTGAGCATGCTGAACTGGCAACTGCACACTCTGTGGTCTCTGTGGCTGCATGCTGGTGTTAGGAGACATTTGTGGAGGTGGGGGAGTAAGAATTGGTTGGACTGGAACATTCCATGTTTTATGTTGTAACAGATGAGGAGATGGCATTGACCTTGAAGATACTGTGCCATGACTAGAACTAGCAACAATTGAAGGTGCAGTCTTTTGAACTGGTGAAGATTGGGTATTCTGAACTGTTGTAGGCTGAGAAGTCTTAATAGCTGGAGTAGATGGTATGAGAGCTGGTGCTGGGCCTAATGGCTGACTAACTGTTCTTTCTGGTACATTAGATGTTATAACACAGGTAGGGCTTGGACTGGAAGTAGATACAGATGTTGATGCGGTAAGTGTCATATCTACTGTTGTTAATATTGGTTGGAAAGGGAGAGTTTGGGCTGAAGTCAACGACCATGGCTGTTGTGGTTGTGACTCTGGACTCGACTTTATTACTGGATGAGGTTGTCCCAAAGCTCCTGATTCTGCACTAACTTCAGGTTTGGGTGCAGCTTCTGTTGGTGGAGATGTAAATCCAGAGTCCATCCTTGGTGGTGTTTTATCCAAAAAGTCCATTCCACTTGTAATAAACTGTGAACTGTATATATTTTCAGCTGAATGAATAAAAAACATAATCAAATACTCATTTATAATTGCGAGACTGTGATAAAGAGAGGGAGACACAGTTTTAATATTACCCAACATCAAATAGTTTATTCCTGGATGAACAGTTGATACATCTTTATTTCAATAATCATATAGGGGTCTTTATCACTTGGAGAAAAATAGAGAACCCATTAAATTCCCACATGGTTTGACAGGCAATCCTTCTCCTTATCACATGAGAATCCATGACGGACCAAACGCCCATATATATAGAGAGAGAGAGAAATGGGGTTTAACGTCCACTCGACACAAACTAGGTCATTTCGGGACTAACATACGGTTTAATTTTATTTACATAATTCGCTTGCACGTAGGTGTCTTTAGAAGTGGGAGGAAACCGGAGGACCCGGAGAAAACCCACGAGGTCGGACAGGCGACCCATATATAGACAACTTACTCACACCTAACCCATTAATTTCTAGAAGAATTATTTGAATACTGAATTTTTAAAAGATATGTACTCATACTTTTCAAGGTTCAAAATTACTATGGATCAGTTTAAAAATATAATTTTACAAAATTTCATTCCAAAACTCAGTAGCGAAAAATTTGAATAAATTTAACAATTGAATTTAAATTTTCATAAAACATCAACATAAAAAGTAAAAATGTTACCTTCAGATTTTTTAGATACAGGAGGTGAAGAAACCCCACCAATAGCAATGTGTAATTTAGGTTCATCATCATCTTCGTCATCAGATTTCTCAGCACTTCCAAAGATACCTTTAGATACAGCATGTATTATCCTCTCAACATTACTCATTGATGCAGATGAATCATCAGAGCCATATGCCTGTGCATTAGCAGTCTCTGAAGGATGTATTTCCATGTTGACAGTATGTAAGGGGTCTTTTGGAACTAGTTGAGTAAGATTAGGTTGGGAAACAACAATTGGTTCTTCTGGTTTTAATGTTACGGGCTGAGATTCCAGTTCATTCACTGGTTTCTTTTTGTTCCTCAATCGTAAGCTGGTGCAAGGATTTGTATTGAATTCTTCACTTTCTTCAAATTCGTATACATTTTCTTTTGATACATTAGGCTTTTCAGGTATAAGCGATTGAGAATTCTTCCAGTCTTCAAAAGCTGTCGTTCTAAGTTTTTCTTCTGGAACATTTTGAACATTTTCATCTTTGACACTCAGATCTTTACCAAATATATTTTTCTTGGCTTCTTCTCTTTTCTTTGATTTGGAAATATCAATAATCTCCAATTTAACAACTGGGGAAACTATATCGGAATATTTTGGTGATTTCTGACCTCGTGGCGAACTAACAGGTTTTGGTGCCATACCACTGCGTTGAGCTCTTGGAGAAGATGCAGAAGCCCTTGTCCTAGGGGATGTCACTGGTGCTGCGACATTAGTGACTGCTCTTGGTGATGCTCCTGCTCTTGTAGTTCTAGGTGACTGTGAAGTATTTGGGACTGTTCCAGCATGGATATCTTTATAGTTTGTAGGTTTCCGTTTTCTCGTTGGTCTCTGTTCTTTATATGAACCACAATCTGATTTTTCAGCATCTAAAGTGGGGGTTTCTAGTTCTTTTTGGAATGATTCAAATACTGAGTTCTGATTATCTTCGTCAATTACTAAAGAATCTGAATCTTCTTTCAAACTAGTTTCAAAAATCGAAATTGGATCTGTTCTTACTGGGCTGCCAAATTGAGGTCTTTCTTTCTCAGGTTGGTTATCTTTGACAGGTAACCTTTCAATGCCTGGTTTCCTTGTAATAGCGCCTCTTCCGCGACGGCTAGCCTTTCCTTTACCCCTATTTCCTCTACTCTCCCTTTGATACCTTGTGGTCCTTGATTCATCTGCATTTGAACTAAAACTATCATCTAATCCAGAAGACAAATTATTACCAGATTGGTTATGACTTCCAATGTCATTGGGTATGTTATCGGTCTCACTATTGATGTGGTCAAAATCAATTTTTAGTTCAGATTCTGGCTCAAGCAGATCTTCCGAAATCGGATTAGGATTGACATCTGGCACAGCCATTTCTGGTGCAGTATCACTGTCATCTTTGGATCCTTTAGAACCTTTTGAGCGTCTTCTATTCATCACTGACTTAACGGGTGATTGTTTCTTTGGCTCATCAGCAGATACGCTAGCAATCGTATCTGAAAAGTTAACATCTGGAAATACCAATTCCTCCACTGGTGGCTGGCTGTGAGATGTGGGGTCAGGAAATGATCTTTGGTTGTCTATTTCTTGCGCAGAAAAACCAAATGGGTCTGGGTCTGAACTTTCTTGGAGAAGGGATTCCACAGCTCTTGCGGCTTCATCTGATGCCTCTTGAACAGCTTTTTCTCTTTCATCACTATCAATCTCATCCATAAATGGTGTCTCTAAATCTTGAGCAGTTGAAACTTCAGCTGGGATAGAAGGCTTTAGACTGCTTTCAATATCTGGAATAATCAAACTGCCTTTCAATGGGTTAACTGGCTTTGATGGTGTCAAAACAGGAATTTTTACTGGAGATGCACTCGATTGTAGCACAGTTAATTTAGGTGATAATATCTCTCCTTTAACTGGTACATTATCAACAGCAGGCCTGATAGGTGACAAGCAGGTTGTTACAGATGCTTTTTGAGGAGATATTCCACTATGGTGTGGTGACTTCCCAGGAGATGATGGAATACTCTGTGAAGATTTGTTTGGTGAAGTCACAGGTTTTGTAGAAGAAATAGGACCAGGATGTCTGGATGGTGATGTCATTGTGATGGGAGACTTTAATGGTGAAATAAGACTTGGTACTGTCTCACTTAAAGGTGACAAGCAGGACAAGCCTATTTTAGTTGGTGACATTGAATCTGTTACGTTAGAAGAACTAGCTACTTTAGGACTCAATTTTGTCACCGGACTAGAAGATGACGTAGCAACAGGAGAACTCTGTTCATTTTGGACTGGAGATTTAATGGCAGAACAAATATCCTTAGATAAATCTTTTGATGCATCTGCAGCAGTGTCTTCAACCATTTCTTTTACGGGTTCTTTGGCACTTTGGGCTGGTTCTGGCTTTTTATCAAACAAAATATTCTTCATTTTCTTCATATGGACAGCTTCAAAGAACTTATCAAATAAACCTTCTGGTTTCTCTGGAGGCTTAGGTGGTTCCGCAGGTGCATCACCAAGTTTGGGTGAATCAGGACACTTCTCATCTTCAGAGTCATTTAACTTTTCACCAACTGAATCAATAGCTTCCTCTGTAGTGGATTCAGACATGGTCTCATGTTTGTCTAATTTGTCAATTTGTTCAGCAACATGTGGAAAAGATTTAACATCTAGCCTTGTTGGCAAAGAATCGTTACTTTCTGATCTATCAAAGGCATCAAAGTCAAAGGGATCAACTGGTTTGGATTTAGGCTTAGTGATAGGCTGGGATTTACTACTGGTATCCATTTTCTCTTCTATCTTTTCTTTTGTCTTTTTCTTACCCTTCTTCTTTTCTTTCTTATGATTTGAATCAGTTACTTCTAAGTCCTTATTCTTAGTGTCACACTTTTTAGTGTCCTCCTTAAGGTCTTCAAGAACACTTTTGATTTGTGCAGTTTTCTCTCCTTTTTTATGCTTCTTTGTCTTCTTCTTCTTGATCTTTTTGGAGGACTGCCGATCCTCATTTTCTGAATCCTCATCTCGACTAGAGTATATTTCAGAAGCTGGTCCAAACTTTGAGAAGAGATTGTCTTCTTGGGCTTTTAAATCAGCACTTATTTTGGCTTTCTTGGGTTGGCTTGGTTGATCCATTTCAGAAATATTATTGAGAATTATCATATCTGAATCTTGTGCATCCATTTTCTCTTCATCATGTTTTAACTCTTTAATAGATGTATCTATTTCTTTCACAGATTTTGAAGATTTCTTTGCATCAACTTTGTTTTTGTTTTTCTCCTGTTTCAGTCCCTTGTTCTCTGACTTAGTTTTGCCATCAGATTTATTTCTATCATGTTTTTGGTTCTTGTCTCCATCCTTCTTTTCTGATTTTACCTTTATATCATGTTTGACATAATCTTTCATCTCAGCTTTTGTCTTGACTTTTATTTCAGATTTATTGGAATCTGACTTACTTTGTTTAGTTTCAGATAGAGAATTGTATCTACTATCATTTTTGTTGCTGTCTTCATTAACTTTTTCTTTCTTGATTTCGCTGTCAAACAATTTATTCAAATATTCAGACTTGGGCTCCTCTACTTCTAGTATTTTATCATCTAGCTCACAGTCCTGTATGTCAATGGACTTATTAGATTTTCCATGCTTCTTCTTCTTCTTATCTGATTTAGACTTGTCCTTCGATTCAGTTTTGATATCTTTGCTTTGTTCAATTTTAGATTCTTTTGACCCTTCCAATTTGACCTCCTTCTTCAATTCCTTCTCTTCTTTGGATTTGTGGCTGTTATTTTTCTTGTCCTCATCTTTTTTGGTATCAGTTTTCTTCGAGTCTGTTTTGGGGAGTTTCTGATTTTCGAGTTTGTGACTAGAATCTCTCTTAACAAGTTCATCCTTCTTATTTTTTACACTTAGTTCACTTTTCTCCTCCTTGTGCTCACTTTTGCTATCATCACTCTTCTCCTTGTCTTCAGCTTTTGTTTTGCTAGGCTTCTTATGATCCTTAGTGGATTTCTTAGATTCAGACTTTTTATTTTTCTCCTCAAAGCTTTCAACTTTCTTAAATTCAGCTTTAGTTTTGACTGGTTCATGTTTGACTTTCTGGTCAATTTCCATAGGTGCATCAATTGATTTAGACTTTTGTTTGATTTCCTTAGAAACATCATCTTTGTCTTTCTTTTTCTTTCCTTTCTTTTCCTTGTCACTTTTACCTGCATCTTTCTTCTCCCCTTCATCCATTGTTTCAGGTTCTGTGACACTCATTTCTGATGAAACAAATCTGTTGGTTTTGTTATCGCCTCCGTCATGTAAATCTATTTCGCTGGATTCTTCTCTGGATTTTCTCTTCTTTGCTGGAGACTTCTTGCGTTTGTTTGGAACGTATTCATCCTCTGATTCTTCAGTTTGATAGTCCATGGTTTTGTCTGACTCAGACGATGAGTCAAATATTTTTCTATTTTTGATAGATGCAGTCTTTGGCTTTTTTTTCCTTTTAACTTTGTAAGGCATATCATCTTCATCACTGGAAAAACTATCAATAATCTTAGCCGGTCTTTTCTTCTTGGCCTTTTCTTTAGGTTTTTCATCATCACTCATGATGCCAGGAGATGTGGCACTATCTGAGTCAGACATTTCCTTACTAAAATCACTGTCATCACTTAGTCCAAAATGTTCCTTTTTTCGCTTATCTTTTACTTTTTTATTAGCTTCCTCATGTTCATCTCTCTTCCTTCCCCTTTTCACTTTATCATACATGGATATGAAGGGTAAAAGTTCTGTTGGGATCTCATACGGTATTTCAGGTTCCTTCTCTTTTACCCTTTCCTTCTCTTTTGCATGTTTTTCGGCTCTTTCTTTTTCCTTTTTTTTCTTCTCTTTCTCTTTCTCCTTAGAACCCATCTCCTTATTTTTGTCTTCTTTCCCTTTAGATTTCCCATCCTTTGCCTCTTTCCCACTCTTATCCTTGCTGTGACTGGAATGTTTCTTGTGATCTTTCTGGTCTTTGGATGTTTTCTCACTTTTACTATCAGTCTTGGATTCGGTAGATTTACTAGATGTCTTATCAGATTTACTAACCTCTGATGAATCTGTTTTACCTTTTGGGGTTTTAGGGTCTTGATGTTTGACTTTCTCCTTTTTGTCCGGCTTCTTATCATCATGTTTCTTGTCCTTATCTTCATGTTTCTTGTCTTTGTCATCATGTTTCTTGTCCTTGTCCTCATGTTTCTTGTCCTTGTCCTCATGCTTCTTATCTTTATCTTCATGTTTCTTGTCCTTGTCCTCATGTTTCTTGTCCTTCTCCTCATGTTTCTTGTCCTTGTCATCATGCTTTTTATCTTTATCTTCTTGCTTTTTATCTTTATCTTCATGCTTTTTATCTTTATCTTCATGCTTTTTGTCTTTATCTTCATGTTTCTTGTCCTTGTCCTCATGTTTCTTGTCCTTGTCCTCATGTTTCTTGTCCTTGTCTTCATGTTTTTTATCTTTATCTTCATGTTTTTTATCTTTATCTTCATGTTTTTTATCTTTATCTTCATGTTTTTTGTCATCAGATTTCTTGTCTTTTTTCTTTACTTCTTGAGATTTTCCTTTATCAGAGCTGCTTGTGTGTTCTTTCTTGTCTTCCTTTGATTTAGATGATTTAGATTTATCTTTGCTTGAAGAACCTTCTTTTTCTTTGGACGTTTTATCTTTACTGCCTGAATGATGACGACTTTTATCTTTTTCATGTTTTTTATCAGAATCCTTTTTGTCTCCATCCTTTGATTTGGATTTTTTGTCTGGGGAAGTGTTCTTAGAATGTGCATTTTTATCATCAGTTTTTCCTTCCGTTTTCTCTTTTTTCACATGGTCCTTGTTATCTTGATGCTTCTTCAAATCTGGTTTCTTTTCATGAAATATTTCAATCTTTTTCTCAAACAAATCAAAAGAGGAATTGTGGGAGGTTGACAATCTGGAATTTTTCTGTGGCCGATCATCTTCAGATTTGGAGCGGTTCATACTAGATGGTTTAATAATGGTTGTAGATGATATAGATTGTGGTTCAGCTGGTGGCAGTTGGGCAGGTGCACCAAAAGTTGTCTCTGAGTTATCAACTTCTTTTTTAAGAACAGGTGGTTGAGACTTTGAATCAAATAGGTTCTTTTCAGGTGTTCCTTGTGTAGATAATGCACTGCAGTTGGAAGATGAATCCATTCTCTTTTGCATACTTGACGTCACATCACTGTGAAAACCAACTGGAATTTGGACACTAGCAACTGCATCAGACGGTCGGCGACTGAACAGTCCAGAAGGTTTCATAACTTCGGGTCGAACAGACTGTTGGAATCCCATTTGAGAAGTTTGGGATTTTCCAAGTCTGTCATCGTCAGTCTTAAATCTATTCATACCTGGCGACTTAGGAAAAATCTGAGGTGCAGTAATCGGTATCTCTGTGAGGTTTGTTTCTTTTTTTAAGACAGGAGGCTGTGATTTCAATGTATATTCCTTCCTATCAGCAAATGCTGGGCTGGAAGAAGAAGAAACATTATCTGTCGAGGGCATCGAGTCACTTCTAGGCGGAAGAGCAGCAAATCCCTCTGAAGACTCTTGCATTCCTAGTGGAATTTGAATACTAGCAACAAAATCGGATGGTCTTCGGTTAAATAATCCAGCTGGTTTCATAGCTTCAGGTCGAATGGGTTGTGGAAATCCCATCTGTGAACCAAAAATAGGTTGAACAGCTCCTGGGCTGTTATTCTGCTTTGTTAATCCAGTAGATAAAGACCCATATTGAGCTGGTAAAGTCAAGAGAGAGCTACTTGTTTGGTCAACCAGGGGAGATGACGGAACTTCAGAAGCTGATGATGGTTGTGAATAAATAGGATGTTGAGAAGCCATCTGTGATGGGTTGTTACCAACTGGATACTGAACACCTGATGACAATGAATATGGTGGTGCTGATGTAGATTCTGTTTGAATGGTTGACTGCTGAGAGACAGGCAATGTAGGATTTATATTTGAAAATGTGTTACCTGGACTCAGCTGATTTCCTGGAAGACTAAACTGATTAGCCAATTGTTGTGTATGAAACTGAGGGCTTTGTGATGGATGGAATGGTGAAGAGGAGGCTGAAAATTGAGATCCCGGAGAAAGAGACATTTGTCCTTGTTGAACAACAAGTGGGTTTGCTGCTGCCATAACTGATGTCATGTTATGTGCTAAATTGTCTGACTGGAGAGATTGTGATGGACTTTCTAACCCAGTGCTATGAGCTGGTTGAAATCTCATGCCTCCCATCTGACCCTGCCAATAACCTGCTGTAGTAGGTATTGATATCTCCTTGGCTGCTGCCTTGGTTCTAAACTGCATACCAGGTGGTGTCGATTTCCTTTCTTCCAGCCGCTGAGAATCCTGGTCAAGTATACTCCCACCCCTACGAGACAATACCATTTTCATAATGTCTGATGGTTCACTTTTGTCTGAATTTGAAGAATTTGCAGAGTTCGTTGAAGCTTCACCACGCTTTTTAATTTTAAACTTTGTATAGATATTTGAGCTAATGGTAGGAGTAGGTGTGAGGGTTGAAGCCAAACTACTAACAGCAATAGCTGGAGGATCAGGTGCTTTATCCAATTGGGCATCCAAAAGTCTTATCCTCTCAGATATTGATAACTCCCCTGGAATCTTCGGTTCATCAATACTGCTATCCGATAAAGAATCATCTCCTTTGGCACATGTGTCTTTATTGGATTCATCAACAGAGTTACAAGACAGTCTATTAGCATACCTTGAATCACTACCAAGTCTTTTTTCATCAAGCCTTGGGTCTGTTGGCACAACCATATCCTCTGAATTATTTGTGTTTACATCCTGATTCACAGAATTTAAAGAATGTTTCTCACCACCTATAGGGGGGCTCATTGGAGAAGCTATATCTCCTGATTTATTAGTGTCTTGTCCAATATTAATATGTAAATGAGCACGAGAGTAGTCTGGGGGTTTAGCAAAAGCTGCACTGACAGGTTCCCTGTCAGGTGATTGAGCACTTCTACTACACGTTGGGGATAACAAATTGGGAACAGGGTGATCATTTGTTTCATGTTTAGAGTCTTGTACCTTTACTTTGTTCTGGATTTCATCGGTGTCACTAATTAATTTGAGTACACTGTTAGTGTCTATACGATGAAGACGACCAGCGTATGAATCAGATTTTTTCTGATTGGAACTTTCCATTTCTTCGTCACTACTTAAAGCACTACCTTTCCTACGATAAGGACGGCTTTTTACCACACTTTCCCCCTCCTTGTCATATTTACGCCTTTTGGTCTGACGAAATTCGGGAGATATTTCCTTTGGTGAATCGTCAGCATATTCTTCTGTGTCACTTTCATCACCATTAAAATTAATTTTCACAGAACTTTCAGGGGTCTTTGCACTAGGATTTTGTAATTTCCGTAACTTTTCCATTTGTCTACGGTAACTCTTAGAAGAGTCAATCTTTTTGTCCTCAGTTCGAGTTTGTTTTAAATTATCCTTTAAAAACAATGTCTTCGACAAAGCACTTTTCTGATTTCGAGCAATAACATTTCTCACATCTTCATTAGATTCATTATCACTTGTACTTCCGCCATCCTCTAACTGTTGAAGTTTTTGTAATAAAGCTTTCTTTTCCTGAGTTAATTTCAACAAATCTGACTCTCCCATGGATCCATTTTCAGAGTCTGGTCGACTACCTGAAGAGCCAGGTGAACTTGATAACATAAATCCTGCCTCGGTAGGCAATAACAATTTTTCATGCTTCGCGTATTTAGCTTTTTCAAGTTTTTTATCAGTATGATAAAGTTTCTTTTCTATTCTACTACGCTCCTGAGAATTTGAAGTTTTAGTCACAAGTGAACTTATAGTAGAGTCAATTTTTCTTGGAATTTTGTAATCCGAGCGTAATGTGTCTTTAGATAACATAGCTTCACCATATGATCTTTTACGAGTAGCACTTTTATCCTGTTTTTGAACTTCTGTGACAGGTTTACACACAACACTATGCAAACTTTTATTAACAGTTTCACCCTGAACCGGATGTTGCACAAATTCTGTTGGTTTATCTAACCGTGATTTGCGCTTATAGTCTGAGTCACCGTAATACGAACTTCGGTACATTGGAGGTTCTGCTTCTGTGGGTGTTGGAGGAGTAGATGATCTCCGCGGTATAGGAGTTCTACTGGGACTATGGAATGAGGATGGGGATTGACTTCGCGAACCATCATCACCATCCCCAATAACATCCAAGTCATGACAACGTCCCTTATCATTCACATATTTCCCGTGTGAATAATTCTTGTCCTCTGCACTACGACTATGATATTTACTATCTGAATGATACGAGTTCCTTTCACTACCAGCACTATCACTATCCCTATAATGATCATAATGTTCTTTATTCCGATCATCATATCTATCTAGCGACACATCACGAGAACGATGCGAGCGGTCGTCAAAACTTATTGACAAATGTCTTTCATCACGACGTGGGCTGCTAGTTCCTCGCTCTCTACGTTCTCTTCTACTTCTGTCATACTCTCGTAGTTCTTGCTCATAAGTGTCATCTGCTTTGTAATAATCACCACTGTTGGAATATTCATCTGAGTGACGGCTGAAAAAAAAAGTGAGGAATTGTTTTTAAATATGCTTAACAAATGAATAATATCAATCATCTCTAAGCATTCAATTTATTGAAATACTGTACTACTCCATTGTGATGTGTTGTGCATGCAGCAAGGCATATTTACTCTGATCTGAACAACTAATTCCACTTCTAAATTCTGGAGCTCACGTCAAAACTAACAATTTTTTTTATTGTACCCTTGTCCTTATATCAAATAATGTACATTATATAAAGTAACTCAAATATTACTAAGTTAAAAAATTTCTCTTTAAAGGTATCTTGAGAAAGATGTATTTTTGGTAATAAATATTTTCCTATTAGTTCTGATATATTTCCCAACTGATAGTCATGTATAGTATCACAATTGATGAGGCATTTATGATTTAACTCTTGCATGAATTGGTGCGTCCTGACATTTGAAATTGTCACATTATTTTTCTAGAAACTTATAAAGTCTTAAAATATATGTCTTCCACAAATAATAACTTTCATACCTTGCCCTACGACTGGGATACTCTTCTGTAAATGTACTGGCCTCGCCTGTGCTACGAAACCTTGTACCACGACTTGATGATCGACTTCCCCTGAAAAATGTTTGACTTCGGTTATTGGTAAAAGTTTGACTTTGGCTGTAGCTACTTCGACTGAAATGAAGAACAAGAATAATTATTTCGTGAAAAGTCCTGGAGTAAACTTATTGAAACTGATATCAAAAATCTAAAAAACAAAAGCTTTTTATTTTATAAAAATGTACATCCTTAGTAAGGTACTCAAAAGAAGAGAAAAAAAAAAGATAGTCTTTAAAGAAAAATTTGTAGTTTATAGTTATTTTTATAAAGGTAAACTTATAAAATATAAAGATCTAATGTTGAAGCTTTTTGACACCTGTTGCAAATTATTTTCCAAACAAAAAAAAACAAATGAATTCAGCTCATACGATTTTAGAAATAAATAAATGTACAATTTTATATGTATTTACCTGTCATCACTGAAATTTTCATAATCACGTGACTGTGTTCTGTGAACAGTAGGACCACCACGACCTCGTTCATCCGGTCTCTCACCAGCTCGTAACTGTCCAGAAGATTCCATTTTATCAAAAAATTTATTTTGGCATTCGCGACTTGCAAAATCAATCTGAAAAAAAATTATGAATAATCAAAACCTTGTCTAAATCTAGAGATAGGTACTGGTAATATAGTCTATAAGTATAACACAATAGAGTTAAAACATAATAATAGTAATTTAACATAATATATGCGTGCATCAAATAGCCTACAACAAACATTACAGACTGGTGTGCGTTAACAGCAGCCTTAGTTGAGATGAAGTAAAAATTATTAATCACATACCATAATTATATTTTTGTGCCACCCGTACGAAGATGGTAAAGTAAGCTTAATTACCTGTATTTTCTTGCCACCCACACTCCGATTTTTCATATCCGCCACAGCGTAAATAGCATTATCCATGTTAGTAAAATAAACAAGACTCCTGCCTTTCACACGGTCTATAACACTATAATTCACTTCTCCGTAACGACTAAACACACGTAACAAAAAATTATCACCAACATTTTCTCCTATATTGTCCAACCAGATACAATTAGTTGGCATGCTCTTACCAAATCCAAGCTGTAATATATAAAACATTAACAATAAGTCCACAATGAAAATAATATGGAAAAAACCCAAAACAAGTTATGTCATCAATCATGTCTGAGAAGAAACACCAGTTAGATCTATTCCAATGATAACCCAGATTTTTAAAATGTCTGTAATAGAAAACAATTACTTTCATCTTGGTACCAATTAATTAATCTTGTGGTTGCTTATTATAGAGAGAGAACTTTCATCTGCAAGTGCAATAGTTTTTTTTTTCATTTTATGAAGCTTCTAACACATGGCTACAGTTAATCCTAAGTATGATGTCATCACATGTATGACATCATTATGTCGTTATAACAACTATAAAAACTTAAAATACTTTGATAAAATTGAGTGAATCCATTTTTCCTGACTGTTCATCAATTAATTAAAATCAAAAATATAAATTGATTAATTCTGAAGAGAAATGAAACATCTGCAACAGCCATTATTCCCCCATGCAGACAAATTAAAAATTAACTCTAAACAAAACCTAATTTGAACAAAAAACTCAGCAAATAAATCTTGCATGATATTCTCTTACTAATCTGATGACTCAAGAGTACTGAGAAATCTGTTGATTTACAGAAACATGAGAATCAAAAACAAAAAAGTATATAAAGAGGGAGGGAACCCTTATCATCATGCCATTCATTGCAAAAGTTCAGGCTCCTTAACACTACTTAACCAAAGATAAACCGGTTGCCCGTCTGGCAATGATGGCAAGAAGTACTATTAAATTGTAAACAATAAACTAATGATAGATGTATCATACCAGCTAATCTGGTCTCCAGTCTTTTGAAATACTAGCAACCCCATGACACTTTATTAATTTGTCATATTTTCAGAGACTGGACCGAGCAAAGTGAAAACAAACTTTGGCTGAATTTTTCAAGTCGGACATTTCAAACTGGTCCCTCACTGATGTGACTAAATGATTCAAGCCAGTGAACAACATGCCTTCAGTCAGCAGTACAAAAAAAACAATGTGCAAAAGGTACAGTTCTTATCCCGATTCGTCTTCATAAGACAATTCGGAGCAGAACAGTAGGATGTTAAACCCCATTTCATTTATTTCTTATCCCGATATTATATGCTAGAATTTAAAAACGGAACAAAAAATAGAACTAAACAAAGTGTTGATACTATAAGAAGGACTTGTACATGTATCTACCTACCAGCACAGAATTTTACATAGGAAATTCAGAGAAATGTGGCCATTGGCCATGTACAGGGAGAAGAGCATGTTTATCACAGGTAATCAATCTACACCTTGTTGCTATGGTACCTATTATTTATAATTATAACTTTATTCAGAAAAGATAATGGCCTATTTCACACTAATGAAATACAATTAACATAAATGAGTCACATATCAGTTTCAATTTTTGATCATTGCTTGATGATTTTTAATTATGTGTGTAGGAATATAATTGATTCTTACCTTGATTTTATTGGCACCTATATGTTCTCCCTCCATTGATCGTAAAGATTTAACAACACTAAGTATATCAGCATACTGAACAAAAGCATAAGCTGAGGCGGCTCCCTGTCTCTTGATGTCTACATCCTGAAATACATACATATATATAAAAAAGAGTTCACTGATATATTCCGATCCTAACAAATACACTATACAGGAACAAACATGTAGATTTGATTGCATGTATAATCCCAGATTATTGTAGTGCCATATGGTCAAATCTATTTGAATTTTAGTATTTCAGGGTATTAATAAATAAATAGCCACTCTCATTCCATGTATATTTTTAAAATTCCAGAATTTAAAAATTGGGAACATAAAGACTTTGAGATAAGCAACTACATATTTTGGGGTATCCTTTGTTTTCTTAATTTATGATAAGAGGTGGGAATGAAGGGTGTATATTTTATAATTCCACAAAGTTTAATCTAAAAAATATTTCTGAAAACTTGATAGGTCTATTACATGTATTTGTCCTGATTGCTATAGGCAGAGTTAATAAGGAGTAGTGCAACAACAATACAATTTTTATTCAATTTAAAGGGGCTACTTACAATGATTTCACCAAAGGGTTTAAATTTATCCACAAGTTCTTGGATTGATGTGTCTTTCTCCAGGTTTCCCACAAAAAGTGTTCGTGTAGATTTTGGATGATACTCATCTAACTCGGTTTCTATTGGACGGAAATCGGCATCATCTACTTCTATAAAAAAATAAGAAACAACGTTATGTACATAGGACATACATTTTGAAACTAACATGGTCATTTTTTTTATGATGGATGAAATTATCACTAAAAGCCTGTTAAAAATAAAGTGAGAATATTGTTGATATTGTGATTTTATACGAAAATATTGAGGTAAGACTTGTACTCACCTATACCTTCATGTGGTATAACATGTATTTTAGTACCAAAAAACATTTTATCTTGGGAAGCTTCCATAGCCTTGGATGCATCTTCAGGTCTACAAAGGAATAAACAGTTTTAATATAAGAAACTAGTCTTACTATAATCCCAGTTGCATTAAACTTATATTCCTTGGACATCTCAGGTTCTACATTGTAACTTATATATTAATTAATCAGGAGATCGAAATTACAATGGAGAATATATTGGTTAAAACAATAAACATTATGAATTATTTGTAGGGATGTTCTTTCTGTTGAAAATCTATTAGTACAGACATTATTGCTTATGTATCATTGCACACAAGTCTTATGATTAAGCAAGTAGCAATTCTATGGAGATATGGCCTGTGTGTAACCTTTAATCATCCTGCTCCAGTTTGTATACCTTCATATTGTGAGATCTAGTGGTTAAAGGATAGGGCTTGTTTGACATTTTATTTATTATCAGCCTACTATTGTCTATAATTTTATTTTCCATTCAAAATAAATGAACTTTTTAAAATTCAGGGAATACATCTTTAAAAAGGGGGATATTTTCTGGTTTTCACTCAATGCATACCTTGCCTCCTTATTATCTGTGCCTTTAAATTGATATATCGATGAACAGTAAATGCCAAAATAGACCATGAATCCTATAAAAGGACAATATAAAAATTTTGTGAAATGAATTCAACTTACTTTCTAAAACTAACAATAGCATAACGTTCCCCATCATCAGATATCACTTGAACTGAAGTAACTTTACCATGTTTTTTATACTCGTGAAATAATCCATCTCGTAAACTTGTATCTGAAAAACAAAATTGTTCAAATCTCTGCACTATTACAAATTACTTTTGAAAACAATACTTAATTTGATAGTACAACTAAAATCCAACAACACTTCATCCTTTTTAGTTCCTAAAATGAATTATATATCAATTTCCACCACAATTAAAATTTTTCTGAAAATTTAATGAGGTAGATCTCGCATTTCACCAATATATTTTTTAAACAATAATCCAGAATTCAAAATAAATGATAGCTATGCAATAAATTAGATCTATTTAAACTTACCACTAGAACGAGTAGGTAATTTTGTAACACAGATTCCAACCGGGCGTTTTTCAGAATTTGTGGGCTGTGTGCTGGTAGAGCCAGCTTCACTGGCAGCTTTTTCTACATACTTCAACTCCTTTTCTTTTGAAGGGGGTTGACCAGGGGACTTCTTTTGACCTGGAGGACGCATGCTATTAGGACTGCTAGCTCGGCTGAAATTTGATAAATATCATTATGTAAAGCTACAGTTTTTAGAACATTAATATGTATTTATGCAAAATATGAAGTAGTTATTTTCAGGCAGAAATAAAATGAAAATGGGGTTTAAGGTGCTACTTTTCTACACCAGACTTTGGATAATGAAGATGGCAGACATAAAGACTATTTGAACATAGTAAAAGCAAGTGCAGGATAAAGGACATTGTAAATAATAAATAACAAAAGTCCTAACAAATCAAGAGACTAGATTCGTGGGAGAGGTGGGGGGGGGGAAGAAACTAGAAATTTAGCAGAAAGGTGGTAGTTGGTTGCAGTTAGCATTTATTTTTTCTTTGCAGCACACCAGATAAATCCTAATTCTTTATTTATAAAACATAAATATGTAAATATGTAGGCCTACCTGCGTGACTGTGAAGGGGTAGCAGTACTATCCGATGAACTACTATCACTGCTACTTGAATGAGACCGAGATCTCGGGGACCGTGATCCACTTTTACTACGATTGGCAGTTGTCTCCAATCCATCACTTTGCCTGTAGGAAATAAAGGAATTTTTTAAAAATATTTGATGTAAGATAATACTACGGCATTTAACATCAATGTATTGCATTCAGGCCTTTACACTGGTAAATCCTAGAAGAGTGACACACATACATGTAGGTTGCCAGACAATCAAACATATGTTAACAGCAGCAGTTTTATTCTTGTGGATATAATGGTATCATTTACAAATACTGAAGTATAAAACGTACCAGTAATCTGAGCTCAACCTTAGCCTTTCCAATTTATTGTAAATGTTTCAAATCAATTGGCTTTAATAATGTATGAACATAAACACTGTGAACAGATTTGTCAATTGGATGATAACTTTAACCTGTTTAGCATCCACAGACACAAAGTGAGTGTCTACAAAAAAAATATGCCAACAAATTAGGGCTGCAACGATATGCCAGGCATCACGATTCATAGCCTACGATACGATTAATATCACTATATAGGAAATAAATTTTATAATACTGTTAAATTTTGAAAGTTTTTCAGTGTGAAAATTCAAAGGCCTACTTTTATGATTTACTTTTAATGTGGTGTTTTCTTGGTCAACTAAACGAATTTCATTGCTGTCATGCTTAACGGGAAATCCTAAAAACTCCCATACTTTACTTGTGACTTATATACTCAGTATGGGGGATATTGATCACAATATTGCTTTTGTTGATCGTGCGAACTTCAATTTGGTGAATACATTATGAAAAAATTTCAGCTGGCTGGCTCATATTGCCACAACAATTTCTGCCATTGAAAATCATTCTCATGGTCAGGTTAGTCATATATCATAGAACAGCAAAGGAAATTACGTTACGAAGATTTAATATCAAATATTAATATACATATTTTTCTCATTGACTTATTTACCCATTTAAAGGAATATTAGCCTATTTTTTAAAAATTATTATTTGAATAACGAATCGCAATATGGATATTGATTGTATCATGCATTGTGGATTTTAAAACATTGCTGTTCGTCGATGAATCGTTGCAGCCCTCCTACAAATCTAGAGGGGAACAATTATGAACCATCATTTGTGGTTTTATAGTCGTTACATTCTATTTAGATATTTTGGTGCTATACTGTAAATTTTATAATGAAGAACGATACATGAAAGCATGATTTTCGATGAAAATCACAATGGCTCACTGGAATCTTTTCATACAGTCTTCAATCCCAAAAAGAAGTTTTTCTGATGAATGAACATTTATAGCTATAAAATTTCTTTATACATACCTGCTGTGGTTGAATTTACCATATTTTTTCTCACGTGGTCGACTTCTATTAAATTCAGATTCTGTTGAAAAATTTGTTGGGGGAGGCAACTCTCCAGATTCTGTTTCATGACGACTATTTTCATCTTGTCTGTAATTAGAAAAATATTAACCTAATTAATTAACTTCTACAATAATTCATATCAGACTCTGATATATAAATAATCATCAGATGATCCACCATTAATGAGATACAATAAATGATCAAGCTTTTCTAAATGATCTCTAAATCGAGAAAAGACAATGGCTAAGAGGTATCTCAATCAAATGCAAATTCTGTATTCACCACTGTCGATTCATAAATTGTGATGAAATCACACTGTATGTAACCGTGGTAGATCATTCCATATTTTCAGTTGCAATGTACTTTTAAACTTTTAAACATAATCAAACAATGAATTCATAAAATTGGTAGAATAAGCAATTGGCAATATTGATGTAAAATTATTATACATCACGCTCAAGTTGAATAAAAGAGTCCAGAATTGTAAAATTTGTGCATGCATTAGTCATATATATGGGCTTTTGACTGAGGTGTGTAAGTCAGCAAAAACTGTAACTCGGACTATAGTATTGTTTAAATGTATCCTTTAAATGTACATTCCGTTCTGACACGTCATTTTATCTCTGGAAATAGTTATGGGTGTGATCCATGTAGATTACCATGTTATAGAACCATAGAGAAGACACGAAAAAAGTAAAACTGTGCATTTTCTTTAAGGGATAACTAAAATTAGTAATGACTAAAATAAAATGTTTGGCAGGAAGCCAAATTGACAAGCAATAAGTGTAATTACATAATAAGCCAACAATATTTAAATATTAATATAGGTATTAATAGACCAAAGCTTATATAATGTGTAACATTTTAAGCATAACCTTCAACAAAATATATCTATAACAATAACAATAATATTCTGGGTTATATTAAAGCAGGGTGTGGTCAACTTATAACAAAATGTCCAATTTCATATAATATGAAAAAGATCCAGAAAATGGCTCATTTCATTTTCTTCCCCCCGTTTTTCATTTATACATTTAATAAGTTATGACTTACGGTCTCCAGAAACATCAATATGCTACTCATTCGCATATTTGACTTTCTAAATTAATTTTGCTTTGACATGAAAATCTTTATCAATTATTCATGTGACAATAAATTATGTCATTTACAATGGTGTGGTCGATATTTTATAGAAGTTTTGAGCATGTAGTATAGACCATTAGGTACATGTACATTAGATTTGTAAGAGTGTTATTTTTGATATACAAGGTTGTTTTTATAATCTATTCATTGTTTGTTAAATCATGTACAGGTTTAATCTTAACTACACAATACACATTGTAACTAAGGTACTTAAAATCTGATTGAATCAAAAGGTCTGTCAGTCAGCTATCACAAATATTTGCTTTCTAGGCATTTATTTATTGAGTAAGTATTCCCTAAACAATTTTAACATGTGGACATATACACATCCATTTATGAAACATGACCCAGAAGAAATGATCCATTTTATTACATGTAATATGCTTCTAAAACAAAATTCCCCTGCGATGGTTAGTTAAAATGTTTATTTTCTTTCGATTAATAAGATATTTTTAACAAGCAATAACGATCAAAATCCATTTGAATGCTGTCATCATATTTTATGAAGTCATTTACATAGAAATATCATAAGCTACATGTACTATATAGATAAAGAAAGTCATATCTATGACAAATAAATGTATACTGGCAAGTCCTTGGTGTTAACAGTACACAATTCAATATGGCTATTTAGACTAGTTCAAGCTAGTAAAAGAACAGTGTTCTCTATATAAAACTGTTCTTTGCCAACTCAGAAATACATCAATATAGCCAGATCCCACTCAATAGTCTGCTATCAAAATAACAAGCTAGATGTTGGCAAGCTGCCAAATTACATTGGCAACCTGCCAAACAGACATTATTTTCAACCCAAGATGAAAGCTGTTCAATCATACAATGACAGGGTGAAGTGCAATCGTCATGGTAACCATGTGTAGAAATCAATATTTTGTGTAATTACTGTTTGAATCAGGTGAGGAAAAAGTCAACAACTCTACATGGATTGAGTTTCATCCTATATTTTACTGGAGGAATTATTTTTACAACATATTGGCTGGAATTCAACATGAACTTTTCTGCAGCTTACATGATGTCTATTATCATCATAATGTATCTGACATGGACACTTAAATTTATCAATACACTATTGTCATTAAAAATCCTGGACACAAATTATTTTCACAAAGCATGATATTTTGAAAAGGCTTAATCAACCAAATCATTCATATTTTCGCACTGCGTTGGAATGAAACAATCGATCATCTATACCAGGGAAATATAATTGGCTGTTCTCAAAGCAACATAAAATATTGAGATTACATCTGTGACTCGAACGGTGATCCGACAGCTTTTCATCCCACTCTGGTGATCGATACCTATTCTGGACAAAAAGGCTTTACTCTATTTCAATTTTTAAATGGATTTTTAGATAAAATTACTACAAGGGCAATGTGCAAATCAATAAACCAGGCACTTATTGGTCAAAATAGGATGTTACATTTTTATATCTGATGTCACTCTTATCCCGATATTGCACAATCGTGTGTAATCCCATCTACTTTAGAACAGCAACTACAATTTATCAGACCACTTTTGACAGTGACACAAGTGTATATGACTGTAGACCATGATCAAAACCTAACAGTCTCTAATCATCATTTAAGGAATGAAATGAAATGAAATGGGGTTTAACGTCCTACTGTTCTGCTCCTAAACTGGGCTAATGAAGACGAGCATACGCCATGCAGTGTGCTATGAGGGAAATTTTGCCTGGGCAGTGGCGCTACGGCCTACTCTTATATCGACTTCCAACTGCCAAGGGATCTTTTACGTGCACTCCAATGTGTACACGGGACCTCGGTTTTTCGTCCCATCCGAACTACTAGACAGCTGTCCTTGTCAGGCCCTCCGTCCTGCATCAATGACAAGGGGAAACCACGCCGGAAACTCGGGATGAACTTTCTCGGCCAATGCAGGGATCGAACACCCAACCTCCAGGCTAGCGAGCCAGCGTCTTACCACTTAGCCACGTGATCCCCATCATTAAGGAATTGTTAATCCGTTGCAAACTACAATATTGTGAAAATTGAATTTCCTGTTTAACAATTACACATTTGGCATTAGTAAATATCAAGCCTTGGTAACCCCGATTATGTTGTATTTAATGTGACATTTATTAACATTGACACTATTATATTAGTTGAAACAAAATTCATTTAGCAATAAAACAAGAGCATGCTGTCATCCAAGATTGTTCTTTTAAAATATGTTGCAAACTGTAATAAAGTTCAATTTTGAGATATGTTTTTTAGTTGGAAAATTCAGGAATGTCTCCAATATATAAATATTTAATGGAAACAGCAGTATTATTACCACTAGTATATTGAAAGTATCACATGAGTCAATTTTGATTTTTCATAAACAATGATGACAACAATTTACCTCCCTCAACAATGGACATCATTCAAGCTTCAAAGCAACCTTAAATGATCTAACCAGGTTTGCCCGCAGGCTATCTCACCATCATGAAATAAAGTGTTCTAATAACATCAAAAACAATTTCAACCAGGGAAAGCCATAAAAATTGACTCAATTGTCACAAAAACTGGGTTAAACGTGGGTGTTTTATGTAACTTTTGTAAACAATGAAAATGGTTTCTAACATTTGTAGAGTGGGGAATGTAAATAAAAAATGCTGAGCAATTATTTTAAGCGTATTGATGATAAAACAGTAGTGCATAAAAGAGTGGATATTGATCTACATCAACATTATTATTTCTATAGAATGGGTAATTTTAACTAATAACAGTCTCTCCCGAGAATAGAAAATGATTTTACTGTTTTACATAAAACTCTAGTAAACTGTAGTAATCGAGAAATGTTCCATCCTAGAGTTCTACTACTTGCAGTTATACAGGTACCATTCCATATTTCAGAATAACAGAGTTCTAATAAGGGGGATTAATGTTAACCATTTTTTGTATAAAATCTTCTAACACAAACTTATTTCTTCTTTGTCATAATATTGTCCATCTGTCATTTTTTTTTATTAACAACAGCAATCAGAAGTTTTCATATATAAAGAACTGGATTTAATGTAACCTAACAACATATGTCTCCCTCAGAAGTACACAGAGAAAACCCATGAGGTTAAGAAGATGACCCTACGTCTTGAGTTAACTGTATAGATAATATGTTTCATAAATCGAAGATCTCATAATTTAACAACGCTTTTTATCCATATATCATCCATTATTGGAATATATAGAGAAAAAAAAAATAAACCTAAATGAAAATTTAATTGTACAGAATTTGGCCCATCAGAAAAAAACACATCAGAAAAATCTAATTCAGAACTTGATTTTGAACTTAGTGAAAGAGATTCAGGTCCTGTAAGGATGAACATACTTTAAAATTATCCAATAAACAAAGAATTTTATCAAATGTATATTGGGAAACGAATTTAAGCATTGTTCTTTTTTCTTTAAAAAGATAAAGAAAGGTTATAATGTATAGTCTCGTTCATACAGGATTTGTGTTATCAACATACCGTATGTATAGGCAAGATCATCCAGATGTTTCATGTTCTGAACTTAAAAAGAGCTGAGAAAAAACAAAGGGCATTGTTTGGAAATAACTGAAAAGATGCCAGAAAGATGATGTAACATTGTGTAAAATGTCATAGCATGAATAATGACAGACAGATGGTATGAAAAGCCATAAGGACAATCTAGAATGTATTGTTAATATCTATCCTGCATGAACCATGAAATGAACATAGGGATCAAATAAATGGCCAGTCACTTTTTAAAATGGATCTTAATCAATTTATTTTTTTAAGATTCATTAACACTATCAATAAAACTTGGAGCAGCATAACGACCAACCAAACATATTGGGACACATTTTGTCAAACTTATTGGGACATTTAGGCCTCATTAACACAGTAGTCCAATAAAAAAAATACCCTTTTTCTTTCAAACTTTTAGACAAAATGACTTTTC